AATAAAGGAGCATACGAGTTTAGCTTGCTTGTAACAGCAGGAAAATTGGTTTTGGAAATACTGGAAGAAGTTCCTTTTCGCGCGATAGTCAAACGTCGAATCCGCGCTCAGATTCTAGATGGGAGATGAAAAATTTTTGGAGCGTGAACCGACGCGCTTTGCGGTTCGTCACTGCCCTTTCTCCCTTCTGAATTTTCAGCGGTTCGGAATTTTCATCCAGACAGTTGATCGGGATGCCAGCGATTTAATAAATGAAGTATTCCATTTTAATTGCATTCCCCGTACGAGCATGCTCTCGTCATGAGGATTTCGGATTTGCCGTTCGACGTGGCTGTTTTTCAACCGAACTTTGCTCGCTAACTATTTGGAAAAAAGAGTGGAAGGCGCTAAATGACGTAACTGCTTGAATTGATATTCAGTCTCACGCGGTATATTGGTTCACGCACGTTCATTCACGCGAATTCATATGTCGGCGGTGCGATGCAAGGCGCGCGCACGCTTGTGCTCTGTCTTGCCTTCTTTTTCGCGCAAGAGAATACGTAAACACGACGAGATTAATATCCGTGGCATAAATGTGCGCTTCTCTTTAACGCGCAGCCGTATGTTCGCGAATTAGCATAAAAAGAAGAAAACGGCAAAAAATTACGCGACAAACGCGGAGCTTCTGCTCTTTCGTCATTTCGTACACACATCGCGAAAAAAGACAAGCTACTTGCAAAGTTGCTAAAACTCGAAATAGCGCGAGTGGCGCAAATCGCGACAATGTACTCGTTTGAAAACTCGACGCTATGCTACTACTTCAGTGACTCGCAGAATGAACAAAGAAACTAGAGCTTTTGCGCGCTAGCGCTACGAATGTCGAGTGAACAAGTTGCAAAGTTGGCGTCTCGAAAGAGAGTACAAAAGTATACAAAGAGTGAGAGAGAGAGAGAGAGAGAGAGAGAGGGAGAGAGATAGAGCGAAAAAGAATCAAAGCACATGCTGCAGACTCACGGGAGTATGTTGACGCTGCAGGATGGATGGAGTGTCCAGTGCTGCTGGCGCTCGGGTTCGAGAGAAAGTATTAAAGGTTGCGCGAGAGAAAGAGTGAAAGAACGATAGAGCGAGAGAGAGAGAGAGAGTAAGAGAGAGAGAGAGAAAAGGAGAGGTGATGGCGATAAGAAAGTCGCCGTTACATCTCGGCTGCTCGCGACATAAGGTCTGACAAAGCACTGAGCTTCTCTCACGCGCTCGCATCAGACGAGAATAAGGCGGGCGGGCTCGATAGATGCCCAATAAGGGTGGAGGACTACTGGCCTAGATATCGAGTGGATCGCAACGTTGCTGCTGCTGCTAGCGCGTCAGCCAGCCAGAGAGAAAGAGAGAGGGAGCGCGAGAAAGAGGGAGTACGCGAAGCGAGCAGCGCGCAAGCTCCACGGGGCCTCGTGTACAGCACTCCCTCTTTCACTCTCACCTCTCTCGGGCCAACGGGGTGGCGACTCGCGCACTGCTCAGCTGGCAACTGGCGCTCACCCGCGACTCCTCCCCTCTCTTCTCGATTTATACCTCCCTGACTCTCGCTATCTCTCTCTCTCTCTTCCTCTCTTTGTGTGTTTGTGAATGTGCGTGTGTGGGTAGGTGAAGCTAGCGTAACGAAGAATTATGATCCGTAACGAGAAAGATGCCCGTGCACACGCTACATCGTATAACCTAGGGAACGGAAAGCTGAGAGGACACGTAAACCGTCAATCGATTATTCTAACGTGTATCTGCTATATTTATATACTATTTCTGCAAGCCGATCGTCATGGGACTGCGATATTATATGAGAATTTTCATGCGTAAAGGTGTGATAAAACAGAAAAATGAAGAAACATAAATAAGTGATAGATTGCCCGTAATAGTGGAAGAGCCAACGAATAATTAACCGCTCACTCGAAGCACTTCTCTTTATACTGCTACTATAGCCCGCGGGTGCCGTGCTTTTTTAGGACAAAGCCGTTAGTGTCGCTTTCTCGCCTAGGTGCTTGAGACTACAAGTTCTCTTTCTTTCTCCCTCTGTACCTCGCATAGTCATTGTTCGCGACGCCGACAAAACACGTTTTTCTTCTCTCTCTCTCTCTCTCTCTCTTACCCGCTTCTCATTCTTCTTTAAACGAGAGAACAAAATACAGGATGGTTCGAGTGCACTCGAGCAGAAGAGATCCGCTTTGTCGGTGAATTGAGATTTCCATAATTTATTGCGGGAACGGTGGTATTTCGCGCTAGAGACTGAAAATTAGGTCAGATAATTCGGCATATATATATATTGTAGAGCTGGAAACAAAAATTAACAGAAGAGAGGTGAGGAATTTGGCTTATGTAATGAATGTAAATCTACTTATTCATCACTTGAAGCAATAAAAAATTGTGCGTTGCCTTGCATAAAAAGTAATAGCAGCGAGCATCGGAATCAAAGGATCGTTATGAGAGAACTGTTTATTCAAATGAACGAATCTGATTCCGACTGTATAATACATAGTCGTGACTACGCGAATAATCCGGAATTGCTTTCGAGTAAAAGATGCAAATATTTGAAAAGAAAAAGTGTTTGGCATCGAGAATCCCTTCGAGACAGGAGTAAGCTGATAGAATTGAGGATAGAGCGAGACGCGGCTCGGTACGTCGATAACAAGTCATAAGACAGCAAGGCAAACCCCTTTGAAATGGAGCCGAGCTTAAGAAAGCTCACAAAGAAAAAGAACAGCGGCAAGCTAGACGAGCGTATAGTAGCTTTCCCATCGGACCATGACACGTCCGTGAAACTACGGGCTAACCTCCGCATTAGCGCGTAGCAAATTGGCTCGGCTTTCGACGCGGCACTCAACGCTTGCCAAGAGTCGCAACGGCAGCGGCGGCGGCGGCGGCGGCGGCCGATTGTTTTGCCTGTTCGTGACGCCTACCTCTTTCTCTCTTTCTCGAGTCTTCCGCGGCCAATGTGTATCCACGTATACGCGTGACAATGGAACGAAAATAAGAATCAAGTTCGCACACGCTCGCACACACGTACACATACACACGCACACACTCGAACGTAAGCGCGGACCCAGGCCCGTGGAAGCCGAGGGACGTACACGCGCGACCACCGCTATTTTCGATGAGCTTTCGTTCCCTACTTCTATCCGTCTGCACGCACGCCTTAGTCTTATTCCACCTCGTGTGTGTGAGCGCGCGAATTTCAAAGTCACGGCACGCGCGCGGTTACGGCACGGCGGCTTGACCTCCCTCCCTCTCGAAATTTCGAAGGCGAAAGCTGTGCGCACCCGCCGTCACTACTGCCCCCGCAGCCGTCGATCGATAAGCGTACGTGGTGCGCGCGCGAGCGTCAGTTACCCAAAGAGAGAGAGAGAGAGAGAGAGAGAGAGAGAGAGAGAGAGAGAGAGAGAGAGAGAGAGAGAGAGAGAGAGAGAGCACATCTTCCACCAGCGAATGCCCCTTTTATTTCTGTGTCGCCTCAAATTTTGATGCATAAGTACACATCGATGACAACTACCACTACGTACATCCCATACGGAAGCTCAAACGTAGAGCGCGCGACACGCACTTGCGCTTCCGTAAATTTTTCCTTTCCCCGCCATGATCAGTTGTTACCGTCTTTCTCTCCTTTACGCGCGCTTCTGTTCTGCAAATTGAGCTTGAGAACGCGCAATGTTCTGCGCGTGAGCGCCTTACGACGAAATTGGCGCTGATCAATTGCCCCGGCAGCCGAAGAGCATCATGCAATCACAGCCATATAAGAAGAAGAGGAGGAAGCGGTGACTGGCACCGTGCTGAGTGGAGAGTGCGGTTTTCGCGCGCCAAGCCCCCACCGCGTCTGATTACGGAAACAAAGGGCGCGAGCAGCTTTCCTTCAAATCAAAAGTCCTGCCGCGGTGGCGCTTTGAAAAGGGAGTGCTAAAAATATACTCAAGCTCGAGGAAAAGCCTGTATAGCGTGTGTACGTGTTGAGAGGTATGTGCGTGTGTGCGCGCCCCGTGGAAAAAAGCTCTCTATACAGCTTGAGAGAGAGAGAGAGTGAGAGAGAGAGAGATCGATACGCCGTTAAACTTTTATTCTATTTCTCTCTCTTGTCTTTTCCATGTTTTTTTTTTCTCTCTGCTAGCGCGTTGCGCTGCTGTTCAGGCCTTCCCGTATACATGCGCGAGCCTCTATTAAATGTTCAAGCTTTCATAAACGAGCCTATGTGTGCAGCACTCTAGACTCCTTTTCTTTCTCTTGATATTTTTTGATCATTATAAATTGACAGGTATACGAAATCGAATTATTTACACGAGCCTTGCGACTATCTGATTCGGAAACAATAAAGAGAAAACAGACACAAGTGGCGTGATGCAAGAGGCGACAGCACAGAATTATTTCTATTTACTTTCGCGGGAAAGTCCGCACCGTAGCTTGGAGCAGATGCTTGAGAGAAAAAAAAATATATAGATTATTTATATTTAGCGCATGTCACACAAGTTTCATAAACATCGAGAGTGTCAAAGAAATGTGTAAGGAAAAAGCCGAGAGATTTTTAGGTGAAAGAGAAGACGCGTCAGGGTCGAGCTGGCGATATCGCACACGCGAATAAGACGCTTTGGCGCAGTCAGAGCAGTGGCAGCTAATTAGGCATGCCTAACAAGGCTCACAGCCATTAGGTTGAAGCATATAGCAAGGGCCACTCAATCGAGTCGGGTCATGAGCGGCGCAGCGTGCACATGTGATGCGCGAGTAGCAGCGCGCGCGTGTGTATAGCGGCGCGCATGCAATCCGAATAAATTTCACACTTGTTGCGAAATTTCTCAAGAGAGACAGAGAGAAAGAGAGACAGAAAGAGAGAGAGAGAAAGAGAGAGAGAGAGAGAGAGAGAGAGAGAGAGCGATTGGGGTACGCACGCGATCCGATGCATCTATTTTCTAAAGCGGAGCAGCAACGTAATAATAGGCGTGCGATAGAAAAAGAATTAGAGATGAGGCTGGGCGCCTCGTCCGCCTCGTACTCACCTCTCCTCAAACGAGTCCGCAGTGTCGTCGAGTCTGCGTGCCGAAGGCTGCGAAGACCGCTCGCAGCGTCACGACGCGCATTCCGCTCGTCTCACTTGCTATCCCGTCGCTTTATTCAAACGTCACTTCTCTGCCTGCCTCTTGCTTTCGGTTAGGCGGCTAAGCGCACGACAGAGTTGAGGTACCACGTGCAGCAGAGCAACAGAGAAGCAGCAGAGCGGCAGTCCACCAAAGCACTGACACACACGCGTCTCCACAGCTTCTATCGATTATCATCGGCCGCGACGTACGCCCTCTTCTTCGTCGGCATCCGATATATATCAACGCAGCGGCTCGTCCCTGTTATGGGTGCTCTTACATATTTCAACTATCTACCTCTCTTTTTCGCTCTTTCTCCTACTCTTTCGTGTTGGCTAGTTGTCGCCAACTAGAACCTGTGAATCAGTAACAACACGAGGATGATGAAGGAAAATCTTTGCGCGGATGGGAAAGTTTTTCAGATGTGCGTGTGATCGAATAAGACGTGGACTTTATTTAAAGAACCCGGTGTTTGAACGACCGAAGACAAATTCGGGAGAGAGAGAGAGAGAGAGAGAGAGTGAGAGAGAGAGAGAGAGTCGAGACAAGACAGATGAACCTAAAACGTAATAAGTGTTGTCGCTTGTTTTTGTTGGCGAAACAGAGAAGGAAGCTTTCGCGTACGAGCGGTGCGCTTGCATGCCTTCTAGTTGCCGATGATACACGCCGCTCCAAACGAGAGTAAAAATAAAGGAAAAAGAGACACAGACAGGTGTTCGACTCCGTCCCACGGGGGTAAATCAATCGCCAATTGTTTTTCAGCTCGTTGACCCAGAAAGCACACAGTCACAGTCGGGGCTGCAAGCTCTCTCTCTCTCTCTCTCGCGCGTGCGGATTGCTAAAAAGTACAACTCGAATGGCTGGGCGGATCGATCGATCGCGAGCGGGCGCGAGGCAGTAGTAAACAAAAGCAGGTGTAGGGCGCGAGAGGAAGTGGAGAGCAAGAGCAAGAGAGAAACACTGACAGGCAGCTGCAGCTGGCGGTGGCGGTTATGGATCGGCTTGAACTTGCGCGCGCGCGAGAGAAAGAGAGAGAGAGAGAGAGAGAGAGAAAGAGCTTGTGGCACACACACGGAGCGCGCGTGTGGACGCGCCAAGTCGCTTCGTTCGGGCCGGTGCTGCTACCGCTACTGGCTCTCGCCGCACACGACGGGGGCTCCACCGCCGCACACCCGCCACCGCAACCGTCGACGCGACTTGGAATCGGGCCAGCCATGCGCTCTTGCTCGGCTTTATCTATCTGGCAAAGCAGCCAGCCAACAGCAGCGGCAGCAGCGGCGCTCTACCCCGTACGAGTGTCCGTGTGTGCGTGTGCCGAGGCCGCTCCCGCCACCTTGGCCGACAAGGGTGGGCACGGAGCGCGGCCAAGAGAGTTTAGCTTGCCTCGCGGACCCTGACGGTGTAATTTCGTGGGAAAGCCGAGAGGATGAAGCGTTTTTTTCCGCTCCCTCTCCTCGCGCCATGACCGCGCGCGAAAAGTGGGGCTGAAAGGGAGGCGTTATTAATCAGCTGGGACACTGTTGCTTTCCTTCGCGCGCGTGGGGTGATATGCGCCAGCGCGCCTGCCTGTGCTTTAGCGTGTTTAAAATGCGTCAGCCAGGCAGGTTCGTTTGTCTTGTGTGGATTTCCAGATCACACGACGATGTATATACCTTGCGAGTTTCTTTCTTTTACTACGAAAGATAAATTTGCTCGTACAGACAAAACAGAGCTGATGGAATGTAGCGGAAAACGATTTTCCAGTTTAGAGGGAGAGGAGAGCTGAATTTTTATTGGCAAATGATGAGTGTTCCATATATAACGTAAGACGTCCAAAGCTGGATTATCTCTAAGCTTTCAGGCAACGAGCTTTTGATAAGAGTGTAGTTTTTCTTTAAAGATTTCAATTACTCTTCTTCGCAAACTTTTTTTTTTGAGAAAAAAGCAGTAAATTAGGTTGGCTGAGAGTCTGGCTTAACAAAATATGCTCTTAGAATAATGAATTTCATTTCGTTCTCTCTGTATGATCATTCGAACAAGAAAAATGAATGCTCCAAGTCTCTCTCCCCTCTCTTTCTTTTACTCTTTTACCCTGAAAATATCTTCTTGAACGAGTTTTAATATTAGCAACAAGCAAGAAATAGCCTCTTTAAAAAAATATTTAAATTTCGCCGTACAAAAATGTTGTTAAAGGCAATGACATATATCGATCAAACCAATGAACATTTTGAAAGGTGATCATTCAGTACCAAGATAGAAATAAAGTAAAATGTAACAAAACCGCAGGAAAGTATAACACGTTATTCAAACTAGAACATAAAGAATCCCGCGACAAAGGCGAAAGTATGTTGTAATAAACAAGTTTTACAGAAAGAAAACAGCAGAGAGAAGCAAACGAATTAAGCAAGGAAGCAAGAATAAGAAGTAGTGCAGTAGAAAAAATAATAAAGAGAGAGAGAGAGAGAGAGGGAGCGAAAAGGAAAATAGGATATAAAAAATCGAAGTCAAACTCCCGCACTGCCGAGACGCGATCCCATCGGCATGATAACGTTGAACTTGAGGCTCACAAATTACGAGGTGAAACGAAAGCTCAGCTGATTGCTCGCCTCAAGACGTACGTGTCCTTATTCTCGAAACCCCGTTTTTCCAACCGTACTAATGTGCCTTCATGCAAAGCTTTCTTCCCATGCGAAATGTTATATAAAATGCATAATGGCGCGGCAACTTTTACAAGTAAGTATAATATAAAATGTAGTATGGTTGCTGCGATTGCTGTAGGAAAGTTTTTACTCTGGGATTATTTTATCGCATACTAATCGGTAAATTATAGTAGCGAATAAACTTTGTTTCTAAACTTGAGATTACTATTACTTCAACTTAAGATTATCCAAATTCAAAATACGAGGACAGTCTATTTGTAAAAGGAAATTACATAACCTAATAAATAATAAAACCATTAAGTTAATATTGAATGCCTCAAAATCTTCATGTAGAATGCTTGTTTTCGTGCATCAGTCTAAATAGTGTAAGTGCCTCATAAAGTAGATCGGAACTATCCTTTATTACGACAAAACTCGAGTAATAAACGAGCTCTTTGTAGTTTGACATACGATAAAGATGAGGGTCCATTTGAGATCCATAATAATAAGGAATTGAAGTATAATTATGTTGGAATCTTGATTACAAAAACATATTCTTTGAGCTTAGAAGAAATGTTTCCAATAATGTGTTATGCGAATAATTATAAAATAGTCTTATATTCCTTTATAATTATATTACAATGTAGATAACGTAAGCAGCAAAAAAAGTATTTGTTGGATGCAAGTCCAAATATTAGCGTGGACAATCAAATGCACTTGATAATCCAGTCAGGAACCGCAGCGAATTATTCTCGCCAAGTGACGTGCACATCGTCGGTGCGATAACGCTGCACGCAATTGGTTTTACTCCAGACAGTGGGTCGTCCTTCGGCCTTAAATTGAAGCAATCCAGCCACGGCAATCATCACTCCGTTATCGATGCAAAATCGTTCGTCGGTGGCGTAGAGCTTGGCTCCGCGCTCTTCGCACATCACGCTCATCATGCCTTGCAGCCGCTCATTACAACCGACGCCCCCAACTATTAGCACCTCGCTCGAACCTACATGTGCCATTGCTCGTTCTGCAATTTTAATTCACATTACCTATATCTCCATTTGTCTATATTTTCACGGATCTTTTCGCATATACACTATATCACAAGAAACGATGTGTCATTTTGTTCTCTATCTTCTTGAGCTATCAACGCGTGCAGTTCTATTTTGGTACACGCTACACGTACACAGAAGTGCTTCGATTTCCGATAAAAATAAAATTGCGTAAAGAATATTTTTTCAGCGGATCATACTACTGCTGAAACTCATCAATCCTATGTTAACTTTAGAAGAATCGAATATAAATGTTTATACACACACGCGCGCGCGTGCGCGCACATAGATTTTGAAATTGTTTCTACCAGATTTTTACGAGTTTATCAAATATACGAATGGAAACGCACAAAAAATTTTTAAATATTTTGTTTTGAATTTTCAATGATTTGACAGCAGTTCCTTAAAATTCAAATGCGTACTAAAAAATATTGAATACTGACTAAGTAATTCTAAGCTAAATTTTAGGTTCACACTTTACTAATAAAATTTATGAAATTTTATTTTCTATGTATAAAAAATATAGAAATTATTATGACACAAAAGCATTTCCGATACAACAATATATATTTTTATATATGATGAATCCTTTAACTTTAATACAAGTATTTTCAGTATTTTAAATACTTTTTAAAAGTAGCTTTATTAAATTAAATTAAGTTTAGGAAAATTAACGCGAAAATATTAAATAATCATTTGGTTATCACAAAAACGTGAAAAAATCGTTACAATAAATTATATAAGATTATTACCTGTTATTTCAATAAGCATTGCAAAGACAGTTTCTTGCAGTGAAAAACATAAATCCTCTGAGGTATATTCATTTGTTTTTAACCAATTGTCAATTCGTTCTTCTACGTGACTCAGTATTCCCGAAAATGATACATCCATACCTTTAACAACATAAGGCAGTGGTACAAATTTTTTTCCCCTAAATTTTCAAATCAAATGATATAAACATAAGCATAAAATATTCAACAATTATGTAAGATAGCTCATACTTTTTAGCCAACTGCTCAATATTATAACCAGGACTTGGATCATTAGATAGATTCAATAACCTGGCAAATCGATCCAAACAATTACCAACAGCAATATCAATAGTTTCTCCAAATATCCTGTATTTCTGTTCTGAATATGCAATAATCTGTGTATTACCTCCAGAGACATATAATGCAATAGGATTATTACTTTGAGTAATCAATCGACCCATTTCAATATGACCAACACAATGATTTACAGCTATTATCGGTTTATTATATAACTGAGCTACAGTACGAGCTACTAATGCTGCAACCGTTAATGGGGCTCCCATTCCAGGTCCTTTAGTATAACAAATAACATCAACATCTTTTAATGTTAATTTGGCATCTTTTAGAGCTCTTTTCAAAACTGAAAGAATATGTTCACGGTGATGTTGTGCAGTTTCTCTTGGCAAAAATCCTAAGAAAATAAATATAATACTGAATTATACAGTAGTGAAGGCCATAGTTTATGATGTTTATTATCACATGTCATTATTATTTAAATGAGGTGATATACTTTACCTTCACCAGGAGGAGTAATGTATGTATGGCGAACATTGGATAATATTTCATTGTCTTTAATAATTCCTATGCCTAACTTATTCGCACTTCCTTCAAATCCAATAGCAATCATTTTTCAATAAACAGTCAGCTATATTTTCAAGAAAAAATTTATTTATTTTACAATTATGTTTATAATCCATTCACATTGTAACTTTAGATAAATTAGGTTGATTTAGATTTATTGATTATATTTACACTATTATTTCTTATAAAATAGTTCTTGGAGAAACGTCGTTTATCTTTAATATCGATGAAATATTTTAAGTAACTAAGGATATTCACTTTGTTTGAATGAAAGTTACTTATTTATATGAATCTTTATTATGATCTCTTATTTTTATTAATTAATATAATATTAATAAATTTACCACATCACTTCACTAAGCATTTCATGCGGAATTTGCGGCACAGAAAAACATGCGATAATATAACCTATAACTTTGTTTATCTATGTATACTTGTACAATCCGTACGAGACGGAGGTTAAATAAAAATATAACAGCGTTTATAAGTATGTAAACTTTCTTAAATATTTTTAGTAGTTTAAAGAATCTTAATCATATCACTAGTTTTTGTGGAAGTATATTGATGTTTCAGATTAATATTTGTAGGTAATGAAATGAATATGTGGAATATAATTATTATGATGCGGGTCGAATGGGTGTGATACTAGGATAAATGAATATTTTAAAAATCTAAAGTTCATGTAACATTCCAACATAAATCATCACAAGCAGGTAATATTTTTGAATAATCCGTTATGCATTATTTAATATATCTTATAAATCAAGTGTTGTATTAAAATTACAGAAAAATGGGCCTCCTAACTGATCCAAGAGCCGGAAACGGAGAAATGGCTAAATTTATATTAAAATATGAAAAATTACTGTGTTACCTTTTGTATTTTGCAGGGATCATTTGGATGATGCTTTTAGCTTTACCTCAATTTAATGATAGTAAGTACTTATTGCACAGTTACAGTGAAAATGCACTGTATTATTGCATTTTAAAATATAATAATACAGAATATAAATTAATTAAATTGCTTTTGAACTAAATATGTTTGATGTTTTTTATTAAATGATGAGTTATTGTAGATAATATTTTTCTTTAACAGACACATATTACTCAGAAAATGCATTACTTCCTGGATTAGTTAAAAAAGAAAGCAATCTCATGCCATCTGCAAAACAGTTTCATCATGAATTGTTGTCAGAAAGAGAACGGTTTTCAGATCAAATGCCATATGCATGGATATTAGCAAAATTTCATCAGTTGCATTTAGATGTTTTTACACATAATTTCACTTTGAATTATCCTTTTCGTAATCAAAAGGTAATTGCTTAATTTTTTTTATAAAGATGTATACTTTATCCCTACAAATAATGTTATCAAATTTTTAGTATACTGGGCAGAATATTTATGGAATTGTAAGAGCTCCGAGAGCAGCAAGTACTGAAGCAATAGTTGTAAGTGTCCCTTATCGCCCTATTACAAGTATTCATGCTGATACTACACCATCTATAGCTTTACTATTAGCTTTTGCTCAATTTTGTCGTAGTAAGTGTTATCTATCAAAGTTATATTAAAATAATATAATGTTTAACTTTATAATAATTTAACATTAATATTTAATTTTGTAGTAATCTTATATCCACATTGTTTGTAGAAAAAATGTTAACTTGAATATCATTTCATTATAGAGCAAAAATATTGGGCAAAAGATATTATATTCCTTGTAACAGAGCATGAACAATTAGGAATGCAAGCATGGCTAGATGCTTATCATGGTGTGACTAGTGGACATGATGGTGTTCTTATTTCTGGAGATCTTACTGGCAGAGCCGGTTCTATTCAAGCAGCTTTAAATTTGGAATTACACTCAATGACTATAACATCTATTGATGTAAAGGTAATGATGAGATTACATGTTCAATGATGTTACAGTGCAATTTAGTATGTTTCGATACTAGTGCGAGAAAGTCACTCTTTCGCATATGTATCAAATTTTATTTTTCGATACAATGTGTACGAGACGAGATTTGAAGCACTATTGCTTTCCCGAGCGTGCGTAAATCGAGTCCTCATGCACGTCTTGTCGGAAAATAAAATTAGATTCATGTACGAAAAAGTGATTTCACCCTCGTGTGGTATCTTTGACCTCACTTGGTCGCAAACGTCCACACAAGACTCAAATCATTTTCTCGTACTAGTATCCATATGTACTAAGAATATACTGTAGCATCAAAGTCATTTTCCATTTTAGGTAGAAGGATTGAATGGGCAGCTACCAAATTTGGACTTATTTAATTTAGCTCAAAATATGATTAGTAAAGAAGGTATACGTAGAACATTCCAACGGCGCTTTGACACGTATGAAAAAGATAAAGTCAAGAAATGGTGGTACCAATTTTATACTTTAATGTCAATGATATTAACTCAAGCAACTGGTATACCAACAGGAAATCATGGCCTATTTCATAGGTATTTATTTATATCAGATGAAACTAGTTAGTTAATTTTATCTTTAATAAAATTTTCGAATTACATAACTATTATTTTTAATAGGTATGGCATAGAAGCAGTATCATTAGAAGGCTTTGACAATTCCAAAGATGGTGCTCCACGTAATTTTTATCATGTTGGAAGAGTTGTAGAAAGTGTAGTTCGATCATTAAACAATTTATTAGAACGATTTCATCAATCTTTTTTCTTTTACATACTGCCATGCACTGATAGATATATATCTATAGGTAATATCATTTATAAAACATTTATGGGCTTTGTACCAACTAATATTATCTCCATTAATATTATTTTATATCATTATTTTCAGCACTATATATGCTTTCTCTAGTATTAATGATGGCAGGTGTGTTCATAAAAGCTTTTGCTATTTGGTTAAGATTGCAAGACTCTACTACCAATCAAACAGATGAAAAGAAGATTAGTAGTAATTTGAAAAATAGTCCTCAGCAGGTACAATATTTTTTATTTGTTTTCTGTTTTAAACATCTATTTTACTTTTATCATTTGACTTACATAGGGAACAGAATTCAATGTTGGAAGTATAGCTTCAGAGATTCTTTGGACCCATACTGTAGGAGTCAGTTTAATGGCGTCTCCAAAATTTCTAACTTCAATTCTTATGCATCACTTGAGTTTGAGAACAGAAGACGCCATATACTACAGTTTCTCAACAATTACGCTTTTATCTATTTTGTGGCCAATTTTCAACATGAAAAGGTAAAATTTACGTAATTTACTAGTTTTTAGTTACTAATTTTGAAATCTATAGCGACTTTAATTTTTTGTTTACGTACAGACTATCAAAATATAGCAATACTGCTCTTGTTTGCGTAATCACGTGTGTTGAATTTGCAACAGCTTTAATGTGTATTGCAATGCACAATTTTTCATTAGCATTTCTTGCAGCACTTCTTTATGTTCCAATAGTATTAGCTATAAATCCAAAACATCGTGTTTCAAGCAGGTATGCGCTTGATTAATCTGATAACATTAATTTACAAATTGACTGAATAAAGTTTTAAACGCATTTATTGATTTTCAGGTTTCGGAAGTTTCTTTACTTTATATGGCCTATTCTTCATCCATTCTTCGTAACGACCTGTACAATAATCATTTACTCATTTATAAATTTTGGAGATGAGTTGATCAAAAACGTTCTAGTGAGATCTTTACAAGCTACAAAACATGCATTTGTTTTAAGCATTATAGACTCAATGATTTATGGCAATTGGTTCTATAATGTAACTGTAGCATTAATGTTACCTATTTGGCTCTTATATTGGAATGTGATCAGTAGAAATACAAAGAATCATGTTTAGTGTGTAATACTGATTAATTGATGTTTTCTAAATTGAAATAAATAGCTAAGAACGATCAATAAAAAAACTTAAATGTAACACAGTGCAAGTGCTACAAGAGCCATACAAATTTTATTAAATTCATGAATTAAATAAAGTGACTGTATGATTTTTATCAAAACTATATTTTTTATTAACGTTTGATATCTAATGAAAAAAAACGAGTTTTTTTCTCATTAATATTATATTTTTTTCTACTTGAAATAATTATAATAACTTAATTAATATATGACTTATAAACCGATTTACTACTAATCGGACGCGACTTATCTTACCAGGTAAATATTAGTCGGTTTAAGAATCAAACTCACTTATATGAACTGAGAGCGTGACACAACAGTGAATAAATCGTATACTTCTTTAAATTTTCCACTTCTTTCTGTAAATTTCCTTATCGGTAAGTACAGTTCCAAATAATGTTAAAGATTGTTAAAAATATGTTTCATCTACTTACATTACATAGAAGCTTAATTTTTTATTTCAGAACAAGTGATATCTAAAAATTTTTAAATTGATTGTTTAATGTAGATTTATAACTTTATAATTGGTATATAAAGCTCGATAGCCATAAAATTTAACATTATTAAAGAATAACATACATTTATTTATTTCTTTGATCATACATTGCTTCAACATATAGTAGAATATAGTTAAAAAATTGAAATTATCGAGTTTGCTCCCCGTAGCTGGTTTTTCGTTTTGGTAGATATATATACAGTTCGTTTATCTTACTGATACTTTAGCTATATTTTATTACAGTCGTCATTTACAAGGTATGGCAGCTTTACTGCGGGCCAAATAATCTCTTCATTGTTAATACTTTTTTGTAAGCTTAGTACAGATGTTCCGGAAATGTTCCATTTGAATCGGATTAAATAACAGATAATAGAAACAAAGAAAGCATTTTATATTCCTTTTTTTGAATTTCTTCAGATTGATCGTTATTTGTGCTAACTTCTATTCTTTAAAATGTTGAGAATGTAAGCATAAAATTTATAAAATAATCACAATAAAATCTAAATTAAATCCAAAAATAAACATAATTTTCAATAATTTTAGTTACCAATATAAAACTGTTCTATATATATAACTACCTTAAAAAACGACGAGTTATTAGTTGTTATAAACAAATGTAAAAAATAAAAATATTGAAATATTATGTCTGTGTACTATATGTCAATAAATTTAGATTTTCTGGAAAACCTATATAATATAATCACTTTTTCTCGAACTAATCAATCATTCAATACATGGTCATTGATACATCAAGCTTAGATTTTAGATAAGATTAAGAGAAACTTCTAGGAGCACACGTTATTTGATCATGGAAAAGAAGAAAGCACAACAAACATATTTTCACTTAAATATTTTATAGTTCATTTTTTCTAATATTTTTTTGTGTTCAATGCAGTGAATTAAAGTTAAAGTGAATTTTGAAGTGTTTAGTTTTTTGATCGCCTCACATTGGATCCATAATTTTACGTTTTTATATAGCAAAATCATTTAGGTTAAAAATGTTATCTCAAAAGGTAATAACAATATTGAAATTGCATAGTCTTCAATCGAATATAATTATACAATTTCTGGAAGTGTACTAGAATGAATATCTTAATATATAAATATTGCTGTTGTACTCTGGAACAAAAACATCGATACAAACTATATTGCTTCATATCCTTCTACTTATCTTCAAGAAATTCCACAGTTATGGCGTTATCGTAGCAAGGTAGAAAATACAAGAAAAAAATCGTTCTATGATATCATAAATAATTTTATTGTTAAAAATATCCAAAAAGATAATCACAAATCAAAAATAAAATTTCCTGTTTATGAAAAAGGTATTCTTATTTCAAATATATTTCGTTTCGTTCTTAAAAAAATAGAATCATTTTATTCTTAAAATAAAAAAAAACATTTTTACTGTGCAAAAATAAAAACATTGTTTAATGATTACTAATCGGTAAGATTCCGTACAATCTAGCTTTCCATCATATGCGTAGGACAAATAAATAATCTGATCGATAAGTTATTGCGTTGGCCAATGCAGTCATATATGTACAACGGTTTATTTATGCATAAGACAAAACATCCAATTTATCATTACAATATCTATCTAATAATAAGTATATATTAAGAAAATATATTTTATCGTTAGAAATATCTCACATAAGAAATTAATAACGATCATAATTATGCCGTCTTTGGAGTACACGTTTCATATATCAAATTACATCAATGGCTTTTGAAAAAGTACATTCATTTGATAAAAATACTTGAAGATAATATTTGCTACTGTAAGATTGATAAAAATTATCATGTTATCTTTCTTACGATAACATTATGTTCATTTTGATTTTACTGTGGTAATAAATTGAATATTTTCTTAACATGATACATGTATTCATGTAATAGAAATTATATAGATGTAAACACTTGTTGATTGAGGCATAACTGTTAATTTGTCCACAAAAGGAAATTGGAAGAATTACACACATTTTCTATCATCACGGAGTATTTAATACATTAATTAACAAACATTCTCATTTGAAAATAGTATGTAAAAATGGATTAATTTGTTTTTTAACAACTGTCAAAATTATTATCTATTTTATGACTTAATCTTACTACATTAAAATGAAAATATGTTTAATTGGAGTGATTACTTCGGTACTTGAGAATGAAACCTTGAGGTGCGACTACGAAGTGCAATCAAAAGTAATCAGAAAGTCTTTGAATATTGACGTAAACAGATACGTTTGTCTGTCGCAGTTGAACACTAAAACGAAATTATAAATCCAAACATATAAATATATTTAGGAATATTTCTACGTCAGAATAACGACTTAGTGATTAGGTTGATATCAATCAACATTATTTTATTCAATAGAATTCAGGTTGAATTAGTCATAAATCGATTTTAAATGAAAATTCATAATGGTTCAATGCATTAAAAGGTTCTTATTGAAAGTTTTGTTGTGTTAGTTATAAGCTACATCAGTGACTCAGTATTTATTAATTCAGTGGCAACATTTGTTTAATTACTGTACATATTGATATAATTAATAATTATTATTGATCTGATGAAGCTAGAGAAATAACTGGCGAAGCATTACCAGTGAATAAAACAATAAAATATTAACTATCAAGTACAAATTTGATAAAAGTCGAGTAAATAATTAAAAACAATACTATTTGTAAAATTATTTATGTGCATAAAGTAAATCAACACTTGAATTCATTTGTTGAAGGCTTTGAGGGAAATGGAAGCAAATAATTACAAAGAAGAAATAGAAAATATAATCAAAACGTATGGTGGTGACTCGTTTAACCATCATAAAATAACAAAAATTAGCCATACTTTGGTGTTCTACGTGAATGGTAAAGAAGTAAGTATTTCTATCACCCTTTTTTAAATTCAAAAATAAGTTCGATACTGTTCACATAATGTAAGATGTACTTATAACACGTTCTCAAATATATTAGAAGCAATAAATGAAGCAATTATTAAAACAAATGTGCCAAATTACAATAGATTTTATTACAAATTACAATATTGAAACAATTAATTATAATCACGTTGAAAAATTTAATCGATACTTCTTTCCAATTGTACTGCGTATCACCCGCTATTTCTTGCATATTTTCATTTCGGTTATTCCAGGTGAGAGACAGCAATGTGGAACCAGAGTGGACATTGTTATATTACCTACGAAATAAACGTATCCTTGTTATTAGATTTTTACTTTGAATTTATTTTGATAAATCTGTTTTTTTTCTTAACTGGCTATTAACAGTTCAACTGTATGGTACAAAATTAGGTTGTGCTGAAGGAGGATGTGGCGCATGTACTGTTATGATTTCAAGATACGATCGAAAAAAAGATAAAATTATGTATCCTTTTCTGATACGTTCTGTTATAATTTTGTTTTGGAGTATGTTAAATGTAATACACTTCTATAATAATTCTAAGTTTATATTTATTGCCATATGTTATAAATTGATACAAATCTTGTTGTTACATCTACTCTTTTATACACACTTATATGAATTATAAAAATTATCCAATAGAAAGATTTTGAAATATTTTCTTGAATCAGTCTTCAGTCATGTGGCGGCAAATGCGTGCTTAACACCTGTATGTGCCATGCATGGCATGGCTGTAACAACCATCGAAGGTATAGGTAGCATTAGAACGAAACTTCATCCTGTACAAGAAAGGATAGCTAAAGCTCATGGTTCCCAGTGTGGTTTTTGTACTCCTGGAATTGTTATGTCTATGTATGCTTTATTGCGAACAAAAAACTTACCATCTCTAGAGGACATAGAAATTGCATTTCAAGGTGAATTTTATGGAAAAAAAATTTTTTCAAGTAAAACTTTTTACTTTTTTATGATACTTTGGTTAAATTCATTTTAAACTTAATCAACATATTATGATCATCATTTATAGACAATTGTGATAGTTGTTAATAAATATTTCATTGTTTTTAAATTATACTATGAACGATAATTTTTGTAGATTAGTAAATTATTTTTACAGAAGATCGAAACGATCTTACTAATTAAGTAAGCTCGTTTTCAACGAATAAATGTGTCATTTTTTAGATATTCTAAATTAAAGAAGTTTACATAAATAAAAATCAACATCTAAGTTTACAAGAAAATCATGTTTCTGATTAAATTCAATGATATTTGCTAGACTTGGCTTATATATTTTTAATATAAATGTAATATAAATTATAAAATATGTATAAGTAGAAAAAGAGATCTCGAAAATGATCTTGAAGTAAACTTTGGAATACAGAAGCTTATTCTACATTTGATTATTATACTAATATTTTAAATAGGAAATCTATGTAGATGCACTGGATATCGAGCTATCATAGAAGGATACAAAACATTTACCGAAGATTGGGAACAATCGAGAATATCTAATTCAGAAGGAACAGAAAAAACATGTGCTATGGGTGATGCATGTTGTAAGAAAGTTTTTACATCCGAACCAATAGATCTTTTTAGTGCTAAGGATTTTCTACCATATGACTCATCTCAAGAACCTATATTTCCACCGAAATTACAAGTAAACGACTATAATACTTATTAAGTAATTTCATTACCATTTTAATTGATGATATCTTGGTAGCAATATAAGATATTGATTGATATTTTAGCTTTCATCGGAATTGGATGACGAATATCTAATTTTAAAAGGAAAGGAAGTAACATGGTATAGACCAATAAATTTGAGGGAAATCCTAGCGCTGAAACAACAATATCCAAATTCGAAAATTATTGTTGGAAATAGTGAAGTTGGTAAGATAAATATGCAGTTCAAAAATTTTAGTAGATATTTTTCCAAGCTACTCATTTCTAATGGAAGTTCATAAATTTAGGTGTTGAAGTTAAATTCAAACATTTTGTATACCCTACCCTTATCCAACCTGTTAAAATAAAAGAATTGCGCGACATTGTACAATTCGATAACTCAATTAGAATTGGCGCTAGTGTGACACTTATAGAGATGGAAGAAGCTTTACGTTATGAAATAAAAAACAATTCAGGTAATTATCAAACATTAGTATATTTCGCTGTTATCTTATGACATTATAAATTAAATTTTTACTTACCTTTATTGGTCTACAGAATCAAAAACGAGAATTTTCGAATCAATTGTTGGAATGCTTAATTGGTTTGCAGGGAAACAAATTCGTAACGTAGCTGTAAGTTGATCAAAATCTTATTAATCTTATTTTTTTAAACATTGAATTTGAAAAGTAACTAAACGATTCTTTTTATAATCATGCGTACCGATAGGCAATCGGCGGAAATATTATGACTGGAAGTCCAATTTCTGACATGAATCCCATTTTAATGGCAGCAGGAATAAAGTTGAACGTTTGTAGCCTAGAAAGAGGATTCCGACATATAATAATGGACCACTCATTTTTCGTTGGATATCGACGCAATATTATTGCATCAGACGAAATATTACTGTCTATTGAAATTCCGTATTCTACTCCAGTATGTATAAAGTGTTTAATTTTAAATATAGTTCAGTCAATTGAACATTTTTTTTATAATTCATTGTAGGATCAATATTTTGTATCTTACAAACAATCCAAAAGGCGAGATGATGATATAGCAATTGTCAATATGGCATTAAATGTATTTTTCAAACCGGGTACCAGTGTAGTTAAGAAAGCCTTTATGGCTTTTGGAGGTATGGCAGCCACAACAATTTTAGCTAAGAAAGCTTGCGAAGCCATGATAGGAAAGTAAGTAATTGTACCTTAAATAACTAGAGAAATATGAATTGAGAAAACATTTATTTATTTAATAATAATAATGATAATGATAATGAAAACTGTAAATTTTAGAAGATGGAATGAAAATTTAGTCGAAAATGTAACAGATTTATTAATTCAGGAATTGCCATTATCCGGAGATGCACCTGGTGGTATGGTTTTATACCGACGCTCTCTTACATTAAGGTATAATATTTATTTATTATCATTTTAAGAAAATTGTAACCCAAAGAGAATTATTTTCATTGGGTATAATATAATCATGAATGATACATTTATAAAATATTAATAATTGTATTTAGTTTATTTTTCAAAGGATTTGTTAATATTGCCGAGAGATTACTTAAAGATTCTCGAGATGTAGATCCTGTACCTGCAGAACTTAAAAGCGCTGGAGAAGGTTTCCATTTCCAACCACCTCGTAGTTCTCAGTATTATCAAGTGGTAAATATTTCGTACTATAACATTTTAAATATAGAAAATATAAAATCAATTTGATTTGTGTAGGTTCCAAAAGATCAAAGCTCTATCGATTTGATTGGGCGTCCTATTGTTCACATAAATGCTTTCAAACAGGCAACCGGAGAAGCTGTATACACTGACGACATACCACGAATCAGAGGAGAATTATACATGGCTTTGGTTCTTTCGACGAAAACTCATGCTAATATTTTAAATATTGACCCTTCCCAAGCTTTATCCCTTGATGGAGTTGAAGGATTCATTAGTGCTAAAGATATTTCAGAGAGTCAAAACCTTATTGGACATAAAGTTATCGACGAAGAAGTGTTTGCTTCAAAAAAAGTAATATTTAAAAACTTTTCAGTTGATAATATTCACGCGCTATTTTATTTACTTTTATTTATTCCTTGGTGTTGAAGGTTATTAGCCAAGGACAGACAATTGGCGCAATTGTAGCGAAAGATCAGATTACAGCTCAAAAAGCTGCCAAATTGGTCAAAATTGATTACGAAGAGGTTCAACCAATTATAATTACGATTGAGGTATTCTATGAATATTCATAAAAAAAGCTAAATTATTCATTTGACAATATTACTTGAATGTTTTAGGATGCTATAAAAGCTCAATCTTTCTTCAAAAAACCAACGATTATCTGTAATGGGGATATAGATAAAGCATTTTCGAAATCAGATCATGTTATTGAAGGTGAAATAAGAATGGGTGGTCAAGAACATTTTTATCTTGAAACACAAGCTTGTTTAGTGAATTTTCGAGAAGAAGGAGAATTGGAAATATTTTCATCAACACAAAATCCCACAGCAATACAAAAACTTGCTGCACGAGTTCTCAATTTACCAATGAATAGGATTACTGTTCGAGTAAAACGCTTAGGAGGTGGCTTTGGTGGTAAAGAAACGCGCGAAGCACTCATTGCTTTGCCAGCAGCTTTGGCAGCGTACAAGTAAATATTTTATAAAAAATATAGTTTAAAACAAGTTTTTATAATTTGTTAATTTAAATAACATTAATTATAAATATGAATCCTCGTTGATTTCAGATTCAAAAGACCAGTGAGGTGTATGTTGGATCGCGATGAAGACATGATGATAACTGGTACAAGACATCCTTTCCTTACAAAGTATAAAGTTGGTTTCACTAAAGAAGGAAAGATTACGGCAGCAGAAGCTAGTTTATTCGCTAACTGTGGGTACTCAACAGATCTATCACCAGCGGTGGGTAATATAAAAATAATTTTTATTTTCAACAATTAATTAAGAAATTATAAAGATTTGTCATCTTTCAATAGGTTGTAGAATGCGCAATAGTTTACTTTATGAATGGATATCAAGTACCCGTAGCCAAAGTTTCTGGATATATGTGCAAAACCAATTTACCTTCGAGCACAGCTTTTAGAGGTTTTGGTGGACCACAAGGAATGTTTTGTGCTGAAAATATTGTACGACATATAGCAGACTTCCTCTGCAAAGATCATGTTGAGGTATTTAAAAAAAGCGGCACGAGCCTGATATTAAAAAACATATTTATGTAAAAATTTATTACTTTCTTATAATAATACTTTCTTTAATTTTAAGCCATTCAATAGTAAAAAATTAAAAATTAATTTCATGATATATAATTAAAATTGATATGAATCCAGACATCTTTAAGTAGAATTAGTATAGTATTGTTGAATGAATAAATAAAAGAATTTAAGTAATCGATTAAATATATTCCAATAAAACGATTTTATTACAGATTTCAGAAATGAACTTGTATAAAGACGGAGACATCACTTTTTACAACCAACCGCTTGAACATTATAATTTAAGAAAATGTTGGGAAGAATGTCTATTTTCAGCCAATTATAAAGAAAGGAAGGAAACAATTGCTCAATTCAATAAGTAAAAACATTTTTGAATATTTTATTTTATTTATTTATTTATTTATTTTTAACCAAAAATAAGATTTTCATATAACATCAATAGTTTTTATGGGACTTCGCTGTATATTTCAACATTGCTCTATAGTTCTTAGTACTAAAAATTCATATTCTATTTATAGAGAACATAGATATAAAAAACGTGGAATTGCTGTAGTACCAGTAATGTTTGGTATAGGCTACGAAGTAGATTTTCTTAATCAAGGTGGTGCACTTGTTCACGTTTATACCGATGGTTCCGTTCTTCTGAATCATGGTGGTGTCGAAATGGGACAAGGTTTATATACAAAAATGATTCAGGCATGAAAGTTATAAACCATCTACTTTATTATAATTCACAACAACTAATAAAATTTTATTCGACATTATTGTTTATGCAGGTGGCTACTAGAATTTTAAAAGTGGCTCCAGAAAAAATACATACAGTAGAAACGTCAACTGATAAAGTTCCAAATACCTTAGCAACAGCTGCAAGTCTTGGTTCTGATCTCAATGGAGCTGCGGTACAGGTAATAAAAATGATACATCTAATAATTTCTACTACAATGCTTGATGGATATGTTCAATATAAATTAATTATTTCTGGTCTATAGGATGCTTGTATTAAACTTATGGAACGTCTTAAATATATAATTGATGAAAATCCCGAAGGGGTATGGGAAGATTGGATAAAGAGAGCTTACTTTGATAGAGTTAGTCTATCAGCAACAGGTTATTATAAAACTCCAGAGATAGGATATGACTTTGAAACTAATTGTGGAAGAAGAATGAATTATTACACATATGGCACGGCATGCACAGAAATCGAATTAGATTGTTTAACTGGAGATCATGAGGTTCGTAACGCTGATTTATTAAAATGACTTAGAATTTACTAAAATGCATTAATTATAACTGTTGAACTTGTATTAGGTACTAAAAACTGATATCGTTATGGACCTCGGTCAAAGTTTGAATCCGGCGATTGATATTGGACAAATTGAAGGAGGATTTATGCAAGGTTATGGATTGTTCACAATCGAAGAAATGGTATACTCGCCCAATGGAATTGTATTTAGTCGTGGTCCAGGAGTTTATAAGATACCAAGTTTCACCAATATACCAAGAGAATTCAACGTATCTTTACTCAAAGGTTCTTCCAATCCTCGAGCAGTTTTTTCGTCAAAGGTAACATATATTATGATATTAAATTTCATTTCAAAAACGTGAAAGAAAATTAAAAAAACTTTATTAACCCATCATAATTGCATTAAATGAACAAAAATTTCATAAAATTTACTTTCTTTGGAAATTAATAATCATTTAGCTAAATTTCTTGATTAAATTTTCAGCCAATTCGAAATATATTTTTTGAAATAATATTTTTTACTTTTACAATAGGCTGTTGGTGAACCTCCATTATTTTTGGCATCGTCCGTATTTTTTGCAATTAAAGAAGCTATTCGAGCAGCTCGAAAGGACATGGGAATTACTGGATTTTTTAGACTTGATTCCCCTGCAACTGCAGCTCGAATTCGAATGGCTTGCGTAGATAGTCTCATTAAAAAAGTAAATATTATCCTTTTTATTGTAACTGAATTCTTTTGAATATTTATGCTTGTTTTATTTATTGTAGGTTGGCGACGGAGATGGAAAGAAGGCATGGAATATTATTCCTTAGTATAATAAAATATTAATTTATAGTGTTATTTTAGTTTTTTTTAATTTTTAAATTACACATTTTTGATTTTAATAACGAACTTATTAAAATATTTTTTAAATAATGTATTTTGACTGTTCATAAACAACATACAAAAACTTGTTTACATGATATTTTTTTATGACATTCGTTAAAATGTTACTATTGTTCAACTAAATAATTTTTGTGATCCACTACTTCGTATTATCTACCGAAGTAAAAAAATACCTTGAATGATTGAAAAATTAAATAAAGAAAATACACGTATATCAGAATTTATTCATGTATTAGTTATCATTTTTATACTCCTTTTTTCATACTCTAAAAAAATAATCACTTGTCATATACGTGTAATGCATAAGTCAGTAATTAAAACTAAAACAGAGTTTATTTGCATTAATTCTAATTATTATTTTGTAACAAATACGTAAGATAATTGATAGTAATGAGAAATGATATGTTTTCTTATTTATCGACCAAACCAGTATCTTATTTGAAAATGAAGTGTATACACACACACACGCGCGCGCGCGCGCGTTAGCAAGTGATAATAAACAAACCATTACTAATTTCGAATCATATTTTGAAATATTTTGGTGATTATATTTTGGTGCTATTAATATTGTCTACGGTTATATTTTTAAATTTACATAAAACTGTTGAATACTCCAGTGACTTAACTGCTGCATTGTGTTATATGCGTAATTTCATATCTCTATGGCTGGTTTGCATTGCAGACTTGCAGAGGCTTTCTCTTACTCCCTCTCAAATACCCAGACTTTTCTGTCTCTGTTCTTCTCCATTGCATGGTCGTCGGTTCATAAGAATGCAGTGTACTCACGTGTCCTTCACTTCTCATATTATCAGCAATCTTTTTTTTAATCCCATTCCCCTTTCCAGCTCGCTGGAAAAAAGAGTATAATGCGGTAAATACGTAATGTAACGAAGCTGTCGTGCAAGAGTATCAGGTAGTCTGGGAAGTAATACACAACTAGTAGCATACGAAGTTCCAGTGAAATAGTTTGATTATTCACGTGATCTCATAAAGACTATGGAACTTTGCTAAGAACGCTATTACGCTTAACTCTTAGCTATTGATCAATTCAAATAGAATTTCTAGTTACGTTTGTGATTTTTTGCTTCTTGAGATATGGAACGATTGAAAGCAAATAGTAACATCGATTTTGAAGATGAAATTTACTCTCATCAACCAGAGAATGTCACCAATTTTTTAGTTTTTTATGTTAATGGAAAAATGGTAAAATTGTATTTATTTAAATTATTTGCATTTAATATAATTGTGCCAATCAGAAAGTCAGGCGGAACAGTTGTGAAATGTACTGTTGAATATAATTTATCAGTATTTTCTCCATTTAAAATCTAGTTTGAGAATTCTAGAAAGATCCCATAACTGTCATATTAAAAAAAAAATTATATTTTTTTCTGAACGGTAGAGAAAACGAAAATTATTTTTGGACCGCTCGTTTTCTTTCTTTAAATCAGTACTCCAGATTAAGTGAAATATTTTTCGAAATGATTAATTTAACCATTTTTATGAAAATTAAAAAAAATTATTTTAATATGTTTTATGGATCGAATTTTAAAAAATTCTTATAAAAATTCTTATAAAAATTTATAAAAATTAATTATGTCGAAAAACTCTTCACTTAATTTCGAATGCTAATATATAAAAAAAAGACGAATCTGTCGAAAATGATTTTTGTTGGTTCTAGCATTCAGAAAAATGCGACAAACCAAATTTTTTCAAAAAATAAGGTGTTACGGTTAAAAAGACTTTCAAGAATTCCTAATTGAGAGTTTGAAACTTAAACAAGAAGAAAATGAAAGCATTTGTTGAGTACTTGGAAGTGAAAAAGTGTTCATGATAATAATTCTATAAAAACAATTTTTACACTATAGTAAAGATAACTTGTAATATTTACTTTTTTAATACCAGCTGGTGTTCTTAAGCAACTCGCAATATTTATGTATATCCGTATTAATATATATGTAAAATGAAGGGTATTAAGTTTGAATGTAATATTCGTCAGATCAATGAAAATTTTTCACATTCAGAAATTTTTTAGGTTGAAGATAGCGAAGTTGACCCGGAATGGACATTAATATATTATTTACGTAATAAGTGTATCCTTTTCATCATGTAAACAAGATGATAATGGATTATAAAAGTTCTCAATCATTGAAATATTATCTTTAATTGAGCTTTATAGTAGGATTGACAGGAACTAAATTAGGCTGCTCCGAAGGAAATTGCGGAGCATGCACAGTAATGATTTCGAGATATAATCGGACACAGGAAAAAATAATGTATCCTTTTATATATAAAGAATATAGAAATATAATTCTTGATAGCGTGAACAAACCATGTTTTTTTTTTAAAATGATAAAGTTATATTAAAATTCTGAAAGTACAAAAACTTTTTATCAAACATTTACATAATCGGATGCTATATTTATTATAACGTTTATTCAAACAAAACAATATTAAAAATTTCTTTCTTTTAAATTAAACAGATCTCGTCTGTAGAAATGTTTTGAGATATTTATTTTACTTTAATTATGTTGATGTCTTATATATTCAGATGAGTCAAATTGCACTTTAAACCTTCAACTAGTTAGACAACAAATCTCACGGCCAATTTTGTAAATAACACTTCTCTTTCAATATTTCTACAAGAATATATCTTTAAGTGATTGGAAAATCACATTTTTCATATTAGTATTACTTGAAAGTAATTACACATACATTAAAACTTAACACAACTTTAAAGTCATTTTGCAGCCAATGCATGTTTGACACCTATTTGTTCTGTACATGGTATGGCTATTACTACTGTGGAAGGTATTGGTAGCACCAGATCAAAACTACATCCGGTACAAGAACGAATAGCTAAATCTCATGGGTCACAATGTGGATTTTGTACGCCAGGAATTGTTATGTCTATGTATGCTTTGCTAAGGAGTAAGGCTATACCAACGATAAATGATATGGACATTGCTTTTCAAGGTGAGCCTAGCAGTGGGATTATAATTTTTGAAATTGCGCGCAACAAAGTATGTTTTTCTTAGATTTGTGTGTACGATATCTATATAATTGTATGTACAATATAATGCATAATATTAATTTTAAAATGTATTGCAGGAAATTTATGCAGATGCACAGGATACCGGCCTATCATAGAAGGGTTTAGAACTTTTATTGATAAATCAAAAGATTCTCATGGCTTAATGTTCAAAAACAATGAAGACATAAAAACATGTGCCTTAGGAAATGCTTGTTGTAAAAAAGTATTCACTTCAGAACCCGTGGAAATGTTCAATTCTAAAGAATTTTCATTGTACGATCCTTCTCAGGAGCTTATTTTTCCTCCACAATTACAAGTATGACAATTAACTTTATGTGCATCGAAATCATCTTGAATCACCGTAAACGTACATTATTTTCAGTTATCACCAAAATTAGATGATGAATATTTGATCATAAAAGGAAAAGAAGTTACGTGGTATCGACCAACTAGTTTGAAACAGTTACTCATTCTGAAAAACCAATACAACAATGCCAAAATAGTAGTTGGTAACACTGAAGTCGGTAAAATCGATAGAAATTCAAATTAATTTTTTTATTTATCTCCATTGTATTATTATTTTTACTACTATATTATATTAATTTCAGGTGTTGAAGTGAAAGTGAAACATTTTGCATATCCGATTCTTATTCAGCCTACTCAGATACAAGAATTAAGAGTACTAGAAGAAACAACTGGTGGAGTTAAAATAGGAGCTTCAATTCCGCTTACTGAATTGGAATCGTTTCTTCGAAACCAGATCTGTACAAAACCCGGTTCGTTATATTTCAACATTTTTATGAAATATAGATAAGATATTTTAGTTAATGTATGAATACTATATATCAAATACTTTTCTTGATGTAGAATATATGACAAGAATTTTCCGAAATATTGTCAATATGCTTCATTGGTTTGCTGGTCTACAAGTACGAAATGTTGCTGTAAGTATTATCGAAAATAATATATTGCTGACGATACTTTTAAGAAAGAATTTTCATTAAAAAAATTCTTAAAATGAATCACAATTATTTATGCAGTGCATTGGAGGAAATATTATGACAGGAAGTCCAATAGCGGATTTGAATCCAATCTTCATGGCGGCTGGCATAAAAATGAACCTTTGTAGTATTAAGAGAGGTTTTAGAAATGTTATAATGGATGATAAATTTTTCGTTGGATATCGACGTAATATCGTAGATACAGATGAAATTTTGATAGATATTGAGATTCCCTATAGCAATCCGGTAAACAACTATGCCTAGTCCATGTATAACAATTTGTCTACACTGTTATCAACTATTTATATATTTATTTCATAGAATCAATATTTTGTATCATATAAACAATCTAAAAGACGTGATGACGATATAACTATAGTAAACATGGCTATGAATATATTTTTTAAACCACGTACAAACATCGTTGAAAGGGCATTTTTATACTACGGAGGATTGGCTCCTGTTACAACTATGGCAATAAAAACATGCAAAAGTTTACAAGATATGTAAGATCTCTTTATCATTCGCATTTTGAGAAAGTAAAATATTTCACGATAGTTCATAAAAACCTCGAATTACAGGGATTGGACTCAAGATGTACTAACTAAAGTAATGGATACTCTTGTGCAAGAACTTCCACTTTCGGGAGATGCACCAGGTGGCATGATACTTTATCGTCGATCGTTAAGCCTAAGGTAAAATATTAGCGAATAAAAGTTAAGATTCTTGACGTAAAAGCATAGCATTTGTTTTATAAATACATTCAAAAAAAATTTTTTTAGCTTATTTTTTAAGGGTTTTATAAGTATTGCGAAACAATTAGAAAAAAACTTGGCAAACGTAATGGTTGTGCCGAAAGAACTGAATTCAGCAGCTGATGATTTTCACTACAAACCTCCTAAAAGTTCTCAGTATTATCAGATGGTAAAATTATGATAACATAATTGATTATGTATTCTTAATAGAGAGTACTCCAAAATTTTACAATGACACTAGTTTTATATATTAAGATTCTGATAACCTTCCATTACAATTAATCAGGTTCCTATTGATCAACCGTCAATTGACTTAATTGGAAGACCATTAGTCCATGCAAGCGCTTTTAAGCAAGCTACTGGAGAAGCCATTTACTGCGATGACATCCCTCGCATAAATGGCGAGCTGTATTTAGCTCTCGTACTATCTACTAATGCTCATGCTAGGATAATAGAAATCGATAAATCTAAGGCCTTAGCACTAAAAGGGGTAGTGGCTTATTTTGATGCTAATGATATACCGGATTATCGTAGACAAGTAGGACATATTATTAAAGATGAAGAGGTTTTCGTATCTGAGGAAGTAGGTTAAAATAATATTTATCGTGAAGTAAGTTATGCAAGATTATGATTGAAAATTTATGACGTTAGGTAACATCTCACGGTCAGGTAGTTGCAGCTATTATTGCAACTCACCAGTCAATCGCACAGAAAGCTGCAAGAATGGTGAGAATTGATTATGAAGAGATACGACCACTCATACTCACGATTGAAGTGAGTTGTTTTAATTATCATTTTATTATTATATGATTGTTTTATGTATTATTATATGAGTATTTTATGTCTATAAATAATTCGACTATCATTTGATTCATGCACTATTTATAATAGAAACAACTTCATGCTGGCTTCAAAAAGGTTTATTGATAAAATTTCGTTTGCATGAAGATTTCAGTAACATTAAAAATACAAAACAACATATAATAGAATAATTTCATCAATATAAATAAAATCATAGGACTTTTTTCATGTGTGTTATATTTGTAGGATGCCATAAAAGAAAATTCATTTTTCGATGATTGCACTCAAACAATTATTAAAGGAAATGTAAACGAGGCTTTTGCAATTTCTGATCACGTGCTTGAAGGTGAAATAAGAATCGGCGGTCAAGAACATTTTTATTTAGAAACTCAATGTACCATTGCTGTACCAAAAGAAGAACATGAAATGGAAATATTTTGCGCAACTCAAGATCCTTCAGGCACACAGAATCTTATTGCTCATGTTTTAGGAATACCCATCAACAAAGTGGCTATCCGCGTAAAGAGACTTGGTGGTGGTTTCGGTGGTAAAGAATCAAGACATATGCTCGTTGCTCTTCCCGTCGCATTTGCTGCTTATAAGTAATTAAAATTTAGCATTCAAGATAATTTCGCATAAAATAATTTCCTTCTTTTCTATTTTATATTGATATTTATTTTCTAATTTAAAAACAAATATTAATTTATTAATATTTTTATCGATGTATTCAATTTGTATCGATCTTTCTAACTTTAGTGTTACAAATTATTATATTTGCGTGTATTAATTTTTATTTCTATTATCAACATGACATGAATTCCTTTAAAATATTTTATTCAAAACTATAAGAAATTAAAAATTAAAAGTGAACATATTGAATTACTCTATATCATAAAAATTATAAACTTCTTAAAAAGATTTAAAACGCTTCAGTTTTTCACACGAGGCAATTATTATTTAAATTATACAACATAACGTAACTTCAAAACGTCTTTATCATAAGTTTATAGAAAGTCATAATGTCAGAATTATCAGAATGATATTATGGTTATATTCATACATACATGTTCAAAGAAAAAGCGTGTAATTTATGAAAGATCTTTACTATACTAATCTTTAATATATTTTTTTAGATTACAAAAACCGGTGAGATGCACATTGGATAGGGATGAAGATATGATGATAACAGGAACGAGGCATCCATTTTTATTTAAATACAAAGTTGGCTTCACAAACGAGGGAATAATAAAGGTTCTAGAAATATATGTTTATGCTAATGCAGGGTGCTCTCTTGATTTATCCAAACCAGTAAGTATACATTCGATGCATCTAATAAACACAAATATTTTCGTAAATTTTTCAATAAATATTCTTTTCATGTTTAATAAGATTTTGTTACGTAATAGAAAAAAATCGAAAATGATAATTGGTTATTTTTACATTTCAATATACTAGGCTGTATTTCGTGCTATGACTCACGTGGAAAATGCTTATAAGATACCAGTTATTAAAGTTATTGGTAAGTTATGTAAAACAAATTTACCGTCCAACACTGCATTTCGTGGTTTCGGTGGACCCCAAGGAATGTTTGCTGGTGAAACTATAATTAGACATATTGCTGAATATCTTCACAAAGACACAGTAAAGGTAAATTAAAAATAATAAACAAACTTAGATTATAAAAATCTCTAACTATTTAATTATTCATTTTTAGATTTCTGAACTGAATTTATATAAGGAAGGTGATGTTACTCATTATAATCAAATTCTCGAAAACTGTACATTACAACGTTGTTGGAAAGAATGCTTAGCATTTTCAAATTATCAAAATAGATTACAAGACATTCAAAAATATAATCAGTAAGTTTAATTTATGAACATATACGTAAGGAATGGAGGATACAATTATGAGACTATAAAATATTATATTCAGGGAAAACAGATATAAGAAAAAAGGATTAGCTATCATTCCTACAAAATTCGGAATAGCTTTTGAAACTTTATTTCTCAATCAAGGTGGAGCGCTTGTTCACATCTATACAGATGGATCAGTACTTCTGACTCATGGTGGTGTAGAAATGGGTCAAGGAGTACATACAAAAATGATTCAGGTTTTTATTTAAATATTCGATTATAATTTCAACTAATGAAATATTAAACAACGATTTTTCTGATTTTCAGATAGCTAGTAGGATCCTAAAAGTAAATCCAGATAAGATTTGTATAACTGAAACTGCTACTGACAAAGTTCCAAATACTATTGCTACGGCTGGAAGTACTGGATCTGATTTAAATGGAATGGCAATAATGGTCTATAAAATTACAATTACAAATAAACTATCCATAATAATAGAACTTTTAAATTTAATAAACTTAAATAGATAATTATTATTTAATGGACTTACACTAAAAATACTTTTTTCAGAATGCTTGCAATGAAATAATGAATAGAATAAAATACATAATTGAAGCTAATCCAGATGGTTCTTGGGAAAGTTGGGTTGAAAAGGCGTATTTTGATCGAGTTAGTCTTTCAGCTACTGGATTCTATCGTACACCTGATATTGGATACGACATTAATACCAATTCCGGTATCTTGTTCAACTATTATACGTATGGAGTAGCCTGCAGTGAGGTTCAAGTTGATTGCCTTACGGGAGATCATCAGGTAACAGTACAGTAATTCTATATTTCTTGGTTATTAATTATTTACTTCCGTTATAATCGTTATTTAAATATCCAAGTGAAAAGTTTTCTTATGAGTGGAATATATATATAGTAACAAAATTACAATTAAAATTAAAATCGTACCTAATGTTATAATTTATATTTGATAGGGAGATAGTTTTCTAAAATAAATTAGATATCAATACTACCGTAATATATAGATTTATTCAACAATTATTGGTATCACAAAAATATTAACAAAAATATAGCTTGAATAATACATTACGATACAAGTGCGGGAAAGTAGATTTTTGTTTCGTGTGGCCTTTACGCCAGAGCGAAGCGAGAAAAGCGAAACTCTTTCCCGAACATGTGCCGTGTCGTATTTTTTATACGACGTGTGGAAAGTGCGATTTTCAACGCACGTTTTCTGCCAAGCGTGCGGGAAAGATGCACTTTGCGCACGGAGTATCGAAAAAAAATTTTCATAATAAATGGGCTTTTGGAAATGAATTCATTACGAAATTATTATTTGGAAAAAATATATCTATCAGTAATCTATTTTCCTATAAAGGTATTTTGAGTACCCTCGTAATTTTATATAGAACTATTATTTTGTTACTGACAAGAATGTATTTCTCGTAGGTTTTGAAAACAGATATTGTAATGGATTTAGGAGAAAGCTTAAATCCCGCAATTGATATTGGACAAATTGAAGGAGCGTTTATACAAGGATATGGACTCTTTACAATGGAAGAAATGATCTACTCCCCAACAGGAATAGTTTTCAGTCGCGGTCCAGGCGTTTACAAAATTCCTGGATTCGCTGATATTCCACAAGAGTTCAATGTTTCTTTACTTAAGGGTACTTCTAACCCTAGAGCGGTGTATTCTTCCAAGGTAGTATGTTAATAACAGTACATTACGATAGATTCTTGTCTCGTGTGGTGTTTACGCCTGAGCGAAGCGAGGGTGGAAAAGTACACGAGACGAGAAACTCTTTTCCGAACATGTACCGTACCGTATTTTTTTATACAACGTGTGGAAAGTGCGATTTTTAACGCACGTTTTTTGCCGAGTCGGGGGGGGGGGGGGGACGCACGGAGTGTCGAAAAATTAATTACGAATGTGGGCTTGCAAAAGTTATTAGTATTACAAGTTTTTGAAAACTTACAGAAAATCAATTTTTATTTTGTAGTACAGATAAGAATACTGTAGATGTGCTATACAAATGTTTCGCATGCAATTTTTTTTTTCATATAAAATTGAAAAAAGAAATGAAATTTACTATATACTATTATATTTACGATATCAATTTTACATATATTTTATTAATATGCAATGCGAAAATAACTAATCAATTAGCTCGTTTTAATAATTTAAAAATATGTCTATTTTATCCAATAAAGACACGGCAAATGAAATCTATAGTAAAACCAAGAGAATGAATCTACTTTTACGAGTTTTAAAAGAGCATAATTATGTAAATTCGTTATTTAAATCAAATACTTGAAAATAAAGACAATTGTTTAACAGGCTGTTGGAGAACCGCCGTTGTTTCTATCATCTTCTATATTTTTTGCTATACGAGAAGCAATTAAAGCAGCACGATCAGATATGAATGTTGAAGGATATTTTAGACTAGATTCTCCAGCAACTGTTGCTCGAATACGTCTGGCATGTACAGATGATTTCACGAAAAAGGTATTAAGATAATAAAATTCGTCTTCTTTTTTGAATGAGCAATCGTAATAATAAACGTTTAATTTAATTTGTAGATAGGAAATGGTGATGGAAAAAAGCCATGGAATATAACGCCGTAATTGATACTATATCACAGAAACGTAATATAAGTTTCTTTAATGCATAACTTATGACTTAATAAACATGTCATAAATGTAAAATTTGAACAAATTTAGGAAGAGCTTTTAAAGTTGCATCTATTTATGAATGACAAATGAGTATATATTTATATAATATTGCATTACTTGTTAAATTATTTAATCTAAAATTAATCCTAAATGCAAATAAAAATATTTTTAAATGAAAGCCATCATTACATTACAATAATTTCAATTGAGTATCTACGTTTTGAAACGTTCATTACTTATTTTACATAAAAAAGACATTTGAGAACCCACCTGATCTCTGAATATATTTCTGACCGACATCATAAAAAAATTTTTTAATAGAAGTCCACCTCAAGAACAGTAAATAATGTAAAAACAAATTTATTATTACTTCTAACATTCGTAAAATCCGGTTCAAAAATCGATTTGTGGCATAACCCGATTTGTTATATCGTTCCCATAATGTTTAATGAATATTAACACGTGCATTATTGGAATATTTACAAACAATGTAGTATTGAGAAAATAATTACTCAATAAACAAATATACATATTAAATTTTGACTATTAGAAGCTAGACACTATAAGACATCCTTCGAAATTTGTTCGCTTCAATCCATCAATAATTATTTTGTTACGAGTGAGATTAATTAATTAATTAATTAATTTAGTTAGACTAATACAGGAGTAGCACACGGGACTCTCTTCAACCTGGTGTAACGTCGGTTGACGAGACAATTCTCAGGCGCACTTTTTTTTGGTCTATCCTTGCGGACAATAACCGGGACGTGCGTTGCCACTATCGCGGAAAATTCTTTTTTCGGCGACGGGGGATTGAAGCTTTACTATACCACACACTTGGCACTACAGTAATGCTTCGCGTTATTTTACCACACTCTTGGTAATAAAATAACGAAAAAGGGGAGCCTATCTAATATGCACTCGACCACACGCTTGGCAATCGAGTGTAACTATCTAAGAAAGAAAAACCCGTACGCGAAACTAGGAAAGGAAAGAGTAAGGAGAAAAAAGTTAATGGAAAGTAGTTAGAGTGTAAATTTTTTTATTTAATTTTTCTTACTCACTTTTTATAATAGTTTTCCCACACACACTGAAAAATTAACTGGAACTTGAACAGACGAAATCGAAAAATTAACTGGAACTTGAATAAACGAACTCGAAAAAGATACACAAAACGAATTAGAGAAACTAGAAAAATCTGAGCGAACTAGAAAACAACTGCCCAATTTTCTTGAAAAGCTCTCTTTTATACTTTTCGCAAGAGACTCCCACTCGAAATTCTTTCATTTTTGGGCAGGAAGAATTCAAATTTTCTCAACTTAATTGGTTGGAAAATATGGGGAGTGTCTCAAGCGTAAGCAAAATTCGAACCCTAATTGGCCGGGGGCGAAGTGTGCGGGAGTGGCCTCATTTAAGCGCTGTGGGCCCTCTTCACATAGATGGCCCTCTATGTACTATTTTGACCTTTAATTATTTAAACTAATTCTATTTAAAATCAATTGCCTGTGTGGTACTCTAATTTTACAAAAATATCTCTTGATCTATAATAAAACTAAAGTACAGAACAAAAGTTAAGAATTATATTTATCTGAAAACAACCAAGATATTAATAGTCTTAACTATTAATTAATTATTAAAAAGCCTTAAGAAATGCTGAAAAATCAGAGTTAATTATAATAAATATTGTCATTAACTTTCGTTCAAGCCATTCTTAAATTTTCTAAAGCAAAGTTGAGCGCATTCAACAATTAAACATACAAAATTAGTAAAAAGAAAATCCTAATAAATACAAAAAGATAATGAATTATTCCCATATTTATATTTAGGTATAAAATTAAAACATATCCGAGCAATAAACAAAAACTATTAATTAAAATAGTCCTTGTTGATTACTCGAATGTTACTCACAATGGATAAATTTCGCAATTTTTTAAGAGATCTGCAAGCAAATGCGCTTCTTTCAATTTAAAAGAAATTAGTAATATTGAGAATAAATTATTTAAAATAAAATAACAGTACTATCGGCAGGATGCACATGTGCGCTGCAGATCTCTACTTTCTAAAGATGCTCGCAATCTGGCTACTCCGGATGGCTCGATCGTAAAATCGCTCTGATTGTTTTCAACATCCGAAGATTGCCACATGCGCGAGCCGAAAACTGCCGTTCACAGAAAAAATTTTCCTTATTTAGCTGTACGCAGTTTTTTATCGTAATTTACGAGCTAAGTGTGTAGCCGGTATTTTTTGTCTTTTTTTTTTTTGAGCCGCCGTTACACTGGTTCTGAGTTGAAGAACCTCCTTAAAGACGAACTCAAGGTGAGTGTTGCTAACTGAACTTTATCAAATAACAGATTCTGAACAAAGTTTAAGCGTTATGAAAAAATATAATCCTTTTGATATAAAATATATTAAAGTAATAACTCCATGTTTTTGGAGATTGTAATGATTACACGATTGTTATATAAAAAAAGTATAGATATTAGTATTTCACATAGTAAGTGAGGGAGTGTTCATACGGGATCCCTCTTCCTTCCTGACCCCGGGGCCGTTCCTGTTCGAGATTTTATATGCATACATCATCTCCATAACTTCAATCTCAGTGGTAAGTTTCATAATGAATGCGAGATGCGCATCTTAATCTATAAACTCGAAATTACAGATATGGCGTGCGCATACGAAGCGTGGACACTCCCTGATATATTTCTTCCTTTCTTCAAAATGGATTTTTCCTTTTATAAAAAATAGATGATTGGTAAGTAAAGCTATTCTATTCATGATTTGATTGGCTGAATGTAGTCACGTGGGTTGAAAACTGCATTGGACATTCATTTGCGACCCGTGAAGTTCAAAATCTAAATTATTTTTGATGCTTGAACATCAATGGAATAAAATCATTTTTTTCTAACAAATTGCGGGGCATAATTGCCAAAATAAGACCTTTAAATTAATTTCGTTTTGTGTTATAAATGTTCAAATATATCGAAAATAATTCATCTTTGAATTTCACGACTCACGATTTAATATTTAAGTGTATTAATTGTGCAGATAATATTATAATGTAGCATAGCAACTGACATATTTAGCGAATTGGCAGTAATCTATGTGTTTTACATGGTCAATATATTCGTAAACCTTAAATAAACTCTACATTCACTCAATTCACTAGGATAAAGTAATACTAATGTTCTATTTTCAATTGCAGTTATTCCTTATACAGATAAATATCTTTGTTATAAAGTTAAGCTTCGAATAAATGCCATCAATATGATGAAAACAATTGTAAATTGATAAATTATTTCATATAAAATATTATGAAGTGATTACGACTCATTTGGCGCAGTAATTTATTTCAACATTTTTTTTAGTTATATGTATGTATTGTCAAGGCTGAGTATTTGAAAAGTGATGATTATGATGATTGTTAAAACTGAAAATTTAGAAAATGATTTTAAGGGGCTACTTGGGTTAAAGAACAACTTCTTTAATTATTTTTTTGATAGAAGATAACATATTGAAGTGATATATTTTATCACTATCAAATAAATTAAGTTTTGAACTATTTAAAAAAAAAATGTTTATAAAAAAATATCGAAAATACGTTCTCTTATGGCTATTTTACAAAAACCTTCAAAAAATTATAACTTAGATTAATCATTTTAAACAAAAAAACCAAACTTTTTCTGTTAGTGTATGAGTTTAGCATGTACTTGAACGAAGGATTTGTAAAAAAGTTGAAATCTAAATTTTTGGCGAGGTTGCATGTCAAAAATTTATTTTTTGACATAAAAACCTAATATTTAATGTCATGTGTAACAAATTTCAATAAATGAAAAAAAAAAATCTTTCGTCCAAATAAAATATATTCTATTTAAAAGAAGTGTGCAAAATTTGGATAAGATTTGTGCATTAGTTTTTGAGCTATTGTGTGCACCGACTTGAAAATTACCATTTCGAGAAAAACGCGTTTAAAGTTTAAAGTAAGAAAAAAAACGATTTTTTCGAACTTACATAGAATCATCGATACCAGGCCTATAAAGCAATTGTCCTCTTGCATCAGCTACGTCTAAAGTCTCTTTTTGCTTATATCTAAATTAAACTAAATTTCACTTCAGAAGTTGCATTAAATGAAAAATATAATTCACACAGGTGGGGCAGATCAAAGTGGGGAAATCGCTCCCTGTTCCGTACGACCGAGTATAATTTAACCGTGGTTTCTCGGCTCGTTCGGCAGGCATCATTCAAGTATTAGTCAGAAAGCTCTTGGCTATCAGCGAGGCAAGTTGTCCATTCGTTATTAACTCGATTCAAGCGCACTTATAATTTCCGATCGTCTAAAGACATTATTTGTTTTTACAATTTGATTTCATTTGATTATTTATAATTAATAAATACTAATAATTTTTTGTCATAATAATAAATTAGATATAATTTTGTAATAATTGTTTTTATTCACACTACTCTTATCGCGAACACTCCCCTTTCTAATATATAGCACGGATCGACATCAAACTTTCAGAGAGTACTTTTGTTGAGTTTTACTTTAAGATGAAACAATAATAAAAACAATTTTTTCATTATGTTAAACCCACTCAACTTCTTAAGAAAATAACAGCGATGAATCAGCAAAAACTGATTTACAGTATTTTTGATCAGACCCAACTGATAGTTCGATGTTTTTAAAAAAACAGAAATAAACTTACCTTACCCATTACCTATAGCTAAACACTGCTATTAAATTTGAAAAGGTTATTGAATTTAAATATCAACGTAATTGAATAATTATTTACTAATTAATCTTGAAGATACTAATCAAATTTACGAACTAATAACGGCTGTCGTTAAAATTAAAAATTTCCTTTATAAGAGTTTTGATTCAAGTATTAAACTGCGTATTAATTATATAAACAAGAAAAAAGCCCGTGAAGCAAGCTTGATGATGAAACTAGTGTTACATTCTTGTCGGAAATAATTTAGGCATAAAATTATAATAAATAGAAATTATCAGTTAGTAACATTTGCTAACGGTTATTTACGATTTATAACCGTTTCTTATTGTCAGATTTTTGACATGTATAAGAATTATAATGAGTTATTTTCAGTTAAAAACAGGCATTATTAAATAATAACAGTTTGTTTAGTTACTAGCAGTTAATTGCATTTTTATTCACCAAAACAAATTTATTTTTAGAAATAATAGATGCAAATAACTATAAATAATTATTTCCAACAAGGATTATATGTTGTTTTCATAAGCAGAACAATGTTAAGGCTTGTTTTAAGAAAAATATCTATGTAATTTTTGTTATGGTTCAAAATTGTTAGATATTATATTGCATATTAGCCAATGAATGAATTTGATTACTGATTATCAGTTTTAATATACAAGTATTTTATCTGCAGCGTAATAACGTACGCATGAATTCATTCAGTAACGATTTGGTTTCATTTGAAATTCCGTTAAGGTAAATTAATACAAATGAAGCATTACCTAATTCAAAATGACTAAAGGTCAAACAAGAAAATAGAAGATTCATATTACATGTAAATTGGCGGTTAATATAGTACATAAACTAAATTATATTTCATCCTACTCTTCGCAAGTTCACTATTCCGGAAAAAAAAGAAAAAGAAAACGTAATAATTTGTTTGGAATAATTTGTCTATTTGAATTTGATAAATATATCTAGTTTTAGGAAAAGAAGAATGTCTGTCGATTTGCGAAATAATTTGTGGGTTGAGCTTAGATTACATTATGTAGAAATTTCTCAAATTATATCGAATGTGAAAGGTGCACACAACTTACACACACACACTCGCGCGCGCGCATACATATAATGTCTCGCTGTTCGAATAGATTTATAATAACAAATAAATGCTTTTTAAACTGATGAATTTTAATAGAGTGGAAAACAGAGCATCTGTTATTCACAATAATCACTTGGATTATTTGTTCTCGACAAAGTATCATTGATAAATAACGATTAATGCTACAAGTCCAGTGAAATGAGTAAGAGCTGTGGTCATGTTGTATTGCACCTGGAATATCGAAATGAAGGAGATAATCAAGATTTGATCGAAGGATGCGTCAAACTAGTTAAATGGGACTTAATCGACGGTCGCTGCGTTGCGTGCCAACTTGAGCGCACGGATGTTTTTACATTACGTAAATTGCGCTCCGTTCCCCGCTGCGTCCGCATGCTCGACGCAAGTGCATATTTTTATGTATTCGTCGACTCGCATTCGGATACGACGAGTTTCAGGCTAAACGGTTGGCGGTGACGGCGGCGGCGGCGGCGGCGGCTCGGCGCGGCTTCCTGCGGCTGCATTCAAGAAGCACCACGGTGGAGGGAAGTGCAGCATGACCCGCATATGCTCGTCGCTTCGCACATTCTCGGGACATTCGCGGATTATCCCTTCTCAAGGCACATTCAATCCTGGCAATAATTGTTATCACTTCAATAGCCGGAGACATCTGCATCGCGCGCGCATATATCGTCTTCGGTCGGCCATCGCGCGCGGTTATCGTGTTTATCTCTGCAGGCTTGCTTTAAGGGCTATAGCTATTATATACATGCACATCGTCATTAAGCTATAGCTCACGTGTAGATCATCATCGTGATTTGCAACTCGTAGCAGCGGCAACCTACTCAAGCGCGAAAAGGGGCGGCGCATGTTCCTGCTTGAACTTTTCTTTTTCATTCGTCTTGCAGCACTTTCTTCGCTGTCCCCTAAAGCAACTACACTTGCATCGTAACCGGTTCACCTTGAAAAACAAAATCGCAGGTCAGTCACTTTTCTGCTTAATATGTTCTTCTCGTCCACTGAACGAAATATATTTCAGTTCGCGTGCTCGGGTAGGCCAGTCAGGAGCGCTCGTGTTCTTCTCATTTATATACGTTCGTATAAAAAAGTAGTTTACGCAATGCATCAATGCAGTTTGCTTTTACTCATATACAACCTGTTCTTTACTTTAAATTTGTATAATACATTGTTTTAGCATTACAATATTGTCAGTCGAGTGAGCTTGAAATCAACAATTGCTTTCAAACAATAGCGACACAAAAAAACTGTTTACCTAAATGGAAAGAATGCTTATAGAGAATCTTTGTATCTAGAAATACTCTTTTGTTCTGAAGATTGTGTGCATTTTTCTTAAATATAATATTTGCTTAAATTATTCAACAATACGTGGTTGTAAATTGCATGTTTCTTATTTCTAGTGCATCGAATGCTTTTCTAAGCAAATCACTGGCATAATGGATGTGAAAAAAATGAAAACGAATACCATCGGACGAGAGAACGGAGGCAACATCAAGGAGGACTACTCAATCAATGGTGACTCCTACCAACGTTCGAAGATTAGCAATGTTCTTGTCTTTTACGTAAATGGCAAAGAGGTAAATGCATTTTCAATGAAAGGAACATTGATGTTTTTTTTCTTTTGTTAAAAATTTACTGGCAAAGAAAAAGCAAAACATGCTACTAATTTTTCTACATATCAATTAGTGTATACTTTATTTCTTCATGATTATTATATTAGTTAACATGTATGTAGAATTTTTTTTGAAATTTTACGATGCACTACATACAACGCAATTTAAATCATTGCGAGCGTATAAATCTTACCGATAATAATATATAAACAAGTGAGTTAGTTTTCAAGTGGAATGTCATTGGAATATTATCTATGAACATGACTAAAAATAAAAAAATCCTAAGTAAAATATATTAGTAAACAGTTGATTCTACTTAACTAACGTAGTCAATGCAGGCATACAATTGAATAGCAAAATATTTAAATCGAAATATTATTAAATCGAAATAACAAAGCTTTTTATAATTTTATTTATTACATACAGTATCAATTATTCTTAGTAAAGAAAATTGAGAGTGCCCAAACTAAACATAGCGAGTAAATTATTCATCATCTGAGCACGGGTAGATTAGATAAGTATCTATACGTTACATAGTTAAATATTATCTTTGCATGAGTTTATTCGTTACATATTGCCTCATTTTTCCATCGACTAGTTCTTTCGCTTGCAACAAATATCTCTGATGAATAAATATTTTCAATAGATTACTGATAATATCGATTTGATAAAATGTCCGATTATCGATGACAAACAATGTGCAAAAATTTCTATAAACTTTCCACTCTATCATTCTAGGAATTATCTTCATTGATAACAGACAATTGCAATTTGTTTAACTTATTTCAGGTCAAAGATGATGAAGTCGATCCTATGTGGACACTCCTTCACTATCTTCGAAATAAGTGTATCCTTTATTAATTAACTTAAAAGTATTATAAACTAAATTTCTATCTGACAAATTATATTCTTAACATAAAAAATAGTAGGTTTAGTTGGTACTAAATTAGGATGTGCTGAAGGAGGATGCGGCGCCTGCACGGTCATGATTTCAAGATACGACCGTAAATCGAATCGAATAGTGTATCCTTTTCCATTGTAAAAAATAGCTGACACTTTTTATTACATAAATCCTTTTGCATAAATAAAAAATTGTTAGCTTATTTTACATGGACAAAAAGTCACATGCTGACTAGGTAAACAACGTCATTACTTGTAGACATGAAAATAACTGGAATATTTATAACATATACAGATAAAAATAGTTGTAATTATGCTTGTATAGCTTTTATAAAAAAATATTAATATTTTTCACGATTATCTCAATTATTAGCGATAACCGATATTGACTTTAAATGTAATAATATGATCTTAGAAATGAAATACAACATAAAGAAATTATAATTCAGTAAAATAATTCACATATGATATTTGCCTTAAAGAAGAGTTGTAGTCACTTCTCAGCGAATGCATGTTTGACTCCCATATGCGCTCTTCATGGTATGGCTGTTATAACCGTAGAAGGTATTGGCAGCACTAGAACAAAGCTCCATCCGGTACAAGAGCGAATAGCTAAAGCACATGGTTCGCAATGTGGTTTCTGTACACCCGGTATCGTCATGTCGATGTATGCTTTGTTGAGAAGCATGCCGAAACCGACAATGACTGATATGGAGGTTGCTTTTCAAGGTATTTGGAATCAAGATGACACGTGTATCCTCTCTTATTTTTTCATGGCTATTTTATGAATTATGCAGCATTTATTTATTTATGTAATTAATTATCAACAATATCCAAAATAATTTTTCAAAGATTATTGAGAATATTCAAATATTCACAAGTTATAAACAGTAGGGAACTGTTCATAATTAATCTTGTCCGCTATAACTTGATATCGGTTATTTGCATGTTATTTGATGCTACGACAATTACGTCTTCGGACATCTGATTTTTTTATTAACATGCAAGCCTGACGTAGAATCATTTACGTAAGTTCATTCTTTTTTTACTGCGTGAAGTTAACAGATATCAAGAGTAAAACTGATTCAACGCTATCAATATATGCTTGACTTGGACTTATTAATACATTATTCAGATTTCGTAGGTACCAAATAAATGATGAATAAAGATCGATGTATTTATAGATGATCAGCTTTCGTTATATGATAACGTTATTAAATTGGATAAAAATAGGACGTTATCTTAATATCTTAATTTAAAATATTATTTATCACTCACAGAAGTCATCTTTGCAAACAAAGCAATTGGAATGGAATTAAAATGATTCAGTAATGCATCCGTTCTAATGTAATGTTTTTTCAGGTAATCTATGTAGATGTACTGGGTACAGACCGATTATAGAAGGTTTTAAAACTTTCACTGAGGATTGGCAACAGTCACAAAGGCTATCCCAAACAATAAATGAAAAAAATGTCGAATCAAAAGTTTGTGCCATGGGAGATGCTTGCTGCAAAAAGGCCTTTTCGTCCGAACCTACTGAAATATTCAATTCCAAAGAATTTCTACCGTATGATCCATCTCAAGAACCCATATTTCCCCCGAAACTACAGGTGAGTGAAAAAAAAGTACTGAAAGGAAAATATCTATATATGATTATCAATCCGATTTAATGTAATTTCCGATCTTTTTGGTAAAAACAAATTAGTTGTCTCCCAACCACGATGAAGAGTACTTAATTATAAAAGGAAAAGAAATCACTTGGTACAGACCGACGTGCTTAAAAGAAATTTTAGTATTAAAACAACAGTATCCGAATGCTAGAATAGTTGTAGGGAACACTGAAGTTGGTAAGAATATTGAAGTAATAAAATGATCTTCAAAAATAAAAATCGATCATTATTGCGTCATTATTTCAAAATAATTTCTAGGTATTGAAGTGAAATTCAAGCATTTTGTATACCCTGTACTTATTTCGCCTACGCAAATTAAGGAAATGAGGGAAATATCAGAATTGAATGACGCTATGAAAATTGGAGCAAGTGTGACATTGATTGAGATGGAAGATGCATTTAGACAACAGCTGAAAATCAAGCCTGGTAAATCATAATTAACAATTCAATAAAAAAGAACACAGTTTTAACAATGATCAATTATTATAGAGTATAAAACTAGAATATTTAAAGCATCGATTGAAATTTTACATCGATTTGCCGGTAAACAAATCAGGAATGTTGCGGTGAGTGTTGCTAATTGTCTTCAATTTAAGCTGACCGCAAGAATACATGGTACGTGCTCTCACTATAGGCTATTGGCGGAAATATTATGACTGGTAGTCCAATTTCTGACATGAATCCCGTATTGATGTCTGCTGGAATTAAATTGAATGTTTGCAGTCTTGCAAGAGGTTTCAGGACAGTTACAATGGATCACACATTTTTCACTGGTTACAGGCGTAATGTTATCGCACCAGATGAAATATTAGTATCGATCGAAGTACCTTTCTCACTTCCAGTAAGTTAATTGATAAAATAATAAGCACAAGTTAAGTTTAAATTGAATTATTGCTAATTATTGTGTACCTTTTCAGAATCAATACTTCGTTGCATACAAGCAAGCCAAGCGGCGAGATGACGACATTGCGATAGTTAATTTAGCTCTTAATATTCATTTTAAACCGAAAACAAGTATAGTTGAAAAAGCTTTTCTAGCATTCGGTGGAATGGCGCCGACAACAGTTTTAGCTAGAAAGACTTGCGAAGCCATGGTTGGCAGGTGATGTCCGTTTCCCTCGTACACCAAAATATGATTGAAATAAATTCTTTACTATAATATATTATCATTGTAGACAATGGAACGAGAAATTATTAGAACTGGTTACGAACCGACTTATCGAAGAACTTCCGTTATCTGGAGATGCTCCAGGTGGAATGATTTTGTATCGTCGGTCATTAACTTTAAGGTAACAATTTACAATTATACAAAGTAAATGGACCTCGTGAGAAAACGATGCTAATTTCGATTTTTTTTCTATTAGCTTATTCTTCAAGGGTTTCGTGTATGTAACAAAACAACTTAGGAACCACGTTTTCGATGTGGAACCTATACCAAAGGATATCGAATCAGCCGGTGAAGGTTTTCACTACATACCACCAAAAAGCTCGCAATATTATCAAGTTGTAAGTTTTATTTTTTTTATCTTAAATGTATCAAAGCTTTCGTTGTTTAAAAATATTTGACTTTCAAGGTATCAAATAATGGAAGTACAACCGACCTGGTTGGGAAACCTATAATTCATGCAAGTGCATACAAACAAGCAACTGGTGAAGCAGTTTATTTGGATGATTTGCCGAAAATTGTTGGAGAGTTGTACTTATCGTTCGTACTCTCCACAAGAGCTCATGCAAATATTTTAAAAGTCGATCCATCCCAAGCTCTTAATTTGAAAGGGGTGGTTGCATTTTTTGATGCCAACGATATTCCTGACCACGAAAATTCCATCGGACCAATATTGCACGATGAAGAAATGTTCATTTCTAAAAAAGTATGTAATTTCACAACTCCAAATAATTGAAATACCTGGGAGCTAAATATTTATCAAAAGTTCAAATTCGATAGGTAACAAGCCAAGGACAGATTATTGGAGCTGTTGTAGCCGTGGATCAGCATACAGCTCAACGAGGCGCGCGATTAATCAAAGTCGAATACGAAGATATACAGCCAATAATAATATCCATCGAAGTGAGACATTTAAACTTCTCGAATTTTGTAATTTTTTGTAAAGAATAAAAATGAACAACAAATGATCTGAAATAAAATATAATTGTAGGAGGCTATAAAGCACCAATCTTTTTTCGATGGCAGTGGCAAATGTATTGTGAAAGGGAACGTCGACAAAGCGTTCGCCGAGTCGGATCACGTAATAGAAGGCGAAGCTCGTATGGGTGGACAGGAACACTTCTATCTGGAGACTCACGCTTCATTTGCGATACCACGGGAGGAAGATGAAATTGAGCTTTTTTGCTCAACTCAGCATCCCTCAGAGATACAAAAGCTTGTTGCACATGTGCTTGATGTACCTATCAACCGGATTAACGTGCGCGTCAAACGACTCGGCGGTGGCTTTGGTGGCAAGGAGTCTCGCGGAATATCCGTTGCTTTACCCGTCGCTTTTGCAGCTCACAGGTAATTTGACACATTTACCTATTCTTACAATGATTCGATTACTTTGATTTTTTTAATTATTTCATAGGTTGCGAAAACCAGTAAGATGTATGCTTGACAGAGATGAGGATATGATGATTAGCGGGACAAGACATCCGTTTTACTATAAATATAAAGTTGGATTCACTAAGGAAGGACTAATTAAAGGCATCGAAATACATATTTACAACAACTGTGGATATTCCTTAGATCTTTCTATGTCTGTAAGTATTTTAACAATTAAGATTTCCAAAACTAAATAATTCTTTGATTTATTTTAATGAAACTTTATATGTAGATTTTAGAACGGGCTATGTTTCACTTTGAAAATGCTTACAAAGTGCCGAATACCAAAGTTTTTGGATACGCCTGTAGAACTAATTTACCTTCAAATACTGCTTTCCGAGGCTTTGGCGGACCTCAAGGTATGTTTGCTGCCGAACATATGATCCGTCATGTTGCAGATTATTTGGGTCGCGATGTCATGGAAGTGAGAATAACGGATTATTTTACTCATTTGGCCATTAATTGTGTAATAATATAATAATATAAATGTTTAAAGATTTCAGAAATGAATTTGTATAGCGAAGGTGATGTAACTCATTATAATCAGTTATTAGAGAATTGTACCTTGAGAAGATGTTGGGATGAATGTATTGCTTTAGGGAATTTTAGGGAAAGAATGGAAAATGTAAAAGCGTTCAATAAGTAAGACTTAAAATGTTTTCTTGATAAGTGGAAGATATAATTATTTTAAGAATTAATTTGAAAATTTCATTATAGAGAACATAGGTATAGAAAACGAGGATTGGCTATTGTACCAACAAAGTTTGGTATAGCTTTTACAGCATTATTTTTGAATCAAGCTGGAGCACTAGTTCATATATATACCGATGGCTCGGTACTTCTAAGTCATGGTGGAACTGAAATGGGGCAAGGATTGCACACAAAGATGATTCAAGTAAAGCGATTTGAACTATGTTTTTAATAATTTAGATAAAAATGAAAAAATAAAAATATAAACTCTCTTAGGTTGCCAGTAGAGTTTTAAAAGTAGAACCAGATAAAATCCACATAGCTGAAACAGCGACAGATAAAGTACCTAACACATCAGCAACTGCAGCTAGTGCAGGCTCAGATTTAAATGGAATGGCTGTAATGGTAATTAGTCATTCTTTTCAAAATCGATGATGCAATTTATAAAATATCTAAAAAATATCTTTGCTCCTATAGAATGCTTGCCAAGAAATAATGAATAGACTCCAACCTATAATAGATGCTAATCCAGAAGGTACATGGGAAGACTGGATAAAGCAAGCCTACTTCAATAGAGTTAGTTTATCTGCCACTGGATTCTATAGAACTCCTGGAATAGGATATAACTTTGTTACTGGAGAAGGTAAACCATTCAACTATTACACATATGGTGCTGCAAGTTCTGAAGTTGAAATAGATTGCCTCACTGGAGATCACCAGGTAAATTTTCACAATAAAATGTACAAATACAAAATATTGGTAATGATTACATTTACTCTGAAAATAGGTCTTGAGATCTGACATTGTTATGGATCTTGGGGAAAGTTTGAATCCAGCCATAGACATTGGACAAATAGAAGGAGGGTTCATTCAAGGATATGGACTTTTTACTATGGAAGAAATGATATATTCTCCAACAGGAACTATGTTCAGTAGAGGACCAGGAGTATATAAAATACCAGGATTTGCCGATATACCACTTCAATTTAATGTTTCTCTTTTGAAAAGTGCAAGTAATCCAAAAGCAGTATATTCATCAAAAGTAAGAAATATTAGCAATCTCATTTTTATTTTTTATTTTTTTATAGAAAAATATAAAACTCTTATTTATAGGCTGTTGGAGAGCCACCATTATTTTTAGCATCGTCAATTTTCTTTGCTATTAAAGAAGCTATCAAAACATACCGAGAAAACATGAACATACAAGGATACTTTAGGCTAGATTCTCCAGCTACTTCTGCTCGTATACGAATGTCATGTGTAGATCCATTGATCAAAAAGGTAATAAAATAATGTATCTGTGATCAAATAATATAGAATTTCTAATTAAATAAATTAAAAATTTATATATTTTAGATTGGAGACGGAGATGGAAAGAAAGCTTGGAACATGATTCCATAAGCTACAAATAGAAAATAAAAAAAATTTTTTAAATAATAAATTATGAATATATTTATGCAATTGTAAATGATTTTATAATAAAAAATTTATTACTTTTAATGTAATTTTATCTATTTTATAACTTAACTTATGTATACTTACAATATATAATTCTATTTACATATTACTTTGTCGAATAAAGAGAAATAAATATTTTAATATTTTATAGTAAGATTAAACTTTCAAACATCCAACTTAAATTAAACATTGCTGATGCCAGATTTTTCTACAGTTTCTAGAAGACTTTGTAAATTTGTTTCAAAAAGTTCACATCGAATTGGCATTTCAAGTGAATAAAAAGGATTTTTCAATGCAAAATCTGCATATAGTTCATACACTTTCTTAGATAAAATTTCCATTCCCGGTTGAGATGGTTCAGCAACAATCATAAATTTTATTCCAGTTAATGTTTGGTAACAATATAATCTAAATGTATCAGCTTCTAAAACTTCTATACCTGAACATCGAGGCTCTGGACTAAGTTGACTTGCAATTGCAAAAAGGGGATAGAACATTGAAGCTAAGAAGATTTTTTCATTTGTAGTCATTTTTGATCTACTAAATTTCAAAGTTATTGGAAAATTTTCAGAATTTTCTAACATGTCTAAAACATCACCACCATCATCTAATTCTCTTCCAGTTACTGCTTGACCATTGACAGCTGTTAGTACATGACCAACTAGAATTGAAATAGTAAAATGTATTATTGTTCAAAATATCCTTATAGCAGTTTACTTTCTGGCTATTACAAATTGTTATTGAAATATATTTTTTCTATAGTAACTGTACCATTTATTCCATCTCTCTGACCAAAGGACACAACTATTTTCTTATTTTCATAGGCAAGTTTTATGTCCAAAGGATAATTAAATGGCTTTTCTACTTCAATTTTTGGAACATTGTGATCATGATTAAAAATCAATCCACCAGATTTTGATACTATGTAAACACCATATATCACCATTTCTTTGGATAAACAGTATATCGCTATATTTATATATAAATCCCGTTGAATGAACTTTTAATCTATAAGAATCAACTTGTATTATTAAGATACAGTTGAGTAGCACCAGACAAATAAATCAACTCAAAATTTAAAATGACTTTTTAGGTTAAGTGACGTGTGCTTGCATCCTAACATTAAGATTTTATTTGCTGTATCAAAATGAAATATTTTTAAGTAAATATGATTTTACGACTGATTTTCACTTGGTAAAATTATATTATCAACAAAAATATTTGTTTGTATGAATAAAATACATATAAGTATAAGTAAGATAAGAAATGAATGAGTGGGAGTTTCCGGAATCACATGGTTGTCAGATTTTTGTTTATGCAAATACCTTTATTCAAAAAGGCGGGCATATCAAAGTGTTCATTTATTACAATACTATAACTAAGCTTTTACTATAAATACATCAAATTATAAAAAAAAAGACTTTGAAATTTATGAATCATATATCCATGAAAATAATTAATTTAGTTCAGGCACGTCTTTAGAAAGCAATACGCTCACCTTCAATTGTTGAGTGATGCTATACTTTACGCGGTTATGATTTATTTTAATTAATCAAGTGGATTTGACAATAACTGAAACTGGCAATAATTACTATACATGAAAGCTTAATCAAATCTTATATTTCCGATAAGTCGTATAAAAAATTTAATTTTCCATTGTTTTCACAGATGGAAAAAATTAGAGTACGACGTGGCAACATTGTCTCGAAATTCGCAAGTTGTCCGCGTGCGGTCGCGCTCGTTTCATATGACGCTTTGGGGTGCGTGGTTTTCATATGCGCCGTGTGTACTCCGAAATGCCGCAAAATTATTTCAAAGAAAAAATAGCAGTATGATAATGTTTAGTACATTTTTTCAAAAATCACACGTAGAAGGTGCTGTTTTAGTTTATTGTTAAGTTAATTGTATGTAAATATGCGACTCGTCAAGCCTAATTGGGTTACTCACGATGGTATATAATAACCTGTTTTTTGTATATTTCTACAGTTTTTTAACTCTTATTTTCTGCATTTTTTAGCCTAACAATGGTGCTCTTTGTTCTCATTTTCATATTGTACTTGTGCACACATAATAATAATTTCTTTTTTCAAATTTTACTTTCACAGGATCTCCAATTTTTTCTGTGGATATTCATCCGGATGGTAAAAGGTTTGCCACTGGAGGCCAAGGTAAATAATGCAGTATTAATAACTTTTCTGTATTTCTGACTAATCTGAATTTCAACATTTGAAAATGTAGGTGGAGATTCCGGAAGGGTAGTTATTTGGAATATGGAACCAGTATTGAATGAAGCAGCAGAAACTAATGCAGACATTCCTAAAATGCTATGCCAGCTGGACAATCACCTTGGTACAGTTACTGAATTCATTAGTCACTTACTTGAATGTTAATCATTACTAATACATTTTACATTTCAATATTTTTCTTTGATTTAAAAAGTATAGCCACATGTTCTCAATTTAAGTTTTTTTAATGTTGATTATTTATAGCAATTTTTTTTTTTTAGTTTGTGAAATACACTATGAAATTTTTCGATAATCAGAATTATAAATATTTTTCATAATTCCTTATCTTTTACCATAAGCTTTTTATTAAATTATTGATATTGGCTCAATATTTTTTAAAATGTTTATTGATTGAAAACAATGTGATACTTTCTAAGTCATCATCCTCAAGTTAACTAATTAAATATAAAAATTGAATAGACAATATTTTGCAGCATGTGTTAATTGTGTTCGATGGAGTAGCACTGGTTTATTAGCCTCTGGTGGCGATGATAAACTGATTATGATATGGCGATTTGCTCCAGGAGTTGGAGGCAGCACTTTATTTGGTGGCAAAACTGGTGTAGAAACTTGGCGATGTATTGCAACATTACGTTCTCATAAAGGAGATATTTTAGACCTTGCATGGGCACCTCATAATCCATGGCTTGCTTCCGCATCTGTTGATAATACAGTGATAGTGTGGGATGTAACTAAACAAACAATTGTATCAGTTTTAAAAGGACATACTGGACTTGTAAAAGGTGTTACGTGGGATCCTGTTGGAAAGTACTTAGCATCACAATCCGATGATAAAACTTTAAGAGTTTATAGAACAAATGACTGGAGTACAGCAAAACTAATAAGAGAGCCTTTTGAGGAATGTGGTGGTACAACTCATGTTCTTCGGCTGTCTTGGAGTCCAGATGGTCAGTATTTAGTATCTGCACATGCCATGAATGGTGGTGGACCAACTGCTCAGATTATTGAAAGAGATAGTTGGAAGACAGATAAAGATTTCGTTGGCCATAGAAAAGCAGTTACATGTGTTGTAAGTATCAGCACCACTTGATTAAATATCAATTTAATTGTCAATGAAATATTAATATTTTTAAATATTTTTAAGAAATTTAATGGAAAAATCCTACAGAAAAAAGTCAGTGAAGCAAATAAACCAATACAATATTGTTGTGTTGCAATTGGTTCTCGCGATCGTTCGCTTTCTGTTTGGTCAACATCCCTGAAACGTCCTTTAGTTGTTATTTATGAACTATTTGTGTCATCAGTGTTAGATATAAGTTGGTCCCCTTGTGGAATTCGATTATGTGCTTGTTCTAAAGATGGGACAATTGTTTTTGTAGAATTTACAGAGCAAGAGTTAGGGCACCCACTAAACTCTGCTCAGACGGTAAAGTTAATTTTCATTCATAATTTATTTCATTGGATAATATATCACTGAATTACAATTTGTTTCCGTCTCGGTAAATGTTATTGTAAATATATTTTAGCTCAATATTCAAGAACGATTATATGGAAAATTAGCACAAGGCAGATGTACAGTCATGGAAGCACCCGAACTTCTTGTAACTAAACCGCCGGCTCCATCAGTAATTAAAGAATCAACTCCTATTGCACCTACTACTAATTGTGTACAGAATTCTAATTCATTACCAATGATGCCCGTTAAAGCACCTATTAATAAACAAATTGAAACAAGAACTACGGATGGCAAAAGAAGAATTACACCAATGTTTATACCTCCGCCTCCTGAGGCAATGTAAGTTGAAAAATAAACACTTCGATATTTGTACCCGAGTGAAGCGAGGTTGAAGAGGTCAGACGAGGTTAAAATTATTTTCTCGTGCATATATATAACTATTTTTCAATATGACCCGTGCAAGACGAGATTTTAAGTACGCTTTCTATTCCGAGCGTGCGTAAATTAAATACTCGCGCACGCGTATCGAAAATGTTATTTTTGTTTCTACATTAAAATATAGTATTTAAGAATAATGATTTTCGTATTAATTGCATGAAATGCAGCTTAAGTAAGCAAAAATATTGAGAGTAACATTTATTCTACCAATAAAAAAGAGTTAAGAGTAACATTTATATTATCGTTTCAGGGAAAATAATATAAGTAAACCAGTTCCTACATCGCCTTCACCTTCATTTTCTAGTAGTACGCAAACAAAGAGTGCGATAGTCATTGAAAAACGTGATGAAATTGTACAGCCAAACATTAGCTCTAATTTAAATCTAAATGCAAATTCAAATTCCATGAGCATACCGGCAGAACCTACGACAACTCTAAAGCGGAAAGAACCAAGTTTCCAAAAATCAAATAATGTATTTACACCATGCAAAAAAGGCAAAATTCCAGTGGAAAGAAATGGTAGTACCGTACTGATTCCTCCTCTAAAAGCAAGTAGTCCTTTGTATCAACAAGCTGGTCATTATGCAGTATCGATTACGAACAATCAAAACTTGTCTCACCTACAAGTATTTCACGGGACAAATTCAGCACCGTTATGGGATCATTTTTTAGGATACAGTGTCACGGCAATAGCAATCTCACCTTCTATTGTAGCAGTTAGCTTAGAAGATGGAACCATACACATTTTTTATATTGCAAAAGGAGCTCGCGCTACACCGCCTCTTGCACCACCATCGCCTTTATCAAAGCTTCATGCTGCTGGCAGTATGGTATGTAACCATGAGTAATATATTTCGATAATTTAAATATATATTAATACTATAATTTTTTTCAGATAATGGCCATTTCATGTTATGGAGATGTAAGAGTTTGGGAAATAACAACAAATGCTTGTCGACTTGTGGTTTCAACATCTGCAGGACATTTAATTACCCCGGGTACCTCTATAATAAATTGCATGCTACTAAATGGAATGCCTCATCTTGCCTTCACGAATGCGAGGGCCTATACGTATAACAAGGAAATGGGTAGGTTTTCTCCAAAAAATTTTAATCTTAGATTATCAATGAAAATTTTTGTGTCGCATAAAATTCTAATACTGACTGGAAATAAATAGAAATAGAAATTATATTTTTTATTTACTCGTTATATATTTTCCAATAATAGGGACGTGGTTATTGATTGGTGACAGTCAGGATCCAGTATGGCGATGGTCTGCAATGAATGCCTATAGTAGTACAGGTCTTGGTGGTCGAACTCCAAAGGGTCCTCTCGCTGTTCTTCAAGAAGGATTGAATCGTATGGCTGGTCTTATACCACCGATTCGATTACCTCACAGTATACCCTGCATTACGTCGTACATGGAACAACAAGTTTTAGCTTCGAAGGCTCTTGCGAGTTCACAAGAATATGTTCATTGGTTACAGGAGTACGTCACATTTTTGTGTGCACATGGTAACGAATTCTGCAAAATCCTTTATTATTTATTATTACATTCTATTTTATATTAATATTATACCTTGAACATTTTGAAAGTGTCATATAAACAATGTTTTTTTCTTTAATGTTTTAGAAGGTTCTGAAAATCGTTTAAGGATAGTATTGGATGAGCTCATGGGTCCAAGTCATAATACTGCTAATTTGAGTATCTGGGATCCTATGATTTTGGTAATTATACATATCCGCGTATCTGTGTGTGTGTGCGCGCGCGCGTGAAGAAACGTAAATGAATTGCAAATGAGAAGTTTATGAGCATATAGCTAAGTTTTTTAAAAATAGAGTATTTGATATTCAAAAAATAACCGTTGCTCACCTAATGCATTTCGCAAAGAAAAATCGAGGAAAAATACATTTTTCCAACAAAATGCCTCAAAAAATGTCTGAATACTTGTAGTTTTTTTTTAATTTAACACAATTTTGTCATTTGTAAATCTTATATGAGGTTACGATATTTGAGAGTTTTTGTAGCTGCTGAAGTCGACATTTTTTTTATTATGTCGCAATATTTAAAATTAATGTGTTGTATCAGCACTTATTAAAAACGAATAAGTCTTATATTCTAATCAATCTCTGTAAAGTAAACCACTCGAATTATGTTTGTAATTTTTTTACGATTTCACAAAAGAAAACTAAACTATAATCGAATATTATCACTAAATGTTCGTGTAACTTTGATTAAATGAAAAATATAGTATTATATATAATAATTTTTTATTTTTCAGGGTGTCAAAAAACATAAGATCTTAGAAGATTCTTTGAAAATTGTTGCTAAGCATTTACGATGGCAACGATTGTACGTTGAATATAAGCAACAATTGGAAGAAATAAAGAAGTTATGAGGTCTGCCGAAAAAAATTATATATACTTTCGTCGATGCTGCAAAAATGAACAAGCAATTTGTATATTTCACATACTATTAACGATAAAATAAGACTGTACAGAGTTTGATATGAATGAATAAATTATTTTTAATTTCTACAGCTAGATGATTTAAAATTTTTAAATGTAATTGATGAAAGAATGTAATTTGGATGGTGACGAATAAGAAACTTTTTATTTTTAAATGAATGTATTTTTTTCTGAATAATATAATTATTCATAAATTTGCATTGTACAATATTTATATATTAAATTCTAAGGCTCCTTTTTCAACATTTTTTATAAAAATATGTAACAAAGCTCAACGTGCAATATCAGCGAACTCGTGAATTAGGAAGCGTAATTATCGCGAGCTAGCGTAAACTCATAAGTAAATCGTTCGCTAAATTGCTATGTTTACATTCGTTTTTAATGTGCGTTTTTCGTTTTCGTTATAAATTTTTCGCATATTAATTATACATTATGTAATTTATCAGCAGAATCTCTTATCATGAAATTAGTTAGAAAATCGCAAGTGGAATAGCACCTTTTTCCATTAATTTACTGCTTATTTTTTCAAATCAAATTTAAGTTTAGTTACAAAATCTAATGAAACGCAAAATATGCGCCAGTAAAATTACAAATCATTTTTGATTATTGTAAATGAAAAGATTTATACACAAGATCACACAAATTTATTACAGTCGTTAATTGATTAGAGTATTTTTTTTTTGATTGAAAAGTTTAATTCGTAGTGTTATTTTTAAAAAAAAGGTATATCAGCCTTGTTATTCATACGAAAACACTTTATCAAGGTGATTTGCATGTGTCTCCATTAGTAGTAATTCTTATGAATATTACAAAAAAATCTTGACTCTCATTTAAGTATGTAAGATCTGTACAACAAATCTCTAATTTTGTTTGTTTTTTTTTTTTTTTCATTTTATTGTACAACGATTATCTCATATACAAACAATAATAAATTAAACACAGTATCAAATATTCTCGATATTTAAATTGTTCTTGGTCCTTCGTATATAATGTTTTATTTTCTTCATTTTTGCACATATTTACAAGATTTCTCACAACAAAATGAGAGTGAGATTATATATAACTCGTTAAGACACGCGTAATGCCTCAGAAAAATATGTTTTCTTCATTTACCAATAACTGTGTACATTAATGATAAATTAAGTAATGCCTCATTCTCTTAAATATCTGACAATTTAAAATGAAATATGAGTTTAACTTAAACAAAAATATCGCGTCTTGTTATATCAATTTTTTTAGAGAGGTGGCGGTCCATTTGGATATTGAACAAGTGGAGTAAAACTTCTCGCGAGGTTGTTAGAAAGCATACAGCTATAGTCTTCCTCGGCTGAAGGCACCAAAGAGGCAGCTCCAAGTAATAACAGCATCAACGCTTGGATAGGAAGAGAAGCTCGAAGCACTCTTCCGATAAAATGATACCCTCGCGCCAATACTGTCTGATCTCCATCATCAGCACTGCAATAGTACATAACAAATTTTAAGTTACTAACATTATAATTATTCATTAATGAAAATCTAAATTTAAAGTAAATTTTCATTATTTATCAACTTGGCTAAACCACACTTAAGTTAGCTTAAAATATAATTATGATAACATGAAAATATTAAATTCGTAAAATCATAAAATTTACACAAAGGGAGTAAAAATAAGAAAGAAAGGTTTTACGTAAGAGAAAATAAAACATTGGATATTACAGGGATAGGAAAACGTACTTTGTGGTGTGAGTGCCGTGGGCTTGAGTGGTTCCAGAGGCAGCGTCGTTGAGTAGCTACAATTTGACATAAGAAAAAACACAAACAATAAGATACTGTGCAGGTGAATGGCTATATGCAAAAAATAATGAGATGGTTCAAGACAATTTTAAACTTGAACTTCCGTTTTGAAGAAGTGCGATATTCAAGTGCAATTTTTGTGGACGATACTTTGTCGTAATTGTAATAATAATAAATATTAAATTTTCGGGTATTGAGTTTTCAGTTTTTTAAGTTTTTTGTTTCTGAAAATAGACTGTTGTCTCAAATCCCTTAATGTCTACTATATATACTCAGTGCTTTGCAATTAACAAAATATCATTTTTAACAAGGAACAAATCTCCATTGTTAATTGATCTTTGTATCGTTCATTCAGACGAACAAAGTTTTGGGCGTGTTTTGTGAAGTATACATAAGTTATTAAAAAAAGAGACTTACGTCTTGCGAAAGATTAGCGAGTGATGTAGAGGTGGCCGCCAGACCAATGTTTCGTGGATCAAGACCAAGTGCTGCGCCTAATTTTAGTACATACATGCTGGTTAGACGTCGTAAAGATTGCAATCGCAATCGAAGCTCTTGAAGCTTTGAACGTGTCTCGCCGTGCTCCTCCAGCAAATAATTCGCAGCCTCTTGCAGTGATAACACTCGTGGCTCGCATCGCTCCAAGTCTCCTTGTAATTCCCTGCAAATCACACATACAGTAACCATTGCGCAACGAGGATTTCGGGGGTAAGTGTGTTAATTGGAGACTCACTTAAATTTGTCATATACGACTTTTAAAGTACTTGGACCTTCGGTGAGATCAATGGGTTCGCTCGCTCGGATGGTTTGTTCGGTCTTTTCGAGCCAAGCGAGCAGCTCTTCGATGATCTGGTGGAACTGTTGATTGCCCATTAGAGCTATCTGCAGCTGGTTCTGCCAATCAGCAGCAGCTTGACAGACCTTGTCCCACCTTACGTTGGCACTTGCCAATCGATCTCTCAGTTCATTTGCGCGTTCAACGTCCTCGGTGTGATCGGCTAAGTGAACACCGACGATATTCAAACTGACGACAATACTCTTATGGCTTTCTAAATCAAGTAGGAATTCATGGTGTTCTTGAATCACATCTTCAAGCTGCTCTATATTCGAAGGTGGCGAGTACTGCTCGCTCTGCGTACCCTCTGCGAACTCTAACCACTTTTCCAGTCGCCAAAGGTCGTTATCCAATTGCGCCCAGTTGCGATGAGAGCACAGAGGGCAGGTTAACCGACCTCCGTCACTGTAAGAGAGCATTAGGGTTGAATCTATTCTATGTGGCTAGATCGAAGTTCAACTGATGTTTGAGCAGATTAATGCAATGGAAACTTGATTCTAATGAACGAGGCAGTAAAGTGAATTCTGCAAACTAATTACTTTTCGACAGGATTCGTAAAACCAAGATAACTATCCATCACAATTGTATTTGTTCACCAAATGTATCTAATTTCATTTGTATATTTCAGATATCGGCTAGTAAAAGTTGTTATAACTTACCGACACCATATGATCCATAAAAGCAGACTGTTTTTAAAACCATACAATTCAAATCAATTTTTGCAAATCAATCTTAACAATAAGTATTTAAGTTTCGTAAGAATGTTTAAATGTTGATTTTAGGAAAAGCGGGAACATATCTTTTACTACAGATACAAATTTTAATAAAAAGCAGTATAATTTACGACATGTTTTTTGAGATATTTTGTACTTGTTATGTTGGATAGTGTTATAGTTTTGAGTTTCCTGTAGATGATATAGAACGTCTAACATATATATCAAAATTCTCACAAATTAGAATATATTTTGAAATAAATAATATCAGTTGAAACTTTCATGTCCATCAGTTGTAAGCTTTTTATAAAATGTATGAAATATAGAGCATATAGCACTACACTCACTGTTCGCAATGGAAGCAATAAGCACCAGCCAAAGGAGACCTGCAGGGGTTGAACGTATACGTTGTTAGTAAGATTATTATTAGTATACAGTTATACAGAGAAGTTAAGTCAAACAATGTTGGATGGGGATTTTATAACAATTTCAATTCAACGTCAAACAACAATCTAATGGGCTAGCACAATACATTTATGTACTTGTTTAAGATGACATAAGGTAAGATGATAAGATGAGGATAAAATTAATTGTTTTAGTTTTTCATGTAATGTTTATGATAATAATAGTTTGAAAAGAGTGAAATTTTCTGATAACACATAGAAATAATCAAAAACATGAAATAATAGAAACATATCAGTATCAAAATCAATTTAAGTTTGACAAAAACAAATTTAAAATAGTAGTAGAAATTTGTTACATGCATATTGATTACTAACTTGAGTTCACGAATTTGTTGCTCTCTCGCTCGCGCTCTCTTCAAAAGATTTTCATATCGCGCAGCGAGCTCGGCAACTTCCGTCGCTTTAGCGAGATTTTCTTCTTCGGACAATAGATTGTGCAGATGTTTTACAAGCTCTATTGTCGATTGGCAGCTTCCTATTAATTTAGCCTATGGAAAATAACATGTCAGTAATAAAATCAATAATAAAATAATTTCATTAAACCGATGCGATGATATAAGACTTATTGAAACTTACGATAGCACGTGCAGCAGTTGAGAGTCCCGTACCCGGTGTAGGCTCAGGCACAACGGCATGCTCAAGAGTATCAAGCGCAACTCTGCACTCGCTGATTGCCGACTCGAGCTCAATTAAGTACGCATCAAAGGATGTCATTTTGGTGATTTTTGGCAGTGTATCAACTTGTACAGCGGTATCACGCTCGAATTTAAGTGTTTCGACTTGTACAGCTTCATCAACTTCAGTTCGACGTTCCTGGCTTTCGATGGTCTGTCTGAGAACATCCAATCGTTCCCAAATATTTTTCCACAATAATTGATACTCGTCGACAAGTTCTTGCACATTAGCCACATCGTCGGGGTGGCTTTCGTGCATCACTTTCAGGGCAAGTTCATCGGCGCGACGCAGTGTTGCGCTTTGTTTGTTGAGTTCTGCCTCGATGTCAGCCAGTTGTCGAAGACGACTCTGGTGTGAGGCTCTTTGTTCGGGACTCGCAAGATGTTGAGCTTGGGTAAGCATTACGTCAACTTGCGTCAAGCCTATTACAGCTGCGCCATGTACAGAAATAAAGTCTCGGTAGATCTTCTGATCTTTCTGAAGGGCCGTTGTTATTGTGTTAATTTTTGGTGTTAATTCGTGCCAGCTGTTGACAAAAATGTCCATAGATTTATTACATTCATTCTGTAGATACTTAGCTAATAGAGGACAATTACGAAATCGTTACATTACCTATCTATAAGTTGACGAGTAGGTGCTGTTAGAGCTCTTAAGTTTTCTGGTTCCAAACCACTCTTAGCCAGTCTGCTGTAACACTGCTCAAGTATTTGCAGAGCAGGGTCATGAGCTTTAATATCATCCAGAATTCTTTGAGCTTGCGTCATGGTCTTGTCCGTGTTCTCTTTCGACAAGTCATGCACGCTTTTTTCCAGTATCTGGATCTCGTGCTCGATCTTGATTAACCACTCCTGGTATTCGATCCTTGTTGTTTCCAATTCCACTAACAATTTACCCGTAAGCATAATCTTTCGCTTACGTTCGGACGATTTGACGCAAGTGGCCTTCCATCTACGTTCTAGGCCGTCCATACCATTCTTGATGGCATCGGTGTTGAAAGAAGCCTTCCAAGTGTCGCAATCGTTGAGAAGCATCTCGCAAAGATTGAGTACCTCGCCAATGTTGCCACTCTCAGTTTCTATAGTCTTTTGTAATTGTTCGTGATCCTTCAATTTTTTGTCGATGGTTGATTGATTACTCGACTCGATTATGTACGATTCCGAAAGTTGAGTCTCGACGGTTCCCAACCATATCCTGATGTCCGTAAGTCTCTTTTGTAGGTTAGTCATGGTTTGCATAAGATCGACGATTTTATTCGCGCGAGCCTTGCCGGCAGTGAGCAGCTGGTTCCATCTTTCGTTCACTTCGTCCAAAGTTTTCTCCAGTTTTTCCTTTTCCTTCGGCTCGGCTATATGAATTAGTTCCATGCCGTTATTTTGTACCCACTCAAGTTCGCGCTGTTTCAACGCCATCTCGGCTTGTACTTCGCACTCGAGTTTCTTGAGTGCTTCTTCGGGTTCTTCCAGACTAGCAGTATCACAATTATGAATCCTGTCCTCGGTGTCCTTGATCCAGATAAGTAGTCTTGCCGATCTACTTTCCCATCTCGAGTGTAGACTGCATCGTTCGCCCAGCTTATAAGACAGCAGTGCTAATTGATGTTCGAGGTCGCCGTGCTGCTGCCACAGTAGATAGCACTGCTGATTAAGACTTTTCATATCGGAGGGACTAAGACATTCCCTTAGTTGTTCGGTCGTGACACCGAGAGCTTCCAGGTCGCTGACGCAACCGATGAGCTTGGCTTTTTGCTGTTGCAGCGAATCCAGTTGTCGGCGCGTATCCGCCAGACTGCCGGAATTAGACTTTGAGGCGGCCGCGACGACGCAGTTAATCTCCTGGAAGACAGCGGTGATCTTGGCTATTTGTTCTGTGTGCCTGCCGTTCAAGCTTTTGATTCGCATGACAAAGTCTTTCCACGTCTCAAGGCTCGCTCGGATGTTGGATAACCGCTGAACACTCGCAGCGTGTTCCATGCGTACAGAGACGGCAAGAGCCTCGTCGCAGTTTGAGAGTAAAGTCTCTTGCTGTCGCTGCAAAGCGTCGGCCTGCGACTCTCCGTTGGGTAATCTGTCGATCAGAACTTCAATCTTCTGCAGGATCTTGTCGACTCGTCGCGCGTGAATGAAACGCAGCTGCAGTCGACCACGCTCAGTGTCGATGTCCTTCAGCCACGCGAGCAGCTTACTTTGATCTAACCTGTACTTCTCCCAGGCAGCTAGCCTATCTCTGACTGCAGCGTGCCGTTCCATGATTCGCGCCAAACTCTCGTTGTGCAGATTGGTCAGAGCGTTGAACTGTTCGTTGACGGAGATGTCACGACCCTCCTCGCTACGCACCATCTGAATGAGATTTCGCTGGTCTGTCAGCAGGTTCTTGTGAACCTCGCAGAGATTACGATGCTCGGCGAGACCGTTGTAGTCGGCGGGGACGTTGCTCGACAGAAACTCTTGCACGTGGCCGAGATATTCTTGCCACAATCGAAGCGCTGCGGCTACATCTTGCGAGCGTACCAGGCGAGCCGAAAGACGATGATACTGTTGGAAAGTCTCGCGGAAGAGGCGTTGCCAGAGTTGTAATACTTCGACGATCGTCGGATCGCGGACCGATGATATCTCGAGGGCACGCTCCTTGATCGACTGCAATTGCGGCTCTGTGCGCGTCAAGGCGACAAGATGGTTACGAAGTAGATCCAACTGTTCCTTCGATTCGCCTTGGCCTACCGTTGTTATACTCTGCAAGTAGGAAACGACAGTACATTTGGTGACTTCTGAAACTTTGATTTTTGAAAATTAAGAGCATTCTTGCAGATATTTACTGATAGACTAATATTTACTGCCTGACAAAATATTGGCTTGACGTACAATTGACGGCGAGCAAACGCGTTTTGTAAGAATTTACGCTTCCTACGCTAAAAAGCAACTTAACCGCGACCTCAAAGACAGTTGTACAAAAGATAATCCGCGTAAAAGAAGTGAAGATAATTAAGACGAAAAGAATATAAAATTTCGGCAAATGGAGCATGAAAGGCAGAAGCGCATTGTGTGCAAACGAAGAGGAGAGAATGCCAAAACAAGAAGTTGATATCGCGCGAGGCTAAAAGCACAGGCACACGCGCATACTACTTGGACAAGTGTGTGCAAGTGCAAAATACGGCGCGTGTCGAGAGCTTCAAGAACGTAGCCAAACCACTGGATAACTCGGGTGCGAGCGTGGCAGTTGCGCGAGCTTGCTCATTCGAAATCGCGCGGAACTGTTGCGGATTTCGTGACCGATGCAATTGCAAGGAGGCGCCAGAGGGGAGCCGACCTTGACATCACAAAATTGTTTCGCCAACTACAATTAAAATATAAAGCCCGGCAGCAGCGTTGTGCGATTGAGCTGTGCCAAGCACCGCACTTGCAGCCAGCTGCGCGCCTAACGCAAGTCGAAGCGGAAACAATCATATTTAAGCGGGCCAAGCACGGCCTTCGCACTCTCTGCCGCTAGCTCTGCGCTTCAAATCGCTTTCTTCGTCAATCCGAGAGCGCTTGCTTTTGAATGGGGAGCAAGGTGACGGGGTTTTGCGCGCAGCATCGTTGCCATGATCACGTTGCCTTTCCTTATTTTTTTTTTATATTTTCGCAGACTGCGGTAGAAACTTTGTCGTCATATACGAAACGAATATCCAGAAGAATGACCACACGCATCACCGAGCGTAATCACACTTGCTTGTGTAAACCGTAATGGTAAAGTACGTTAATCCGGCTTCCGAACGACATTTTAACGACATTCTTGCAAATGCTTACTGAAATCCAAGTTTTTTTTCTTTCTTTGCATTGACAGCTGTTTCCGTTTCCGACTGCACCTACGGCTAATTGCGCACTGAACGAATAATGACTTACCTCATTGACAGACTCGAGGAAGTTTTTGGTCTGGCAGAGATCGTTGCGCGCAAGCTCCTGGCTTAGAGCACGCGCGTCCGCAGTATCGGCGAGGCTCGACAATGTCTCGCGAACATCCTCCAATCTACGACCCAGTGCTTCGACTTCCGTTTGCAAAGGACCACCCGCGTCCAAACCAACGTCCGATGCGATCTGGGCGACCAGGTCACGCAGCTCAGCTAAACGCTCTTTGTGCTCAGCCAGCGTGTCCTCGCAGACCTGTTGATACATTTTTTTATATCGCGGGTAGACCAATCAACTTTTACAAATAAAATATATTTTCATATAAAGTACAATCAGAGCCTATAGGCCTATAAGAGGCATACTCGATGATCAGTTCTTTCAAAGACTGTCCATTTTATTATTAGTAAATGTTAGTATTTTAAAATGTATGTAGTGATTTAAGCAAATAAGATGTCAAAGTAAAACAATATTTTTTCGCTCAAAACAATGTTGCGGAAAATGAATTTTCTATTTCAATCGTTCGAAAGCTAATAGAATTGCTGTTGTATAATTTCATAATACGTCGTTTTCATTGAGATTTATTTATTCACAATTTAAACCAATGCCTTATGAAATTTATAAGAAACTAAATGTGTTTCAATATGTGTTCAAACGTTCAATTCCCGCTTGCCGTCATATTATCTCATCTAACGAACAATTGCTTGAATTAAGCGCCAATCGTAACATTATTTTTAACTCTCAATTAATTTTATTACGTTCCTAATGTCACAAGTAATCTTTTAGTATAACAAACGTAACGAACGTAAAATAAGATTGGTAACGGTTAATTGGTGATTAAAAGTCCTGTATTACATTGAGGAGCAAAACATTTGGCAAAATTAACCCGTAGGGTATACTTTCCGAGTAAACTATGTGTATACAAGATAGCGCGCGCAATCGTACAAAAATAATTACGACTGCAGCGGCAAAGCTTAGAGACCTACATAAGTTACCGACACACTTTCAATACGAGTGAAACACAAGCGTAACCATATACCAGGTTTATATCCAGACGAAAAAAAAGTGATGGCAGCACCAGTTGAAGCTTCGAAATTTACTGGACCAAGGTTTTGCTCGCAGTTCGTACAAGCAATGGCAACACGCACAAGCACGTGTTTACGTTTTCACGATATATTTTTAGAGGAAGTCCACGCACACCCACATATCCCTCGTTTGCAGTCGATTGAAACGCGCTACGAACTTAATGATTCCTTTTATCCTCGTCCAATATACTTTTTTTTCGATAGAGAGACAAACTACGAGGCAAGAGATTTTATAAGGCGTCGTGGTCGTCGCCAGTGACATTGAAGTCGGCGCTACTCATGTTTCTGTTTTGTTTAGTTTGATGACTGAAACAAGCGACCCGCGCGAGTTTCGAACTTTTTTTAGCTGTTCCACGAACGTAACATTCTCTGACAAGCCTGAGTGGTTACTATATATTCGCAATGAATGAGTATGTGCATATCTCGCTTCACGAACAAGGTATGAAAGGTGCTAATTTGCACGAAGACGTGAGAATGAATGGGAAGGGAGTAGCGATCGCTTTCTTTGTGTTCGCACAATGAATTTTATTATTTATTTTGGCCATAGCGTAGATTCTCGTGCGATTTGTCTCATCGATTTTCTTTGAATACTTGATTTTGCACGTTTAGTTCGTTTTTTATCTGGAGTAGGTGAGCTAACGCACGAAAAATGAGACGGATCTAACCAACTTGACCTACATATTTTTGGTATGTATATTTATTTATAGTAGTTCTTGCCCTTCACATCGGTCAGAAAGTCGGATACTATAAGACATATTTTTGACTTTGAGAAAAAAATTCTTTTTAAAATTGAGCATGTCACTGTCATACATTGTAATTAGGCTTATGCAATGACAAATTGCATCTAAGTATCTAATATTGAAGTTGAACTTTCTAGAAATTTCACGAACAAATAAATCTCACGAATGTAATAATAGTAAAACTTTATTTTAAGCAAGCAACAAAGTAAAATAGCGACGAAATCGGAAATAGTTAAAACTGTCGTTTATTGGAATAATAAAAAATAAATGGCAGTTGAAACTTCGAAACATCAAAGAAATGCTGATAGTCTATACAAAAAAAATTCGCAGCAGCTATACTTATCCAAATAGCTAAATCCGTACAGGTCGTTTTAACGTTAGGCAAGTAAAGTAAACCGTATGTCACAACAGCAGCAAATCCATCAGCAAGAAAATCAAACGCGAGTCGATATAAATAAATTCTCAATGCCAGCGGATAAGTCTAAATAAATCTGATCTTGTGGCAAGCGCTTTCTCTCTCGTTCTCTCTCACCCTAATCTCCTCCGGAGTGCACATGTTCATCCGTTTCTTCTGCTACATGGGCGTATAGAGCAGGTGTGCCGTCAATCCTCGCGCGCACATGAACTTATATACACTCTGTCGGCTTAGATGTAAACACACACTAGATCCGCTGCACACATGCGTTCGCTCGGCATGCCGAGCTTTTCTATACTACGTGGAATCGTGCTTTGCGTTTTCACGCGCCGTTTTAAAATAGACCGGCGAATCGACGAGTTTCTGCCATCGCCATTCTACCGCGGCTATCTTGCGAACTTTCGTCGTAAAGCCGGCTTTATACTCACATCGTTGCCGTCGTCGCTATTTCGCTTCGTTGATCTCGGAATACTTTCGCTCGTTGGCGATTTTCATCGAAGATTATGCAATTCGTTTAGAAAACCCCACGATTTTTTCGCTATTCGAAGATGCAAACAATTTGTATAAACGTGACTAGCATTCTGTCACGGAATTTCAGGAATATCTATTCTATAATGAAGTCGTCTAAGAACTCTTACAAAGCACATTTGACTTTGGAAATAATCACTTTATGGCATTTAAAATGATTTTATTAATCACAACCCGGCTCACAATATCTAATATCTGTACTAATATATAGTGTGTACAGCTTGGTATTAAGATAAAATCACATTGAATTGTTTTAAAAAACAGTACCGAGTATCAATACAAACTATTCTATTGTAATCTCGTCAAATCCACGTTCTACCATATGCAGCATGCGCAATAATTGTCGGATTCGCAAGCATAATTTCAATGCACAAACCGAATAGCAAAAAAAAAAGAAAGTCACACGCAGACCGCCGCAAAAGAGAAGCCTAAGGAAAAATCAAGTAGAAAACCACGAGGTCAGCCGGCAGCCGGGTCCCCGGTATTTCGAGGCAGCACGCGACCCCGCGCGTGCTGTGCATCGCGACGTCCTGGTCCAGACTGAAAGGCAGAAAGAGAAAGAGGTACAGCGACGCCCCTATATATCGCCGTCGTCCCCCATACGGCAGCGGCAACAAACTCGAGGGGATCGATGCGATTCCGACGCGCAGATGGGGAGGAGAGAAATGGACCACTTCGAGCAGCGACACTCCCCTACTTACCGGCTCCTTTTTTTTTCGTCGCGCGCTTGTATGTATATGGCTGTGCACTTATGCGCCCGCGCCATCGCCTCACATCTGATGATTATCAAGGGCAAGCGTGCGCGTGTGGGTGATGATGCACTCGAGGGCGCTTGATTTAGAGTGCATGACTCTTCAGCTGATCTACGCGATGCGCGTGCTCTTGTTAACGTATTGCGCAATGATTTATTTTCGAATGGTCAAGTGGACACGATGAACTATTAAGAGTCGCATTTCGAAATGTGCTTCGATAATTGGGGTTTAGCCTTGATGAATCATTGTTAATGGATTCATTTGAGAAAACGACATTATTTATTGTATTTATGCTACTTTTATCAATTTATTTTTACAAAAAGAATTGTTATTTGACTCTGATCAGATGTTTAATATTAGTCTATTAATAAAGTTTACTTTAAGTTTCACGTAATATTACATAGATTCAAAAATAATATTAGATTCGAATCGAATTTACAGCTGACGTAAACTAGTTTTCGTTAGAAAATGCGGTATGACAGAAGTAAATACGATGAATTAGCAACATTTAATTTTGCATTCTTGCAAACATATGTGCCGCAACTTTAGCCACGGAAAATAGAAAATAAGAATCACGCAGAACAGAAAATGCCTGCGTTCCTTCAAAAATTTATAAAACAAGAGTTTCGCTTCAAAAGAATATAACAAAGCTATCTTGTCGAGACAAAGATTCCACTATCCGATTGGGCATTTATCGCATCTAAAGGGCGACGAAACAACGCACAGTCAAAATATTCTTTTTTTAAAAGCCAGACGCGTCTTTGTACAATAAACGTCATGCATCACAGCATATGCTCCACGCACACTCATTAGCCAGAGTGTTAACTGAGTTAAGGCAGCGTGGAACATCGACCACCGACAGCTTCCGCAATGTCTACTACAAGCAACGCAACATTATGATCTCTTCGCTTTCTCGAGCAATTGACGTAAGTGACGATTGAGTGAAAGAAAACGAAAGGGAATTTTATTTATTTAAAAAATAATATATCCTTTTGTAAAAAAGATTAAATTAAAAACAAAGTATCAACAGTCAGTCCTGTGAGTAAGGAATGACTGTCCATATGAGTATTAATCTTATCTGAACCGGCTATTGAAGTTGGCAAACAACTTACACCAGCATTGTAGTGTCATGAAGAGAATGATTCTGCATGCTCTATCTTATTATCGATACAATGTGCATGGCCTACTGAGCTTTTCAAAGTGACTCACAATTGCGTCTTTTATGGTTCCCGGTACGTTCAAGCTGTAACTGCAGCTCCACTATGCCTTTGAAGGAAAATTGTTCTTTCTGTTATCGTTAGCCTCGTTTCCAAACATTGTGGTATTTGTTTTTTTTTTTACCGTACGCCTCATTTGTTTATTTTTCCACTATTATTACACTAGTGTAGTTTGGTTAATTCATAAACAGGATTACTTATTCTACCAGTACCCTTTTTTTCCAAAAAATCCACAATCCAGTTTTAGTTTCTTGATTACACATATTGAAGAAATAAAATTTAATGATTTGCTATTGGTGTAGTAACTAATTAGACTATAAGGTATATAATAGTTTGCTCGGCACGGGACTCACACGTTTCTTACAGTACATGAATTTGGTCAACTTTATAACGATGTTAAATCAATAAGAAATAGAATACGATGAGAGTAGCTTTAAAAAATTATATGGTATATTCTCTAGCAAAGTAAACCATTTCACATGCAACTCGTATAAGGTTTCTCCGACAGCTGTCAGATTGTAAATCTATTCAGCCGACACAGTAAATTAAATAAGTGGATGCGCTTGCGAGCTTCGATTGTACTTTTTATGATTGAAGAGGATCGGATCTAACTTACCTTGACCTGCTTAAGGGCTTCCTCCGGTGGTAGATTGGCAACGCTTCCCATTTGAGTGTCAACCCAAGCTTTAACCGCGGCACTCGAGTCGCGGTATTGGTGCCAGAGCCTGACCGCGTGCTGATACTTGGTGCACAGGGCGCCGAGCTCGGTGCGCGTGTCCTCCCAAGCTTGCACAGCCTCATTTACTACCGCGTCCACGCGCTCGCTCACCTCCGCGGCGCAAGTCTCACGCAATGGCTCCGCTGCCGATCTTAGCTCGCTTATCAGTACTTCCCGAGCTACGAACTCGCCATTCAGGCCCTAGAACATGTGCATGCAAACTTTTTATTTGATTCGAGTACGACAGTTCGGAGAACATAATTTTTACATTTTTCGCTGCTTATTGCAAATGTTATGGAATCTCGTCTCATTCTCGATTTGCAATGATTACATTTGACTTATTCGATTTCATAATGTACAAGTTTCGTACTTTACCTTCGATTCTTTAACTCTTATATAACGCTGTATTCACTCGCAAATCAAATTCTATCTATATTTTGATTGTTTAACCGGGATTTCAGTATTTGTTAAGACATTTCTAAAATTATGCTTTACGGCACAACCGAAATTCTCGCGAGTCAAATAAAGATAAAAGTCGTTAATTTTGTCATATTCATCGCCAGTGATCTTTGAAAAGTTGCTTGTCTTTTTGCGATTCATCGTCAAAGAAATAGCTGTACGTTACTGTTCACTATGGAATTCATAGATTTAATCTATTACTACAACTATAAGATATATAAATAGTTTGTCCGGCACGAGACTCGCACGTTTCTTACGGCACATGAATTCGGTCAACGCTTAGTGAACTAATTCTGTGTCGCGTACTTAAGCGGGTTCGTTAACCTGTGCTTTCATTTCTCAAATCGTTGTCTACATAACGAATAATGTTTTATCAATGCTGTGATTTTTTATGTGCCAGCTTAGCTAATATATTTATATTTAATCATATGCATATTATTGATGATCTGCAACAATATCAAAATTTAATTCTTCAAGTTATCCAATGCTAGTGTATAAAGTCCATTGAATACTTTTTAAATTCAGCGAATAAAAATAATTTTTTTGATAATCTAGCGTATCAGCTGTTTCGCGGAAACAATAACAACGACAAGAAAAATATTCGTTTACACGTGACGTAGCTTACGTAGCTACACAACGTAACAGCGTCATCATAGACCGTCAATACATTATAAGTTCAAGTAGTATGTCATTTTTGGTAATGACCCTTTCTAAATGGCAGAGGCATAATAAAGATAGATAAGTAAATAACTGCCTCGCGATGCACCATCGATGTTACTAACGAACAAGGTGAAACCGGTTGCACGAGTCTAAAAAAATTGTATCTCATTAGATGCACTTTAAGTTCGTGACGTTACCATTTTTGCGCAAATAACATTTTGAAATTTTATTGCTACGATACTACCAAAAAAGTTATTAAATTCCTCTATAAACGGCAGTGAGATAAAAACATTGCTGTTTTCAAATTTAATTTACAATTATTCTAGCTCGATTTGGTTGTTACGACTGAGATCATACATTTAATTGAATCTCTGATACAGTACGTAATAGTTTGTAGTAGACTTGGTGTCTGGAATTTGAATTGAAGGAAGTAGGAGGGGAAGATCGAAAGTTTTAAGAAGTTGACTTGCTAGCATACTGAAAGTAAATGATAATTTCCCTGATTTATAATAGCACATTTGAATTGTAAAATAAACAGCCACAACCATTATCTCGACAATGTTTAACGCAGGAAGTGCGTCAAAAATAGTTGTTTTTATGCAGGTCCCTCACGCATATGCATCCGGTATATCGAATACTCATACGTACTTTCAACTGCTGAATATTAAAATAAAAAATCATTTACGGATGACAAATGTAAACTTAAACATGCTAATTAGTTAATAACTATAATCGAATGAACTTATCAATTTATCATCTTTGATAAAAAAAAATAATAAAAATAAACCCAAATAAAAAATGTCCGGTTACAGTAGCTTTAAAAAAATAAACAGTATTTTTATTAAAATACTTAATTTAATGAATTCACCAATCGGTTTGCTTACAATCATTTACGTAAAAGAGTCACACGTGATGTGCTGTCGAAGCTTGACCTAAATTATTAATAATTTCAGTGTTAGCATAATAGGGAGCTCATTTTGATATTTTTATCATCTCGACTTTCCTTCATACTGCTATCAAATACTCTTCGCGCCTTTATCGTACACTCACACGACGTTGCGATACATCAGTTATGGACATATAGTCTATGAGAAATTTTTTTTCCTCTCATCCCACGGAAACCACACGATACATGCCTCGAAAAATATTTTCGAATCAAACCTGACATTTATTAAATGCGGTCAGTATAGACACGCGTGGTTTACACAGCTGACGATGAAACTAAATGTACAGAAATATTCCACGCGCGTGTTCATTAAATCCGCGCATAAACACCACGGATAAGAATATTTTTACTTTAAATGATTTGGTCGTCGCGCTAGATTATATTTAAAAATGACGCAAGTCATATTCTCACCAATCACATATTCAATTTTTACAAAAGGATGTAACCGGAACTGACACAGGGTGTAGAAAATTATACGTTAAGAATCGCGACTTCCAAAACGGCATCGTGCGTATTTCACCGATCGTGTGGATAAGTTTGATCTATCAATGACATTACGCGCTTACCTTGAAATTATTTTATTCAGCTTTCTTTGATCAATAATCCATAATTGCCATAATAAGACGTTCAATTATCATTAATGATTGAGTCAAAACGAACATTTGTTTTGTCTTTGACCAGCTTGGTCCTTTATACTGTTTATTATTCAGTACAGTAGTCATGACACGAGGTTATCGTAACCGATAGTTTTTACTTTAGATCACACAATTTTTTTTTCATTGATATTTAGGAATAATTCACGAGAATTCTCAAAACGTAGCACAATTATTGTCCTCCATGCTGAATTCAATGTACTGATCACCGATAAGATAGTTAACAGAATTTATCAAAATAAAAATCGTTGTACAACAAGCCGACGTAATCAAATACACTAATGAACAGAAGAATTGATCAGAACGTATGTTTCGATGAGCTGATTAGTCTTGCAAACAAACACAAATTGAATAAACTGAAATCTACCGAACGAATAAGACGACACTTTGTAATAGAAAAGTGACTATACTTAAGTTAAGAAAAAAAAAGACGTACTAAAGTACGTTGGTACACATGACACAATAGGGACAGTTGGACGTAGCAACGTAACAGTACCGGTTAATTATTCTTAGTTGACCGATCGCGCGGCACAGCTCTTAACTTTTATTCGCCGCGAGCACGAACCTTTCCGGTCACATGTGCGGGCGACATGTGTGCGCTCGCGCTCGGCTATACGCGACACAACACAATAGGTCGATCGCCGTCTAGGCTCAAGCCGTGCTTCAACGGCAAACTCCCGCGCACGACTGATTAGGCGTCTCGTCTCTTAGCCTCTGTTACATGCTAGCAGACGAGATATCGCCCAGGCATGCGCTCATCGTACCGCACGCGCTCGCTCTTCTGACGCGTATTTCAGTTTTTCCGTTCGAATCGCGGTGGGTGCCGCGAGAATTTATTTTTCTTTCTTTGGCAGTCCGGCCTGAAGTTTTTATGGGATAATGCTACCGGGAGTTGGCAAGGTCGTTAAGATGAAAGTAAAGGATAGGGGAACGGCGGAGAAGTAGCACGAGGTGTTCGATTATTTTTAGCGCAAACTTTGCTATAGCTTAGTGAAGATCGGCAAGCGCGATTTCTGCGCTTCTTTTAATATGAGCTCACGTACTAATTACTGATTTTTTTCGCTTTATTAAACTGATCAAGTATTTCTTTTTGGTACTAGTAACAATGCCTAATAGATAAGAAAAATTACAATATTTTCATCCTACGTAGCCGTGAAAACAAATTGTTAAATAAAAATTTGGCTTGCTTGAGTTTTGAAGATTCCATGGCAATTTTAAATTTATTACACGACATTTATTTCTTTTCCACTAAATAGTTTTATTTAAATAAAACCTTTTCTATACGTATATGAACTTCAAAATCAATTGGACATATGAGCTCTGTGTCTATTTTTAAAGCATGACTAGTTGGTCAAATATAAAAATGGTAAGAGTATTTATTATCAGTGATGATATTTCATAAGGTCAACGAAGAGTAAAATTTATCTGAGGAAAGACTAACAAATTGTCATGTCTAATTTAAGAATTTATCTGCACGATCTTTTAATAATTTTGAAGTAACTTGACCGTTTTTCAAAAGCAATTCGAATTATACATATTAAAGTTTTGTTACGTAATGTATGTAGTGTATTTACATATGTCGAATAGAGTATTTCAGAAAATCTACTATCAGTTTAATGAGCTCACGCCAATCATATAACAGTGATGCAACGCGTTTAAAAAAATGAATATAAGATAAGTAGAATAGAGTAAACGACAACGAATGAGCTTTAGTAAATCGGTAATATTTTTCATGTTTCACGTGATATAATTTATTCATTTAAAATATCAATAAGTTTCTTAAGTATTTTACCTCGAGTCGCTCAGTAGCTTTGAGTAATCTCTCGTAGTCCACGCTACCTTGGACCGTGAGGAGTTCCATCATATAATCCGTTTCTTGCACGGATTGCTGTACCTTTTCAAGTTGTTTTTCAAATCTCCTCCAGAGATTCAATCTACTTCTGAGCAAACCGAGCAGCTTTGCGCATCTCGATTCTAAAACCTCGTGAGTATCCTGTAATTTTGCGACATCTCGCTCAACGCCAACAGGCGACATCGAGACACGCATCCTGATTGGGAGGGTGTGCAAAAGCTGCCGCAGGCCCATAATATCTTGCCAAAGTTGACCCAATTCGTCGCCAACCGTTTGACATTGTTCGACTGCAGCTGCGATGATGTCACTAGCCTGATGTTCGTTACCCTCGCACTGGACAAGAACAAGTGCGTGCCGCTGATGAGCTTTCTGAACTCGAGTGATGCCACGCTTGAGGCTCTTGAGATGTTCGCGAACCACCTGAGCCGCATCTAATTCCTCGCTGATCATACCCTCCAAACGACGTGCCATCGACAATAGAATGCCCACGCGTTCGCTCTCGGCAGCTGGAAGTAGGCCTAGTCTTCCTAATTCGTCCTGTGGGAACATTCGTAAAAATTTGAAATGAAGCTTTTATTGCTATCGGCAAACAGAGCATTAACATTTATATTTTAAATATTTTTTACCTGAATAATGCATACTCTCTCGAATAAAACTGAGAGTCGTTCGGCATAAAGTTCAAGCTCCTCTTCAGTTTTCATGACTCCGTGGAATTCGTCGATAGTCAATCTAAGTTCATGTAATTCACGTTCGAGAATGTTTAGCTTTTCGTTTACTGGAACATCCTCGGATGATATCGTGCTGCGTACAGCGTCTTGTATGCGCTTGATTTTGTCTGACACGTTGTTCCAGCGTTTCTGCATTTGTTCATGGAATTGCCGTTGCAAAATTTCATCGGACAGTGGTACAATTCGAAGGGCTTGTTCAAAGCAATGATCCGCTTCGTTGCGCATATTATTGTGAACTTCGTACTGAGCTCTTAATTCCTAGTATGAAAAATGGTCTACTTAAAAAACGTTTGAACGAGTTCATTGTCAGCTTGTTTTAAAAATAGCGCTATAAAATATTAATTTTATAAGAGCTAAATCCAGTTCTTTAGCATTGTGCCAACCACATTCAAAGAAAAAAAATCATTCTTACTGACGTCTTTCTAAGAAACCAACTGAGAGTATTGAGTTAAATATATAGTAGCGCGCGAGGTTGCGAAAAAGATTTTAGAATGATATGCTTACCCAAAATCGTCTCATGTGTCCACCAGTAGGGTCGTTAACTGTGACAAGTTCTCTTTCGGCTCGGGTCATCCAATTTTCAAGTCTGTTAACCAACATCTCCTGATTACTCCAGCTGTCGCGAAATGCCAATAATCGTTTTAAAGATAAATCGACGTTTTCTTGAAGTTTAACAATCGTATCGAGTGCTTCTACATAACGATTATCTGGATCTTCGATGTTAATAAGGTTCTCAATATTTCGGGCTAGTTCTAGCAGTTGAAGTAATCGACCATGATGCTTTGCAATGTCCAATGACAAATTCTAAAACATGAAATAGTTTCGTTTGAAATGTAGTCGCCTGCAGTTAGTCAAAAAAAATATCAAATCAATAAATTAAAGTAAATTTGAGCGATAACGTTACCTGATAAAGTGAAATATACTGTTCATATTCGGTAGAAGTAACATTTTGTATATCTGGAACCCGTTGATGTGCAACTTGCAACCATCCTTTCTCCTCCTTGATTCCTTGTTCTAAGACCACCCATCTTGAAGCGGCAAGTGACATTTGTTGAGCTTTTGATGCTGCTTGATCCAACAGTGAAACAGCCTTGTTATGCAATTCTTCGTGTAGCTCATAATATTTCTCCTTTGTTTCAGAATCTAAATTATTCTCTAATGATTCCAAAATTGCTCTACAATGATTCAGATTAACAAAAAACTTTCTGTGCTTTTGCATTTCATCTTGTAAGTGTTGTAAGCATGTTACAGAAATAGGACAATTCAGAAGGTTTTCCGCAACTTTAGTAATTTGCGAAAATTCATGAAGGGTTTGCTCATAATCACTAGCTAATTCTAGCATTTCCAAAAGCTTTTCTCTTTCGACACAAATTTCATGTTCTATCAAAGCTATCATTTCTTCGGTTAAAAAGAGTTGCTGAGGGATTTCTTTTCCAGGGTATTCTTGCAAAAAACGTTTTGCTTCAGCATATAAATTAGTTGCTTTCAATATCAAATCTTTATTTGAATTATCTATTTTATCTAATCCTTCAAGTTTTTTAACAGTTGGAATTTCGCTATTTATTAATGCACTCAATTGTGATCTTTGTTCGTTTATAAGCCTGTATACAAGAAAGTAATTCAAATTAGTTTTTAAAGTTATAATACTATTATTTTTGTATACAACATAGTCAGATTCAATTATATCATATGTATAAGCAACGTATTTGTTTAGAAAATGAGAGTAAAAAACTCGATCTACTTACTCAGCGATGTCATTAACTTTATTTAGGAATTCATTCCATCTTGCCATTTCTAATATTACGTGGCTTTCTCCATCTTTTGCTACTTCTTCTATTGCTTTAGCTTGACATTCTAATGCTTTGACACATTCTTTCAATTTTTCACGCTCTTGTTCAGGTATAATATGTTCTATACCATTCCAAACTTTGTCTAACTCTTTAATATTCTCTTCAACATAATTGACTTCATCTCGAAGCTCAACAAAATTTCGCGTGTCGTCAGGAGTTGCTCCACTGGGGCATTCTCGTCCTAGGAAAATTCTGGATTCTATAGTTTCTAGCCACGTGGATATCGTCTCTATTACTGTAATAAATGTTTCTGTGATAACTATAACGTTCTGTTCTTCCGCAGCATTTCTTAATGTTGATAAGTCTTTCTGTATACCAGATGCTTTATCTTCAAAAGATTTTTTAGAGGTAGCAGTCAAGGTCGATATATGTAGAAGATTTGAAAAATGTGAAGGCTTGTGAGAAACTTTAACTTTTTCAAGCATAAGCTTGGTAGCTTGAATTTTTTGTTCAATACCAATTTGGGACAGTTTTGAGCTTTGAATTTCTTTTGCTAAGAAATCACTTGTTACTTGATTTAATAAGTGAACACCTTTCTGAAGTGGAACTGATGGTTCTAGACTTTGTTTACTTTGATCTTCGTATGGTTCAGAAATTATTGATGAATTTTCATTAGAATCTATTGATATTATTGAAGGTTCTTCGTATACTTCAGGTGATATATCTGAAGACGTTTGTATTTTTGATTTTACTACGTTAGAATAAGAAATTTCAAAAGATTTGTCTTCATTGGGTGTAGTTGTAGATTGTTCAAATACAGAGGTGAAATGAGGTAACTCTTCTGTTTGAATCGGTTCACGAATCTCAACAGTTCTATTTCTCTGTCTCTTTCTTTTTTGGCGTTGACTTTTTGATGATTTTTCTTCGCTCTGTTCATCCGTTATCGTTATATCTTGAGACGTTGAATCAGGAGTAGTACTACCACATACTTCTACAGTGGCTTTGATTTGAATTTCAAATAACGATTCGGGCGTAGAACTTATATCTGGTGAAGATATTACAGTTTCTGGCTCTTGTTTCTTTTCTACCAATATCAATTGTGCAGATTCTTCTTTCAAAGGTTGTTTTTGCAATTCTTCATTTATTTTAAACTTTTTTTGATCGATTGGAACTTCTTTCACATGAAGATCTGCAGTTGGTTTGTCGTCAACTTCTGTTACTATTATACTTATGTCTGGCGGATGCTGCAGTTGTACAGAGTCTAAAGCAGTAATTGACTGAACTTCTTTTTGTTCACGAAGGTCAGAAATATCTTTTGTGATACATAGTTCTTCCAGATTTTCTGCAACGTCAATTTTGACTTCAGTTAATTTTTTTTCTTCAGCATAGTTAGAATCTTTATTCAAAGTTAGTTTCTGTTCGATGTCCGTACGTAATAAGGAATCGATTGGTAATTTAGTCTCTGATTTTTCTACGCTGATTTTTTCATCAGTGAAATCTACCTTGATAGTTTGAGAACTTATGTCCAAGGTTTCAGGTATAATTTGAATACATTCTTCAACAGTTGGTACAATTTCTTCTGATTTAGTTTGAATTGACAACTCTGACGTTGCTATGTGTTCTGGAGTACTCGTCTGAGATTCTCCTTCAAGAAGGACTTTTGGCTTTCCAATATTTTGCTCTGCATTTAATAAGTCTAAACTTTCAGTAGGACTAGTTTGTACTGTAGTTTCGACTGGCGTAAAAGTAGCTGTTTGTATTTCCATTTCATGTGTTTCCAAAATAGCTTTTGATGTAGTTTGAGTTTCAATAGTTTGACATGGTATCTCGTCAATTAAATGTGCTTGTACATCAGCGTTTTCTACATGAAGAATTTCTGGCGAGGTGGCTTTACTACTTTGTTCGACTTGATCTTTGATAGCAGATGGTTCATAATTTTCGGTTTGAATTGCTATTTCTTCTAATGTTTTTTCATATGACTGGGGTGGCGTTGTTTTTTGTTCTACGTTCGTCAAAAGTTGTTGCGGAATTTGAACTTCAGTTTCTTCTGAAAATATAGAGTAAAATGTTGATAAAATTGCGATATTTATATTGGTTAGCGAAATGTTTAATATTGCAACTTTTTTTTACGAATTTAAATAGTAGTAATATTTTCTAATAAAAAATATTACTTGTGTATTTACATAAAATTTGTTGTGAATTTTTTATTGATTAAATTAGTCTAAAAATATGCAATATCTATACATATGAAAAATATATTTTTTGTGAAAAGATAAATAATTTAAATTTAATCAACTACATTTTCAAGTGCCCAAATAATGTTAAAATAAATTTTTCCAGCAGATAAAATACTATACCTGTTACTAAATTGAAATCAGTAGGTGATGTTTGAACTTCTAAATTTTTCACATTAATTATAGTTTGTGTGTCTGCTTCGCAGGAAGGTATGGGAGGGATAGGAGTAGATGGTGCTTCTTCTCTTGGTGTAGTTTGAAGAGCAATTTCACCAGTAAGAAGTATATCAGGTGTTTTAGGATGTGTAAAGGAATCTTCTATATCTGGCTTCACATCTAAACAAATTTGTAAACCAGTGTCGAGGCCGTGTCTTGGAGATGTTTGAATTTCAGTGTGGATTTTATCAGTTTTCAATACTTGTGCTTCACATTCCATTTTATTGAATTTTTCTAATTCTGGGACCGTTTCGTTATAAGTCACTAATTCTTTAATTTCTGGCACCATTTCGCCAACTGATACGTCACACATTTTGACTATTGTTTGTGTATTTGCTTCATGCATAATTACGTCGCTCGATTCAGCTAAAGCTTCATCACTTTCAATTACTTGAACATCACTCTTTTTTTTCTTACGTTTTTTAGATGGTTTTTTGGAAACTTTAGAATCTTCACTTTTGTTTACCTCCATTCCATCTGTAAATTCTAGTTCATCGCCGCTCATTTTTGAAACTTCAGTATCTTCCTCTGTCATAGTGCGATCTTTTTGCTTCTTTTTCTTCTTCTTTTTTCTTTTACCAGAATTTTCAGTTTCGTGATGCATTTCTTCAACTGTTGTTCTCTGATCTGCTTCATAACCATCACCTTCAAACACGTCGTTCTTTGGCGATGAAAAATTATCAGATGACTCTGTAACTTCATAAATATCTGGCTCTGGTTTTTCTGTTGTGTGTTTTGATGAATCACTATGTGATATATCTATTTCAATAGATTCTGCTAAAGTTGTTGTTACTGCGGAGCTACTAGATTCTTCATCGCTTTGTTTATGATGTTTTATTTTATCTCTATGTTTTTTCTTTTTTTTTATTTTGCGACCCATGGGGGCATCATTTCCACTAATATCAGGAGATTGAGCTAATTTGTCGCTGTCAGTTTCTATTATCTTCTCTTTATGTTTTTGTTCTATTACATTTGTTCCAACAGTTTTGCTGTCAATGATTTTTATATCTTCAGTATCAGCTGGTAGTGAGATATTTATCTTTTCTTCAGAAACACGAAGTAAGCTGTCTTCTGGTCCTTCAATATATGATTCCACAGATACTGATGGTCCTTTTTTATCGCCCGCTTCTTGATCTTTTATAGATAGTACGATGTCAATTTTCTGAATATTTTGATCAGTTAACGCACCTGATTGGAAACCATCTTGCTGAGATTTTGTCGATGCTTCTTCAATTATTATTTTCGACTGAGACAATTTTATGTCTTCTTTTTCGATGTAAGGTTTTTCCATATTTTTTGCTAATGTTTCAAGATCTTTGACTACCTTGGTATCTGAGATCGTATTATCAATATCCTTAACTTTCAATCCTCTTTCTTTCTGTAGAATATCGGTAACCACTGAAAGTGATTCATCAACATCTACTGTGCGCTTATCGGTAACATCTGTGTGCGGTTCTACTTCTACTGTGCCAAACGCTAGTTCAATACGATGTGTTTCAAAAGATGTTCCTACCGGTGTATCTTCAAACTTACAACTAGCTTTAGTGAATGGTGGAATATCCTCAATTGTTGTTGACTCTAATGAAGATATATCCTGGGCGGTTGACTCAACTGATTCATCGTGAGGTGCCTGTAAATAGGCAGATTTTTCAGAATCTATTAATTTTTGACTTTCTAATGCCACTGAACTTAAATGTGGCACAATTACCTCGATTGGCATACACTCAAATTCGTGTTTTTCTTTAAAGATAGGTTTGGCTTTATCGTTATCAATCTTTAACTCATTGAACTCTTTAGAACCAGTCATCAAATTTGTTTCAATTTTAGATTGTTCATTACTTTGTATTTGAGGTTTTTCTTCAATGGTGTATGTTTTATCAGATGCAAGAGAATCTTCTGAAGTTGATGAACTTTGCTTTAATTTTTTTTGCTTCGATTTTGATAATTTCTCCTTTTCAGTGATATTTAGTTTTGTAGCAGATTGATCAGTAATTCGTAATTTTTCATCTTCTAATTTCAATTCGCCAGACTGAGAAAAAGGGATTTGTTGACTCAAAACATCAACCTGAGGTGTTTCGATAACTACTGGTATTTGTGTAATTCGTGGTTCTGTAAATTGAGTTAACACTTCACTTTTAGGAACTTCATCGACAATGTCTATGTTTGCAGTTTGTGGTTCTGATTCGTCTCTGGTTTCAAAAACTCCTTGATCTTCGCTCTTTACAACATTAATACTAATATGGGGTATACCTTGCTCGTCAATTTCGACTTCTTCTGGTTCTTCTACTACTTCTTCACTAGTTACTTCTTTACCATCGATAATAGTGACCTTGCGAATAATGCGTCGAGTTTTTCGAATGACTTTCCTTGTAACTTGTTGAACTACTGCATGTACTGTTGATGTCTTAGTATGATAATCAGAACCTGCGACGAGGGCTTTATCAATATCTGCTGGTTTTAAAGTCAAATCTTTCATATCACCATCACGTATCACTCTTTGAGTGAATTGTGGAGTACTTTCATATTCTTCAACGTTTAACTGTTCGCCAGGTGTACCGGTCATCACTTTTCCACCGTAAGATTGTTTTATGGCCATCTCGACGGAACCATCTGGTTTAGTTCTAGTGACAGTGACTTGCTGCCCTCTCATAGTGGCTTCAGAAAAAGCTTGGACCACAGGAGGATTATCACCTACCGATGTTGATAATTGCGAAAGATGTTGCTGCGTCGTCTGTCTACTAGTAACAAGTGTTCTACGAAGCTTTCGTACAATAATTCTCTTGGTTCCATCACTATCCACAACAACTTCTGTTGTAACATCATCTGGCTCTACGAGTACTGTTTCAAACGACTGAGGAGCAGCGTGTTGTATATTTAGTTCTGAGGTGACGTTTTCTTGCTTTTGTGCGTCTAAGTATTTCATGTCGACAACGATGTCTTCTGAATTTCCAGTTTGCGGATCACGTCGCCCTTGCTCTAGACCGCCCAAAGATGAAATATTTTTCGTCGCTATTTCTATGACATCATGTTTACCGTCTGTGCTTTTTAAAACCTTTATTGTTTCTTGAATTTGCTGATTATCCAATAATCCTATATTTATTGGAATACTGTTGTTCTCAGAAGTTTGACAAGCCGTAGATATTGGCAGTAGGTCCGTTGATGTTTGCTTGCTCGAAATTACTGGTTTTGGTTGTTCTTTAATGATACTTTGAATTAAACTTTGTCCAGTTTGTAAAGAGACATCAGCCAGTGACGGCGATGAATCGTCGCGAAGAGATTGAACAGACGATGCTCGATCTAGCGTGGCGTCGACACCACTCGTCGTTGCGATCTGAGTCAACGGCTCATTTTCGTTGACCGCCAGCTGAAAAAAGATCGTTAAGACTTAGACGCCAAGGCATGTAGCGCAGAAATGCAAGGCGTAGGTTTAAAATTAGCAATGAAAATAGTTGAGGCAGTATGGAGATCAGAATGTAAGTGAGAAGTTTAATTTTAGAAGCAGCAGCCAATTGGATTAAATGAAAATAATTTACCAATTTGAGATTACTATACATCATGTTATCAAATTATTGAAATAAGGAAAGATTGTATTCCAAAATCAGATGAATATAGGTTAAATATTTTTAATTTGAAAAAATTAAAATGCATTGATTACTCTTTTCATTGGAAATTAAATAAACTAGAAATCTATTGAATTTTTTTACAACATTTTTACATTATTTAGTGAAAAAGTGTTTTTATCAAGAGAAATCATAAAATTTATAGATAAATACTAAGAATATATATATTTTTTTTAAAAACTTCTATTAGCAACAATTCTATAAATGAACTAAGGATTCAATAAACAAATAGTGCAAGGATTGAATACTAAAAAAACAGAGAGAGTTTATTATAAAGTGAGAGAAATAAAGTAGGGAAAATAACATAAATATCTTTAATAAAGCAGCATTATTACAATGTGACTAAATAACATTTCTAAATACACGATATTTATATGGTACATATTTTTTCAATTGCAATACATTATCATTCATATAGCATACAATATCTATACATCAAAAAGAAATAGTATTTTAAATATTTCTGTTCATTCCCTGGATAAGGTAATGTATGAACTGATAGAATAGAGTATAATAAAGCTGAAATAACAATAACTAATTGATGCAGTGACACAAGCGATAATCTACTTGTAAAATATGCAGTGCATCGTATGTATAATAATCATGAATATTACTTACGTGCAAATTATGAATTCAGTGATACAGTAAAAGGCATTAATTATTATAACTATAATGTACAAGCTAATAGAGTGAAATTATATTAAGATTACTATTTGATGACAAAGCATGATGTAAATAAGTGATTTAAAAAATGAAATACTATAATGTCTTATGTTATCAAATTTTTTTTTAACTCTACAGATATCAAGTGGAGTAATGACTTGTTTATCAAAATGATTAGCGTTGAAATACATTTTGTGAAAATAAGAAAAGAAATATAATAGCTGGCGTAAACTAAATGATAATCTATGACATTATGTAATTAATCATTAAATAAAAATTGATAGTTATATTAGAATATAATTGAAAAGTTATAATGATATTTGTAAGTTACTTGAAGTTAATCACAATCAAGATTTTAGTAAACACAACTGCATTGTTCAAAATGAATGGAAATGTACATGAGCCAATGACACAGCCAAAATAATTTATCTTGTTCACTTGCTGAGATGAATGATCGAGAACAAGAGTATAAAGTTTTCTTTTTCACATTCAAGCAAGACCCAGCACCGTAGTGTGACAAGTTGTAGTGAAAATATAAGATTCCAAGTTCTGATAAGGGATGTGTACCTGCTGCTCCTGTATTAAACGACGATCCAATTCTTGTAAAGCTTCTTTTAAGTTTACCGCTAGTTCGGAAACTTCTTCCAATGATTCTAATTCAATTAATCTCTGTAGGCGAAATGATATTTCTTCCCGTAAGACCTATAATAGTAAAATAAGAATAATTCTATTAATCCTTAAAAATAATTTCTTGAAAATTGTATGAAAAAATTTGTTGTTTTCACATGTAACTATTTTTATTAATAACAAATTATTTTTAACATTTTATTAAAAACTTGTAATGATTTATTCGAAAGAATAAATACCGCACAATAAATAATAATTATTATTGTATAATAAATATTATATCAAACTTCTTATGTATGTAATTACACTGTAACAAATGAATTACATGCTTTTATATAAGGCAAATATTGACTCTTAAAAATTTTAAATGATGTGAAAATAAGTAAATACGCGAATTTAAATGATATTTAAAGCAATATCGTCGTTTTTAAATATTAAAGGAAGGTAATACCATGTAGTTAGGAGTATTAGTTTGATCAACTATGGCAAGAGTTACGTGTCTGATCCAAGCTTCAGTTTCATCAAGGCATTGTTTGTAAATTTTTATTTCTTGCTTTCTTCTTTCTTGCTCTTCGCGAGCTTGTTCTAAAGTAGATTGACCTTGTTCAGCTTGAGATATCAGACGTACAAGATTTTTTCCAATTTCAAGAACAGAAGTTTGTAATTTTTTTGTTTCAGCATCTTCAGGAACCATATTAATTTCATGTTCGATTCGATTAGCTTCTTGATTGTAATATCTTAAATCTGCCAGTATCGTCTGAAAAACAACGATTGATCCATAATTAGTATACTTGCCTTATCAAGCCATTTTTCTAAGTTTTAAAGCGTTTAAAATTTTTGTTACAACTATCTCTATATTATGTATCAAATAATAGCTTTGAAATGAAAATGATATATAATTAATAATTACCGAAAGAGCACTAATCATTGTTTGTAGATTTTCTCGCGGTACAGTTCTCAAAGCTCCTTCAAGTTGGGCTAGTACTAATTGCAAATCATCAAGATCATGTTTCATTTTTTCCTGAAAACAAAAAAGAAAGATGACTTTAGTTTTTTTTAAAATCTACTTAATTTATTATTATACTATTATATTCACACCGTACAAAACAAAAAGACCGCTCATGATATTTTTCAAGAAGTTAAAGTTTTGATACGTTTGGTAGATAAATAATTATTTAAATTTTAATAAGATAAATATAAAACACATAAAAATACAAGTGCATGCATTCAATCATTCATTTGATAAATAACTTTAAATGTTCAACTGAAATCAACTGTTGAATAAATATTGTAAAGTATATTGTAACTTTGGAAACGTAATTTACACCACATAATTTTTGTTGAAAACCCTATGTTTATTCAAATGAAAATTGAATATATTTGATTAGTAGAAAAAAATAAAATCACAAATTTTATTTTTAATTCAGCACAGCTGCATAGGGTACCTGAAAAATGATTATTAAATTGCTTAAGAAATGTTAAAAATGAAACGGGACATGACATGATTTTATAGGATTGATAAATTTTAATGTTAAATTTCACTCTAATACTGAATATTCAAGCAATCAAGTATCAATAAGCAAATTACATGCAAGACATAATCTAAAAGATACTTATATGATTAAATAATATTGATTTAATATTACTTTTTTCATCATTAAATTATTATAATTGAGTATTAAAGCCACAATATCAATTTGAAGAATTGATGTTCAGGGAATTGCGAATTTGAATGGAAATAGCGAAACCTAATAAATATATGTTTGAACATGAATAAGTACAATTCATTGATGCAATTTATTAAGAAAAATAAAATTTCAGTTTAATGGCATACTGGTTACAGCAAATTTCAAATATATTAATAATGTAGCGTGGATTAAAAATATTCAACATCAATTTTCTTCAAAATATTAAAATAAAATAAAAAAAGCGAAAGCAAAAAAAAACAATTTAAAAATAGATTGTTATTTTCGAAATCATTATGGCTAACAATTGTTAATTTTACATAATAATTCGACAAGCTATGGGGGATGGTTTTATTATTAAAGTACGTGAAAATATTAATTCTACTTGATAGTTCGATTGCAAAAGCTTCATAGTATGATGATATGAACATATGGTTATTATTCATATTTTATGATCGGTTAATTTTTTGTATGAAATGAAAACACAATATTAGCTTGTTCGCCTGTTGACAACTCGCACCTTCATGGTCAAATCAGTAAAACTGCTCTGCTGTATCTTCACAGCTGGATCAGAAGTACCGCTTTCTTCAATATTATCCTGTACCTGAATGGAACTGCTTGACTTGTCACCTAAATTCATATTGGATTCTGGGTAGGACAATGGTTTATGAACGTATGAAACAAAAGGAAGGGGATTAGGATCAACAACTTTCGGCAATTTAGCATCCATTGAAATTACTTTATGTTCGTCATCAATAATCACATCTTTTTCAAGTGCTAAGTAAGTACTATCATCACTCCAACTACCTAAACCACCCGGTAAATCTGCTATTAAACGTTCAGTTTTTGGAGTTCTATTATTAGAAGATTGCGAGCCTGAAAACTCATCTGACTGACCATCACTTCCCGAACTTCCATCGCTAGGATCATCTTTATTATTGGAATCTTTATCAGAAGATATAGAAAGAACTTTTTTATTTTTCTTTTCAGAAGCTAGATTTTCAAAATATTTGCATTCCGCTGCGTGATATGTGTGCTTGTCCCACCATAATCCAGTGTCTTTTGAAATACATGTGATCCACGATGGCGATGGCTCAAGATTATCTTTTTCAAAAGTATCAGTAATAACTTCTTCTGGAATATTCTGTTTTTGTTTATTTTGTGACACAACAACCATTTCATCATCTATATAAAATGTAACTTTTGATGATTTAGGTAAGTCAGCTTCATCAGTACTTGAGAATGATTGTGTTTCTGATAAAGTTAGCTGATGTTTATTGATATTTTTTATGTCTTCTACCATGTTATTACTCATTGTGACTAATGTTTCAGATTTGTTTTCTTCAGCCTTTTTATCCAGAATCGATATTGAAATTGGCTCTGAGTTGCACACATTTTCATTAGTCTTTGAAATTACATATTCTTCGCTGTTCTTCATAATCCCTTGATTCATTATAACTTCTTCGTTTATTTCTTTTTGGTTTCTGTTACATAGATCTTCATTATCATTATTCGTATTAATATAATCCTTTGCAACAACACTATCTATTTTAATTGTAGCTATATTGTCGGTTAGTTTTTCAGCTTTTTCTTTTGATTCGCTCGCAACGGAAGATTCTTTATCTTTAATATTTTTATTATTTTCTATCAACGGGTTGTTATGACAGATATTTAATGATACTTTTTTTTCCTGGAAAGTGGATTCTTCATTGTTATGTTTTGGCAATGGCTGAGTTGAGTCTATGGAATCTGTAATTTTTTTATTTTTTCTTCCTTCTTTTTCGCAAGATTCTTCCTTAGAAATTTTCTCCAATGGAGTACTAAGCAACCCTGTTTCTTTTTCGTTACTTATTACTGAATTTAATAATTTATTATCGATTGCACGTGTATTTTTATCATCCTCTATGCGTTGTTTTTTTCTATTTTTATTTTTTGTTGGTGCTTTCTTTGAAATTAAACATAAACGTGATAGTTCATCAGAATTATCTTTTTTTTTATCTGCTGACTGACCAGTTTTAAGTTCTTCAACTTTTAATAAATCTGTCGTATCTGTGTCCTGTTCTTGTTGATTATTTTGATTAGTAGTACTGTTTTTAGTTAATAATTCAGTATTTTTTAAATCGCTGTTTTCTGAATTATCATTGTGCTCATTTTTTTTCAATTTCAGAGTTGAACATTGATCACTTGACGATTGCAATAATACGTCGGCCAAATCTTGTATTTCGTTTTCTAAAGTCATAGATTTATTAGAACTCTTATTTTTATTATTTTTAGACTTTTTTCTATTTTTTGTATTATTTACTAAATTAGATAATTCAGGCGATTCTTCTGTAGATTCGATTTCTTTCTTATCGCTTTCTTTAATTTCATTTTTTTTCTTTGTTGCATTATCATTTATTTTTTCAGTTTTATTTGGGTCATGAATATCAGATCTGCATGAGCTTTTTGAACGAGATCGCGAACGACGATTACGTAGATCTTTTCTGTTAACAAATTCTGTCGAATCTTCATCATTAATATGAATTACATTTTCTGTTGGCTCAATTGCATCATCAGAAATAATTTGCATTTGAGGACAAGTTTGCTGTTCTTTAGTTTGCTTATCATTTTGAGCCGTTAGCTCGTTAATCTGTTCAATCGATAATAGATCTTTGGATTTAGAGCTTGGTTTTGCTGATACCTCATCATATGGAGTCGAATAAGAATTTTTAATATCCGAATCTTCAATTTCAGAAGTAGACACTGGAACTTGTGGTATATTCATTACAGGTAAAGCAACTATTTCTGCCTCCTCATTGATTTCATGACCTATACATTGAGATGTTTTTTCACATTTAATTAGCATTGTTTGGCTGATCTTACTTTGTAAATTTTCATCTTTATCTGTCTTTGGATCAGAACTTAAAATGTTTTTGTCGTCACCTGACATGCACTTTTCAATATTCTCAATCATTTGTATTCCAACTTTTTGCTTACATGTATTTGATTGTTTTTTGGATTTTTTATTTTTATTCATTGATACTTCAATTTTTTTCTCTACATTTTTATGGTTACCTTCTTCTGCTACTTGATTATCTTTCTTTTCTTTATCCTCTCTGGTAACTTCTATTTCATCCTTTATTTTTGATGAATTTTCACTTAAAATATGCTGCGTATCACTTTTTATTTCAGCTAATTCTTTATTTTTATTTTTTGATGATTCTTTATTACTTGATTCCTTTTTGTTTACTTTACGTTGTTTTGAATTTCTAATTGTAGGTTTGATTATATCTGCAGATTTTATATTTTCTGGCTTTTGAATATTTCCACCTGATTTTGCTTTTGGAACATTTTCCTTAATTAAAATAGAAGAAGTTTGCAAAAAATGTTCACCACTGATGTCATCTTGTGACTTGCTCAAGCTTTCTTCTTCATTTGTTAACAATTTTTTACACTTCTTTTTAATTTCCACTTTTTCGTCCAAGTCTTCACTTTTCACACTTGACATTCCAGAGTTCTCTTGTTGATTCAATTGCATTGTCATTTCACCTGAATTTGAACTGGAATTACCACTTGTATGTGGGTTTTCATTCCGTCTTTTTTCCTCTTGTTGTTTTTCAAATTCTGTTAGCATCTTAACGAATTCAGCGTCCTCAATTTTTTCTTGTTCAAATTCTTCTTTTATTAATTGCTTGTACCGATCGTAATATCGTCTTAACCGTTTCTCTTCTGCTTTCTCAGAATCTAAAAGCCATTGTCGTTTTTCAAAATGAGGTATATTTAAAAGTAAGGTCTCATTTTGCATTATAAAGTCATACTCTTCTTGTTCTTCAGGAGTAAGATCAACATTCCAAGGATGATTTTCAATGAATTCTGCAATGAACTCTGGAGTAAGTTTTTCTTTTCCTTTAAGAAATTTAACGTCCTTAAATTCGTCTTCATTAGGCAAATAATCTTCATCATCTGACAATACAGGTGTTTGTCCTTTGGTTGGCGTATCGGATGAATCTGAATCGCTGTCTGTTTGCTTTTTAGACATACATTTACTAATCATCTCTTCTTTATATTTTTGACATAAATGAGAAATATCTATTAATTTATTGCATTCAGTGTTTGTATTCATCGGTATATTTTGTTCTAGGTCTTGGATATCAACATTTGTGGTATCTTTTTCGTTAAGTTCTATGTCTTTAACATTATATATTTTAGATAAGATTTTTTTATTTTGTAAAGTATCATCACTTTTTGTTTCATCAGTTGAAGCTTTGTCATCGATCTTTTGACAAGACTGTTTATCATTATTCTGTGTTATCGATGTCTCGTCCGTAATTGGTGCGGTTTTTGTAATTTTATCATTATTTGTTGGAGTGATGGTTTCCCCTTTATTGATGTCGCTCGGCGCTGGAAATGTTTCTTCTACATCCTCATCTATTGAGAAAAGTTCATTTAGGAAATCCATCCACGAGTCATCTGTTTTTAAATGTATTTGTTGAATTTCCTTTGTATCAGATTGAGAAACTGAATCTGTCACCGGTATGGTAGACTCAATCGAATTAGATTGACATACTCTAATCCCAGGTTTCATATTTTCATCCATTTCTTCGTTTAATTTATTCGTGGGTATTTGGTCACTTTTTGAGTCATATTTTATTGCATTTTTATGATTAGGTTTTTCACTAATCGATGGAATTTTCATTTTTGATTGTTGCACGATTCTTTCTATACTTGTATCTCTCTCTATATTGCCATGGATACTTGATGTTTGTTGTTCTTGGAAAGTTTTTTCAATGTTATATAAACAATGCAAGTCTGTTTCTGCTTGGGCATGAGAATGGTAATCAATTTGATATGCTTTAATTGTTTCACAAAGATATGGTTTACTTAAAAATGTTGATGATAGTTGTTTGTTGTTATCGAATTCAGTAATTTCATTTTTTACTGCGATTTTCTCAACAGTCACTGGTGTATTTAACTTTATTTGACAAGATTCATCTTGATCGGATTGACTTTCGATATGAGAACATTGAATTATTGGATTTTGCTGATCGAAACAAGAACTTTCGAAAATACTCGCGTCAACATCGGATTTTCCTATTTTTTTTCTATTTTGCACACTCCCGAATAAAGGTACTTCTTCATTTTCCAGGAAAGTTTCTAATGATATAGCTGGTTTCTCGAAAGTAACAGTTGTTGCACTTTCTATATTTTTCTCGAATTCGTCAGGAGCAATAGATGGAACCACTTTTTCTTCAGTACAAGCTGGTTGCAGATTAAGAGCTTTGTCAACATTTAAAACGATTTCTTTTTTATTTTTTACAATATCTATGGTTTTTTTTTCATCAAAAATCTCTTTAGTTATTAACTCTGATATTTCTAATTTTTTATTCTCTCCTTGTTCTAATTCATCCAATACTATATTTTCAGAAATTATTGAATCATCTGATATTTTATAAGTCAATGACTTTTCAGGCTTTTCTAGTTCAGTTTGGTCAAAAATTAATTCTTCTTGAAGTTTATTATAAAAGGAAGTAACTACTTGATTCGATTGTGTAGATATTTTATCTGCCGGCTGTCTTTTATTTACTTTAATTGATGCCGATCCAGTATGCAATTTTTGTAATTGCGCTTGTTCAGCGCTTTCTATTTCTTTCGATAGTTCTTTAATTTCTTTTGTATTTTGATCTAAATTGTCCTTTTCATTATCGATTTGTATGACATTTGGAAATTCTAATAATTTCTTGTCCTTGTTAATTTTTTCTGTTGCTTTTTTTGTATTCTTTAATATTTTTTTTGGAGTACCATGTGGCAAATTTTTGTTTATAGAAATCATTTTTGGTACACAGACCTGATCTATTTTTTGCATTTTTTCTTCCGATTCAGATATTAGTTCTTGGGTTGATTGTGTACTATCAGTCACTGTACTTATATTAGATTGAAAATTACAAATTATTTCAGGTTTAGTTATAGTTTCATAATTAGATTTTGGTGATTCAACTTTTGATTTTCGTTCGAAAGTTGTATGATTTTTCAACTTTGCATCAACTCTTGAAAAATCATCACTTACTAACTCATAAGGTAAATCTTGGGGGTTTTTTCGTTGTTTGATCTCGGATATTTTTTCAGTATCTGATTCCAATGGTAACGTTTCCTTGATACTGTCCAATCTACCTTGGAGTGTATCCTGACATTCACTTTTTGTTTTTGATTCTGATTTTTTCTGATCATCTAATTTGAGATTAACAACTACTTCAGATTTTTCTGTAATTTCATAATTTTTATTAGACTGTTCGCTTTTTAATTCTGATTCCGATTTTGTTTTATTATCAACTTCATTTTTCGATAAATAAGATTTATTCTGCCGGCTTTTTTTTCGTTTGGATTTAGATTTTTCTTCAGTGTTTGGTTTCAGTTGAATATCTTCAAATTTATTCAGTGAATCTTGAAAAGTGATTGTGCTCTTAGTTTCCTCTTTCAGTTCTATGTTTTTCTGTTTGGGACTCTCAGTTATTTCAAGTTCAGTGGACTTATTCAAATTTTTATTCTGTTGCTCAATTTTTGATTTCGCTTCACACTTTAAGTGATGTTCGGACGAAGATTCTATGTCAAACATATCAGATAGTTCCTTAATTTCATCTTCCTGTTCAATTTTATTTTTCCTTTCAGTACTTGATTTCACCTCAACTTTTTCAAGTTTATTCAACATATGCTTAGAGCTGATTGTATTCTTGTTTTCTGACATCCATGGTACCTTTTCGCCATCAATTAATTTAGATTTGGTTATGGTTTTAGAAGATTTAATTGGATTTTGTATTGTTGTTTTTAATTTACGTTCAACTTCATAAGTTAAATTTGTGACACATTCTGAACTAGATGTACTGGTTGATTTATAAGATCCATCAAGAGGATCATATTGTTGGTTGAGCTCGACTTCATCTTCAGTTTTGGTGTTTGATACAGTTTTATCCTTGGCCTCATCTTGTGTAATATGAGATTTTGCGACATTTTTGCTTTTTATTTCAATTTCCAAATGTGAAGATATAGGTTTAGTCGTAGTTTCCATTGGTTTATTATGCATATCATTTCTTGGTTTGGATTTAAAAGTTTCATCATAACCTAGTCCTCTATCCATTTCTATGTCAGAGTTACTTGTTGATAAATTAAATTTATCTTCAGGATTACCTTTTCGTTTGTTTTTTGCTTTATTTTTAGTTCCTGATTTTGATTCAATTATTTTTGGCTTGATTAACGAATCTTGAGATTTCATTGTATTCTTATCTGTTGAATTTAGTTCTGATATCTGTTGATCTTTTACTTTGGCATTAGGAATGGTTTGATCTTTAATTATGACTTCAGACTGCTTATCCTGCTGTTCAATTTTTGAATCATAATAAGATATGGCTTCGTTATTCAACATTGAATCGCTTTTTATGTCAAGTTTATTTATTAGTTCATGAGATTTATTATTAAAACCTCCTTTTTGCTTCGTCTTGGATTTCTCTTTAGATGTAAATTTTAAATCTTGCTCTAGCTTCGTAAGTTCGTTTTGAGATACATCTTTATCTTTAATTTTTTGTTCAATGCCCAATTGGTGATCATGAATTTGATCTGGTTTTACACGTTCGTCTACCTTGTTTTTAGTTTTATTGTGATCTATAATTTTCTGTTCTGAATTTTCCTTACTTATTATTTCAGAATTTATAGCATCTTCTGGAGGATTCAGTGTTGATTTATCGCTTGATTGCGAGAATATACCTGTTTTGTAATCTACATTCAAATCTCGTTTTTTATTTAGTTTTCTGGATAATGTATCTGATCCATCTTTTGGTTTATGTTTTTTGACAAGATCAGAAATACTTTCGAAACTTAATTTTGATTCAACTTCTACTTGTGATTTATTAATAGTCTTATGAGGTTTATCTTTCATATTCTTGAGTTTATGTTTATCCATATCTTCAATTTCTTTCAAAGCTTTATCGATTTCATCTTCGTGTAATTCATTTTTTTTCTTTTTCTGTTTTTTTCTTTTCTCTGTAGTTTCTGAGTTATTTCCGGAAGTTGAGTCAAGAGGCTTTTGTTGAGTATTAATAGATATATTTTTTTCAGCTTCATCATGTTCGTTATTCATATTGGTCGCTTTTTTAGTTTCCTCAGAAACCGCTTGTTCTATATTCGGTTTGGTTTGTTTAACTGAAATGAATTTATTTTTATCTGGGAGTTTCTTTTCATTTTTGTTATTTTCTCGGTTTTTCGTTAGATTTTCTTCCGCTGTAAGTCTCCGTTTAGGATCTTTCTTTCTTATTGTACCCCATAATTCTGTTTTTGAATCATAATTACTAGCTTGACCATCATGTTCATTTTTTCCCTTTTCTAATTCATCACTCCTAATAAATATTTTTGGCTCGGCGTTAGGAGATTGGGAATGTTCTTTGCGCGGTTTTAATTTATTATTAAAAATTGGCAAAATTACTTGTGGTAATAAGCCTTGTGATAATATTTGTGCATACGAGAAAAAAGATCCACGTGATTCTATTTGTTCAAATTTCGTTTCAATCGCTTCATTGAATGAGGGTTGATTTATTGAATCTTTTTTTAAATTTAAATTTGTATTTTTTTCCGTATTCAGGTTTTCTGGCTGACAATCATTCGACGCTTCCACTGAACATGTAGAAATTTTTTGGGATATAAGATCTTGTGATGTTTCATGTTCCATTAAATCTGCAGACTGAGTACTAGATATATTCTGTATTTGTAAATTGATTGGTTCCGTCGGAATAAAAGGATTATTAATTCTTTCTTTAGGTACAGATTGCGACTGCTGATAAATATTTGCTGCTGTATATTCTTGCTGTACCATAAAATGTTTTGCTGTATATTGATCATTTGTGTTAAAACTTTCGACAGGAACTATACTTTCGACAGGAACTTGTGTTGAACTATATATGTAATTAACTGGGTAAGGATTTATTTCAGCATTAATGAACCCAGTCATTGTAGATATAGGGTGTGTGTAATTGTATACTTCAGATTGCGGCGTGGTCACTATATTCTGATTTACATTGCTATACTCTTCTATTGGTTGATCGGCCCAATTCGATATTTCAATTTCAGAGCTAGAAAGGATTTCATCAGTCGTTGCAGAACTTACATGTTTATAGGATTGGCTTTCCTTGGTTGTTTCGTGTATGTTATCGTTAGAAACTAAAGTTGGCATCCTATTTTCGTCTTGATTTTGACAGTCTAGTGCCGGGGAAATTTTTGACTCAATTGTACGTAATTCTTTTATTTTAAGATGAACCATTTGATCAACCCTTTCATCTGGTTCAGAAGATGCTCTTGAAGACTGGCCTTTCAAAATATCAGCGTATGAAGTCGAACCAGGAATCCATATGGGACTAGGCGATCTACCACGCTTTTGCTCAAGCACAGATAACGTCTGAATGGGCGTAACAGTATCTATATTTTTTTCGAAAGAAGCAGTTACGGCGTTATCATTTTCTTTTACTTGAATTTTTGATTTAGCACTTTGAACAGATTCTTTTGATAATATTTTTTTTGTTGGTGATCTACCTCGACGTAAACCCGAACTTGATTTCCCTTGGTTTTTCGGCTTTTCTGTTTCAATATTACTTCTATTCTCTACATTTTCTTTAAACGTTTGACGTTTTTTCAAATTTAAGCTTTCTAGACATATTATTGGTTCTTGGACTTCAATTTTTACACTGTCTTTAGATAAAGGTTTCGATTGTGATAATGGTACTTCTGATCTAATAAGAGATTGTCGAAGAATTTGCACAGGTGAAGAAGCATCATCTCTAAGTTTTTTATGTGGACTTGTATGGCGAGAACTTGATCTTGATCTTCCCGCAGTCACGTCAGCATAGGAAGCAGTACCCACCAATAAGTTTGCATTTTCTGGATTTGGAGGGATGTAGTAAGGGTCTACTGCATGAGTCTGATCTACCAAAGTCCGTGCACGTTGCTGCCATTCCTCCAATTGCATCCGCAACGCCTGCTCGCAAAACGTAAGTGCCAGGAGAACTTATCTTTATGTTTTTATAAGAAATTTTTCAGTGGGATGGGCATTTGATTTATTATATATTCAAGCATCAGAAGCACTTTATATTTGTACATATTTTTAGTTAGATATCTTCGCAGTTCTTTTTTGTTCATGTATTCTTTCTTTGAAAATTTCAATTCTATATCTTTTTAAAGATTCAATAATAAGACATAAGATTATATTGAATAATCTTTATGATGAATAGGATTCAGAAATAGTCGAGTATTTTAATAATTTTCAAAAAATATTCGGAATAATATAGGAGTTTTAGGTAACGCCGATCAGTGGTAGAAACAAAATGTAGATAATTATACTCTCATATAGAATGCTCTTTATTTGTCTCATTCTTTTGTTATAATATTAAAATTCTTGACATACAACAAAAACATCTATCTATATTCGTTCAAATAATTTTAATTTTCAGAAACTAATCTCTATAAGAACCATTGAAAAATAATAAATATATTTTAGAAAATGAAATTTGTAACAAAAACAAATTAATGGGCATTTTTGAAATTACGATTGTTAAGTAAAGGTCTTGCACTTATACATATATTACAACAAAAAATTTATTTTAAACGCGGTAGGAATGCAACAGTCTTTCCGCTCTTTGGCGTGTTCCGCAATACGTCGCATATTTCGTTGAAATAATAATAATAAAGCACGGATGATGCGTACAGAATAATATTCAACGAATAACCATTAGATTCTATGAAATGAAACAAATACCCGGGTTTCAAAAATCTAATGTTTCTGCATCTGGTGTTCCACGTTGAATTAATAACTTTGATCGTTCTACGCGTGCTTGAATTTTACTATGCAGTGATCTTATACGTTCTCGGAAAGTCTATATTATAATGAGAAAATTGAGCAATAAAAATGAGAGTTTGATTCGGTTAAAAAAAGATTTTTCCCCAAGTACCCCCAGGTCAAAATTAGCATAGTAGTGAAAAGACGAGTGAGAAATATAAAAATAAACGAAACGAGTTGTGATAGAAGTGGTTACAAGATGACGAACAGAAATCATTTGGATACGTATGATACCGAAACAGCATGAGACGAATGTAATGAGTAGAGGATCGTCAGAGGTTCGTAGTTGGAAGGTTCGTATGAGTGAAGGAAAAGGAATGCAGCAAATAAAAATGATAAATAAACTAATTGACGTAATATCAAAGGAAATTAAAATAATTTCATAGGCATAATTATTATGCAGTGACTTTGCATTGCTGTAATAAGGCCTTGTCTCCACGAATTGTCAAGGTATTTCGTGTATAATTTTTCCAAAGAAGTTGACTTGATTTAGCTTGATTTATAAGATAATAAAATATTTTGTCAGTTGAATATATTTAATAATATAACTATTTAATTTAAATAAATGTGCATACAATAAAAATTGTGTCAATATAAAAAATGTGATTCTACATCCGTAATAATAAATATAAAATTTATACGTCTTTATAAATATACTGTATGCTAATAATTACACTATTCTACATGTGAATACAAATACATGATATGTCAATACAAATAAGCAAATCAAGTTACTTTTTGAAAAAAGAAAACTATAACCACAACAAAATGGACTTAAAGTTACATAGAAGTACAGTACGCAAAACCAAAAGATACCAACTAACACCCAGGAAGCAAATACACCACCTTTAGAAAACGATATTCAAGCGTTATTTATATTTGCACCACTAATTACTTCCCTAATTACTAAATTATTTTTTATTTTAATTTTAAATAAAATTTCGTCCTTATTACGAAATAAAAGTGAAAGAAAATAAGTAGTAACAAGAAATGTTAACCAAGCAAATGAATTAAAGTTACCACATTTCCGGAAATTATTAATTTCATCCACCAATCGACATTTAAGAATATTTTATTATTTATCTAAAATATAAAACGTTGAATAACACAAAAATTTAATCATAAAGCTGGTGGTGGGTTTTGAATTGGTATCAGTTTAAACTATTATATGTACAAATCAGTTGCTACTCTGTAGCGCAAAGTGCCATTGGAAGAGAAAGACAGTATAGGGAGTAAAAAGTAAGGGTTGAACCTACCTGTTGCTCTTTCAATGCTTTTTCCCTGTCATTGGGTAAGTACGTCGGACTCAGAACGGTCCTCAGTTGCTGTTCAACTTGTACGATTTGCTGTCTAAGCTGTTGTATTTCCTGTAAAAGTTTAAGAGCTAGGGTCATGTTGCACGTCCTACAGATGACATTTAGAGCCATCATTTGAAAAGGAGAATTTTTTCATTACTCTTTTTATAGTGAACTACTGCGTTCATTATCGTATCTTATTTTAAGTATTTTAATTATCTACATATTTCTATTGTTTCATGTTATTTACTTATTTCTGCAATTCCTATAAAATTAACAATATGAGACTTGACGATACTAGTAATTTATCGAATGTTCGTGTACATAATAAATTTGGCACCAATATCACTAGCATTTATTCAAGAGTAAAAAAATTCTCCTCGTTTACAATCATTTATATCCTGACCTGCTGGTACTGATCGAGTTGAGCAAGACACACTTCGAGTGAAGCGGTTTGTTCTTTGACGCTGTCATTGTGAGCATCGAGTTCTGAAATGAGCTCGTCCGCGGATTCAACGACACGATTGTCACCGCCAATTCCAGAGCGAAAGTGTACTTGCAACTTTTCGACACTCATTTGGATTTTAGTTTTCTGGATTGTCACGTCACTGAGCATCTTTTCGCGAATCGCATGTTGATCTCGAAGTGGCTTCTTTTTGTTCTGTGGTGATTCCAAGCTTTGGCGAGATTTTTCTAGCCAACTCTTCACGTCCTTCATCTTGCGCTCGCACTGCTCCCATTCTTCGCTCGTTTCTTGCAGCAGCGCATTCTGCAAAATATACGACGTTGTGCCAGAGTTCTTTCGATTACCTAGATAGTGGCGGAAAGTAATTTATCAACTAACCCGTTCCAAAAGTTGACCTTCAACTTCGACTTTGGTTTCTTCAGCTTCTGTTAGTCTTTGGGGCAAATCACCGACGCTTGTTACTTGACCGATATTCTCCAATTCACGACCCATATCGCTTAGGTTTTTGTTTACTTGCTTACAGCTTTTTACAGCAGTCTAGATAGTTTACGAAGTTGTATTTCAATTACCATTAGATCAATAATTTCATTCATCGCTAATCCGCTTCACCCAAAATAAAGCACAATTTCTATTGACAATCAAAGCCTTCAGGCAGATTATTTATAAATATTACTGGGTAAAACGTCAGCGATGAAAGACATCAAGAACATCTTGCGCGAAACCTACCGCGTATTCGTGTAGCCTCTGCCTGGCTTGATTAAGTGTACTAAGTTTAAGGGGTTCTGTGAGGAAAAGTTTTTTTTCGGTGGTCCAGGCTTTGACGGCCTCAAGCAGCGTAAGGAATCTCTGCCAGGCATCCAGCGTATCACCGACTAATTGTTTCTTTTCCTCCAGCCAAACCTTAACCTGAGCGAGCTGCTCGGTAAGATTTGTCACGGTTCCACCGATGAGCTCCTTCTCCTTGTCGTCTTTGGTATTGTCTATAATACTTTTGCCGTTCTTTGTGAGTCGCTCTAGTTTGTCGCTCATCGGAACTAATTCGCCTTGTATTTGCCTGATGTTCTCCATCATCTTGGCTGGCTCGCATGATCTGTCCTGAAGCTTCAGTTCAGCCTCGCGCATCCAGGCTTGCAAAGTGTCGACGTCAGCGAGGTAGTCGGTGCGCTGTGTTTTGGCGCGCTTCTGTTCGCGCTGCTTTTCCTCCATGGCCTGGCTAGTGTCTTCGGCCTGCAGCTCGAGGGCGGCGAGTCGCTGGGCCGCGTCGATCGGCACGAGCTGCTGGCTGGCTTGGTACCGCGCCTTAGTGTCACCGGAAAAGCGCCTGATGGCTTCGTGCTCCGAGTCGAGTTTGGACGCTAATCCGCCGAGCTCGAGCTCGATCGTCCCCTGATCAGCGGCGTGCACGTGTAACGAGCGGATCTGCTCTGACAGCGAATCGAGTCGAACGCGATGCTCCTCTATCTCCTCCTCGACGAGGCGCAGGCCGTGCAGCTCCTCGTTCGATCTTTCCGATTTCGAGTGGAGCAAGCTGACGAGTCTGCAAAGTTGTTTTGTTTATACCTCATGCCCCAGTCGCTGTAGCATAATCACTACAGTGTCTTATTATACATCTGTTTCGCTGTAATTTTCAACTATACGAAAAGGTCTGCTTTTTATGTGAAACCGGTATATTATTTATCGAGAAAATTTCGGAATGCGTGTGCGATATTCATTCACAATAAACGTAAACAAGCCAATGTCCAGACGCACACGTACGCCAGCCATCAGAGTTATTCTCAGAGTGATCGGGTCATCCCTAAAACGCGAACTGTCTCGTTAGTCCGGAAATTCAATTAGCCAAACTTCACAACCTTGCTTTCTTAAACTTATAACTTCGACCGAGAATAATGTTTCTTTTCAATTTTCAGGTAGCCGGTGGACGTTCTAGTGGCAACGTAAATGAGCAGCGCTCAAGCAAAAGCATACCGAGACAGAAGACAAATTTAGCATCGGAAATACGTGTCGCTCTTAAAGCGAAATAGTGTGAGAGAGAGAGAGAGAGAGAGAGAAAGAGAGAGAGAGAGAGAGAGGGGGGGGGGGGGGGAGAGAGAGAGAGAAGCAGAGAGGCAGAGAAAGACGACGAAAAAGATGGCTGAGATCCCGGCTTGTGAACTCCTGGCCAGCCGACGCCGAGAGGCCTTGGCTAAAAGTAGACGGAACCGGGGCCGTTTTCTAGCGCTGCTTGAAATTTGCGATTCGTACGAGTAAGATTTTATGAATACTACTATTCCTATGCCTATGATTTGGAGTATTTAATAAATGTAATTTTGGATATATAATTTTGGTATATCAATTTGCATCCATTACGTATCGAGAATATAATTATTTATCATTTAATGTTTTGAGAGAATGAAAATTTATTTAAATAGCTAAAAAATGCGCAAACAAGTGGGATACATTCAATCACTAAATTCAACAAGTCAATCAGTACACATCCCTTAAAATCCATAAGAGCATTAATTTATACAAATGACATCACAGAAAATAACTAACCGATGGCAGAACCTCAAATTAAAAAAAAAAAATTAATAATTTTCTATCAATCAAAAGAGGACATCTTAAGGATATGCGTAAATTTCAGTCGAGTATGCGCGAGAAACACGTATATTTTTCTTTCTTTTTGCACAAATGACATCAGCGCGATTACGGAACATAGTTTAAGTTGATACTACGCCGGCTAAAAGTAGTCGCACGCACATTCCCGAGATAATTTATCTATGTGCGAACGCGCGTGAAAGCAGAAAGCTGAGATTCGTGAAAAGCTCTGTGCCTCGGTGTCAATGTCGTGCTTTCAGATGAAGTCATGACACAAATGACATCAGTAAACAGCGACCCTCAGGCTAAATGTTACGTGTATGAACATAATGACTATTGCGATTGCAAAATAATTTAGAGATATATATTATGCTCCCGAGATTTTTTTTCGTAATTTATAAAGTTGTTATCTTTCACGAATGAATTTGAAATTTTTGATTATTTATAAATGAGTAATATATTGTTCACTAAAATTCTTTACGGCTCATGAGTTTCTATTGATTTTGGATCAGCGAAGAAGAAAATATTGGATTATTGTTAACTAAAAAGTTTTTCAATTGCACTTATATTACTTTACTTGTAGAATTATAGATTCAATACAGATTAAAAGTGTCAAAATAAACTAATAAGTAGATACAAAATAAATAAATTATCGTTCGATTATTTGATATGCGAGCACAAATTATTTTCATAAATCGAATATGCAATAAATTACCATTGATAACAACTCTGAAAGTGTAAATAATTTATACCCAAAACTTTCAACTAATAAAGTCAGCACTTTGATTTACTCAATGAAATAGCTGTGCTTGAACAATCATTACGGCAAGAGAAACAAACGCGTAAAAACCAATTGGTTTATTTCAAAAGAAAACTCACGAATCGCAACGTTTATAAGATATACTTCCATCGGGTCACGCGTAAAAGTTAGCCGGCATTTCGAGACTATCACGCGCGCGTGGCTAACAAAACAGTCCTCACCTGTTATTGAACTTCTCACGCTAGAAACGGCTGCAGCTGTCTACCGGAAAAGGAGAGAGCGAAAAAGAACTATGGAAACGGGCAAGTGCTTTGGCAACGAGGATGTTGTGTTTAGGATAATCGGGCAACAGTACGGCGCGGCACAAGTCAAGCCAACCGAGTTGCGGTTCTCGCGGTTCGAAACGTATTGCGGGAGGTTGATTTTGGCTTGCGAATCGGGCTTAGCAAGTTACCGGGCTTAGGTTGCGCGACGCATGCCCACTTCAATGCGCCCGCACCTCTCTCTCTCTCTCTCTCTCTTGGACTAAGAATAACGCCTTTGCTGCTATTTCCTTCTAACATGCTCTCTATCTCTCTTTCGCGACGTCCGAGAGTTGCCCTCGGATATTCCGCGTGCTTCAAAGATACTCTCTTGGCTTTTTGCGTATGAGCTTTGAGACATTTATTGTTGTCAATGCTTCGATGCTCATAGCAATTAAATGTTATGTATATCGCGGCCTATATTTTATCGAGATTCAAAATAATTCGAAATAGACTTGTCATCGGTATGTATTCAGATAATTCATTACAATGACGATTTTATATATTTACTGCCTTGCAATTAATGACTCCAAAATAAACTATTTGTTTTCTTTTTATAAGCAATATTTATAATTTGCAATAAGGGAATTTCATATGAAGTACAAAAAGTAGTGATGTTTCAGTTGGGACTGTTTAAAACTATTAATTCAAACTAACTTTTAATGCAAAAAATATTATTTCATTAAAAAAATATTAAAGAATAACTTTGATTAATCATACTTATATTGCTACAAACAGTAATAGTTCCCTCAGTAGTAATAAAATATAAAAATTTTTAAATTGAAATATATCCAATTTTGCCTAAAATAAGCTCACCTTGTGAGATCATTGCAGTTCAAAGTTTTGCAGTCATATCACTGTTTTAGATGGCTCAACTGTCTAGTTATTATTACCTAGCCTAAATAGTAATTATATCTATCTATATCACACTTCAGGCAATAAGCTACAAGTTATAACTGGAATTAATAAATCCTGCTACCGAATCGTCAACAATTTGTGGCACTGCACAAACAAGTTATATCTTTTCTAAAACTAGTATAAATAAGCACATATTACGGAAACAAACAAACACACGTTTTGATAGATTATCACGTATGTGGCCAAGTATAAAAAGCTGAGACGCGCGCGTTCCGGTTTGGCATTGGCTGGCTCGCTCGCGAAAGCTCCGATGGATCGAAGTCGACTGAATCGGGAGAAGCGTGCAAGGCACGCGGTCTCAGAGCGCGGAAAAAGAAATCGGTTTGGGGGGAACTATACGCGACCGCAGCGTGTGCTCATGGCAATGTAGCCTTCGCGCGACAGCATAGCAAAAGAAGCTAGCGACCTTCCGGCTTCCAACTCCTCCCGCGGCCGGCTTTCTCTCTCTCTCTCTCTCTCTCTCTGTCTCTCGCTATATAGTTGTGTGTTTTCGCGCTCTGCCGACCGAAGTTGCGTCATCTGAGACGGATTTGATAATGACGTAGTCGCGACTTTTAGTGTGCACATTCATTGCATGGCGAGTGACGATGTGTGCGCGCATGAAAAGGACGCACAGCGGTTTGGTGGAGGAGTAGGGGGCTTATCGATTTAACGAACGAACTGATGGGAGAAAAGGAGATAGTGGCGAAGGATGTAATGAGCTGCAGTTTTTATTTCCGTACGTCAACTCGCCGTTAATTTCATTTGCATATACTCGCTTAGAGGTCGCGCGGTCTTTATTTTGAGATTTTCCGTAGCAAGTTAATTATACTCCTGAGCGCATTATTTAACAAGCCGAAGCAATTTCTCTTAATATCGTTACATTCTCTTGTAAAATTTCATAGAGTGACATTCTCAGAGATGATGATATCATGTCTGATGACATTACCAACCTTTACATTTATGAAATTATAAATAATGTATATCGGCTATCTAAAATTAAAAAGCTTCGTATACTTTTACATTCGTTAATGACCTCTTTTGATACCAATTTTTTAAACACACTTTTTATACTGATGTTCGTACGTAGTCGAGATTCAGATAATTTCTGTACGTCAACAATTGATAATTCTTTTTTAATTTAATTTTTATCAAAAGTATAAAGGTTTCATTGTAATTGACATCGATGATGTCAACATATGACTAGCATTAAATTATGCATTTTCAAATGTACTATCATTTTTTCTCTATGCACCCGGAAAGTATAACGTACGTGTAATGATCATTGAAAAATATTCTTTCTTTCAATGTATCGCTTTCAACCGAAGGTATTTATAACTGATAAACCAATATGTACACGTTATCGTTATAAATATATACATAGTTACATATAAATGAATAAATTAATTATTTACTAGTTCATAACTATTATTTAATTTAAACTTAATTAATAATGTTTAAATATTTGATCAGGAACGTTCATTTATCTTATAAAAATATAATTAATTAGAGTGTTTCATACTCGTAGCTAAAAATATGCAATGAGGTAATTATGTATATTTTTTATACTAAAATATGTTGATGAATACATTAATTAAAGAGAATTACTTTTTCGAGGCTTCAAGATAATATGAAATTCATTGTAGTTTATCATAAATAAATCTTTTCATTTACAGGAATTATCGTGGCAAAGTGATCCTAGCTTACCAAGTTATCACTTGTAATTTTCCTTTTATAACTTACTGTATACAACAGTGCAGGACAACATTAAACTTACAAAGTAATTTTATAATAATGTGACAACAAATAAATATTTAATCAATATAAATAATCGATATAAAATGTAAAAATGTAATATATTTATAAAAAACATGTCAAATAAAACATCAAGAAACAAGGTGATAAAGCAAAATTCAAATCATACAACATGCACATGCACAATTTGCAGTCTATATACGAAATATGTATAGATAAGCAGTAAAATCATACTTTACAAATAATCTTTAAAATGTCTTTATTTCGTCGATTATATTTTGATAAATTCGAAAGTAATTCACGATTGTCTACTAAATGTATTAATAGTACGTTATAATACAATACACTACTATAAAAAATTCTGTACAAGTGCCAACTCTTTAAAAATATGAGACGTGCGAGAAACTCGAAAAAATATCTCAAGTAGATTTTTGGTTATTTTTTATCTAAGCGTTCGTCAAAGTAAAAAATAAAGTAGAAAAACTCCAATATTCATAAACAAAAATATTTACATATACTCGTTTAAAAATTTCATATAAACATAAACAACCCTACTTCGTCATAGCTGATTAAATTGTTCATCTATATTTACTGATTCGAATAGCTCAATCGATAGTCGCGCGGCGTAGAAATAAATAAAAGGTTTTCGACTCACGTGTTGACGGCTCGGCTCAGTTTATCGATGCGTTCCTTCAGAGCACATGCTGCGGGCTCTGTTAGTGCTGCCAGATACGACAGTACAGGTCCTGCCAAATCTCTTACCTCTTCTGCATCCGACTTAAGTATCTCCGCCTCGGATGTCAGTTCCTGTTAATAAGCAAAACAAAGTTATTATGGTGATACTAATTTCGAATTTCTATAATTTCCATTAAGAACATTTTCAATAAATAATTGTAACCTGTTTTAAATGCCAATCAATTGGTGATCAAGAAAAGCGAAAATAAATAAATTATAAAATAAATCGCATATGCCATAATATTTATTACATACACATCGACGAGGTCACGCTTGGTGAAGTTTAGAATATCTATGTTAGGCTAGTACCGTTCGTACGAGTTGGCACGCTTGTTACTTAAGCTCTTAAAATGATTGATTTGCGATAATTGCTTCTTTTTTATTTCTTGCTCAAAAAGTTGAAAAGTTATAATTGATTATTGATCGGCCTTACAAGAGTACGGAAGTTTCATTCTTCTTTGAATGATATTTTATCGGTAAAAGTAAACTATTTGTAAAATTATTTATGAATTGAATGAATAGAAAATACTGCTCTTTGACTTTTGACCAACTGAAACAATATCGGACCACGTATCAATTTTAATACTTACATCAAGAGCTTTGATAGTATCCAGCAGGTGTTGTTTTGATCGTACCACCGTATCAACAAGTTTGCTGCGTTCCTCGATTGCATTAAGCTTTGTCTCAGTACTCGAATATTTCGATTCCAGTTCCTCCCAGTGTCGGGACAGAGCATCTAGAGCATCGCGCCGACTTTCTAGGCCCGAAACCAATGCGCGCCATTCAATGTTAATTTCTTCGAGCTGAGTCTCGATTCTTGATTTGTTAACAGCGTCAGATTGATCGAGTACTTCTTTGCCACGTTCGTTCAGCAAATCGAGTTCGAATTGTTGGTTCTGAAAGTGATAAATGTAACGAAACATACTAATTATGTTTAGATAAAGTTTTAATAATTTAAGTAGTTTCTTTTATAATCTGCCAGATGATGGCGAGTAACTTGATTGCTTTATAAGAACCCGCACTGACCTGAATATCGTTAAGAGCATGGGTAATCTTCTGAATGTTGAACTGCAAGCCTGCAAGAGTGGTAACCGGCTCGTCGGTGAATCTAGTTCTGGCAATAGCCGCTCTGACTCGCTCGAGTGTCTGTGCATAATCGCGCCACATTTCGGCGCCCTGCTCGAGGTGGGCACGGTGCGATCTCGCGGTGTTTAGCGTGTTTTTCAGCAGTTGCGTGTGCTGCTGACGCTCGGCGCTCAATTCCTCTTGCTCGGATGCGCTCAACGACGGCCAGATCTTATCGGCAACCTGCTGGATTTGCTGGGAAACGAGCTCCTTTATCGACGCTTCGCTGCTGAAGTATATCTGCCGATAAACATGATTTATTGCAGCACAACATTCATACGTGTTCTTCGAACTGAAATTGTTTGTTCTGTTTCGGAATGTAATGGGTCAAAATAGATCAATTACGCTAAACTAGATTTCCAACTACGTTAGCTTAACGCGATAATAATTTTGTAAGCGTAACCTGACCTGACTTCTCCGATAAAAATTTTCATCAGTGACTTTATATTCTCCCAAAAATAGAAAATAATAATTACCCAAAAATATATCGAAATTATTAATTGAACTCACCTTGTGCTCTTCCAAATCACTGAGAATATTTTCAAAGTCAAGTCCTTCCTTGTCACCTTCTAAACGAATTTCAGCCTCTTTTACCCAGTCGTAGAACTTTTCAGTGAGCGTTGCATAATCGACTCTAACTTGTTTATTAGTTTCTAGATAATTTTCTCTCTCTTCCATTTCTCTTGGCAACGAAGAAAGCAGTGAAACTGCTTCGCTGAACATTTCTTTCAGAGAACCCGGCATACCCTCTTCATGTTTAACTGACTCTTTCAACTCTCTGATTTTATTGAGATATTCGTTAACCGAGTTACAAAGTTCATGATGCTTTTTGAGTTCATTTTCGACGCTTTCAGCGTATCTATTTAATATCGGTCGAGTTTTTACCTCCTTCTCTTTACTCTCAAGGAAATCGAGAATATCTGCAAGCTCGTTAGCTAATCGGCGATGTTCTGCAGCTGCAAGCTCATGCTGTTCACGTTGATTCTCGACAGCTCGTCTCAGTGTCTGTAGTTGTTGTTTCAAAGACTGCAATTGCTCGGTGATATTATTTCTATCGGCAGATGAACCATCAGCCGCAATCTGTTGTCCTTTGTCGGTTGCACTTGCCAACGTAGCTTCGCACTCTTGTATCTTAAGGATGACGTCATTATACTTTTTAATCTTTTCTTCGGTTGTTTGGCCACCTTGCTCGATGTCACGCACAATACCAGTATATTTAGTGATAAAAGTCATGATTTCGTTAATAAGGACGATAAACTGCTGGCGAAGTAGTAGTAATTGACGCAATCTGGCTATTTGCGCTTCGAGTGCGCGAATCAAATCATCCTGTTGTGTCACTACACCATGCAAGTCACCAACGTTCGACGTTTGCAAGTTCGATAGTTTTCCTTTGCTGGATTTAAGATCATCTAGAATTCTTTCGTACGTAGTAAGCATTCCTTCAACATCCTCCACTCGAGAGCCAATAGGTTTGTTAAGATCTTGCAACTCTTGTTGAATGTCAGTCATAAACTGCACGGCTTCAGCGACATGTGCAGCCACTTCTTCAGCTTCGTCAATACTTTTTTGCAGTGCTGATGCTCGTTCGTTTATTATTCCAGTTACGCGGCCATGAGTCTCTTTCATGTTCTTTAACTGTTCGCTGAGCTCAAGTTTGTCGGCATCGCTGATTGTCGGTAAAATCGACTTACCCTGTTGAACGATCTTCTCAATATCATCTGCGTAATCTTTAGCTTCTTTTTTCAAACGATCGTACTGAAAAAAAAGATTAGAAGTGTTGATATGCTTTATTTATCACTGCATTTAAAAAAAAAACGAAAAATGTAAATAATACCTTAGACAGTTGTTCTCGAAGTACATCAATGCTAGAAGGACGAAGCTCAACTGATGTAGCAACTTCAGCTTCTTTAATCCAACGCTGACATTTATCAATCTCACTTTCAAATGACTTCCTACCTTGTAAAAGATCAGCAAGAGCAGCTTGCTTTTCGTGAGCTTCTTTTTGTAGCTCAAGATATTCATCGTTGACCTTGTCCAACAAAGCTTGCAACCTGTTGCGATCTTCGTCATTACACTCTCTTAACATAGCATTGCCGTGCTTCAATAGCTCCTTCAAACTTCCCTCGCTGAAACGTCTGACCTCTGAAGCTAGACTATGATGCTGAGCAATATCTCCTTCGACTTCGGAGGCTTTAAGTGGTAGATAACCACTAAGTTTCTTCAAATCATTGCTAGTCGATTTTATCCACAATCTGGCTTTTTCAAGATCATTTTCAAGTTTGCGTCTGGTTTCAGCAGCAGCCGTGGCAGCAGATATTTCTTCCCTCAACATAGAGCAAAGCTCAGCTTGTTCACATCGCAACGCTCGACTTTCGCTTTCCAATTGTTGTTGTTCACTTGTTTCTAATTCATTTTGCATGTCGCCAATACGCTTTTCGAGCGAATCTATAAGCATCTGCTTAGCTTCAGCCTCTTTGAGTATACCTTTCAATGCTAGCAATCTTTCTTCGGCTTGACGACTCTCATAGCCAAGTGGTTCCGTCGAGCGAGCAATCTGCTTTTTGTCACTCATCCATTCCCGATTTTCTTCGATTTCTCTTTTAGTTGCCTCAATACCCTGAGCCGTCATGTCGAGAACTTGTGCTTTTCTTTGCAGTTTCTTACCAATATCGCCATGTCGACGTTCCACCGATTTTATTTGCTCCTCAATTTGTTGAGAATCTAAGTTACTCACTGAATCCATTACTTGATCGCCGAGTTTCCTCACTTCTGCCAATCTTCCAGGACTTTGTGTTTCAAATTCAGTTGTAATGTCTTTCAACGATGATATTTTTTGACTAATAGTCGATCCATTTCCTTTTTCGATGACGTCTATCTTCTTCGACAGTCCATCAAACCAAGATTGAATGTCATGCACTTCATTACGATATTTTTGTATTAAATCTTGAGCCGATTGTTTTCCAGCAATAGCATCGATCAGTTCAGCTTCGAGTTTATCCAATCCTTCTTCGATATCAGCGTCTTGCCCATCAGGACGTATTAATAATTCCAATTCTGCACGACTTCGACGTTCGCCAACATTTGTCAATAAGTCATTCATTGCTTGCATTTCTGATTGTGCAGCTTCTGTACGAAGTTTTGCGGGACGAGATTTCCATTCTGCACACAAGGCGCGTTGTTGATTTATCCAAGTTACTAAGACATTCTTTTGACGGGCTTGCTCTTCTAATTCACCGACTCTTTTCGTTACGTTAGACAAGTGGGATTGCATCTAAAAAATAAACATTTTATATTAACATTTTTTTATAATGTACATGTAATGCAGGCTACATAAGATCTCTTATAATAACTCATGCCAATTTTCGTTTTGATAAGTCACATTTGTTATAAAAAAAATTCGATTATTATATCAAACACATGCAAGCTAAATGATGATACACTAACATCATTTAAATTAAAAACAGACACAAAAGTAAAACAAACCTTTTTACGTAAATCACTCAATTTGTCTAAACAACCATTTTCTTTAACTTTGTCAAGCAGAACTTTCAATCGCTGCGTAGACGAATCGTTTTCACTTGGCTAAAGTAATAAAATCATGCAAACACAGAACAATAATGGTGAGTTACATGCTTTAAAAAATATACTTTCTTGGAACAATAAACAGTGAGTAATTATGATTTCGAATTAGTGATCACAAGTAAACAATATTTCATTAACACAATAACATAACAAGTTAAGGATCATAAATATCGCGTCTTACCTGATCGATAAGATCGTCCAGACGTGTACGGACTTCCATTTCTTTAGCAGGTATTTGAACAGACGGGGCATCTAATGGACTTCCTGGTCTTGAGACGCAAGCTGCTGCAGCCTCGCAAGCTTCAACGGCAACAATAAGTCGAGCTTTTTCAGTCTGCAACTTATTATACAGAATCTTAGCAGATGATAAACTATCTTCAGCTGCTTCCAAAGTATCAAGAGGTGCATCTTGTTCTCTCGCAACCTCTGGTTCGTAAATGTCGAAATTCTTCAAGATACTTTCTAGAGTATTTTCATACTCTTGGAACTTTACTAAAGATTCACTTAAACGGTTTTCAATTTGTAGCGCAGTGTTAAGCAGCGAATTATAGCTGTCACGTACATTCTGCAGCTGTGTAAGTATTGTTGATTTAACAGTAGCATTTGATGCCTCATATCTATCAATTTGACCTTGGCCTTTAACTTTCAAATCATCGAGAACAGATTCATAGCTTCGAATTTGATCAAGCAATGCCTGATGTTGCTTTATTTGTTCAAGTGTTTGTTCTTTATTGATTATATACAGAGAATTGTGAGCCATCAGTTGGAAGGAAACCTGCAGTAACCACTTCTCAGTTTCTTGTAAAGCTGCATGGTAAGCGTTGTAATCTTTTATTTCATTTTCAACAAGATTTTTCTGTTTGTCCACTTGATCATCTAAAGATTCCCATCGAGATTTCAAACACTTGACTTGCTCTAATGGTGTTTTGCTTTTGACCCAGTTTGACAGTTCATCAGCTTCGTTTATCAAATGATCAAGATCAGATTTCTTATTTTTAACCTCATCTTTGACATGCTTGAATTTCTCTAACAAAGTTTTCATTTCTCCTAATTCTCCTTTAGTATCAGGTATGGTTTCAATACTGTTTTCTGTTGTGTTAAGCCATTCTTCGAAACGATCACGTGCTTCGTAAAAATCTTCCCATCTATTGATAATAGATTTAATTTGAGCTTGTACTGTATTCAAATCCATACTGAGCTGTTCCCAACTGGATCGCAATTCTGACATATCAGTCCTAAGTTGTTCTTGTTGTTCTGGAAGTGCTGTGTTGATTGCTTTTGCAAAAGCATCTTGTAAAGTGGACAGTAAATGATGTCCTTCGGTAATTCTAGTAGCAACAAGCTGAAAATCAAAGTTATTATCAATAATTTCCAAATTCAATATTTTTGTACCGTTTGATCTGTAAATTTATTAATATTTATGGTATATACATGAAATTACCTTTATTGTTTTGAGTTTGTCTTTAGCCCATGCTACGTCTCCAACGCCAACACAATCTTGAATTGAACCATGAGCAGTATGCAGCCAATCTTGAAGATCTTTCTTTGTTTTCAGGAATTCTGTATGATCAGACAAGTTCTTTTCTACTTTCGATACTAATCCCTGAGCATCAGTCAGAAGACTCGTATAAGTTGATTGAAGTTGAACAGTTTTTTCTCGAGCCCAGTTACATGCACTCATGTCCATTAGAATTTCACATTTATCATTTAAATCTTCAAGAATAGGCTTTTGACGTATTGCTTCTTGAACTAAATTCTTACAATGATTTAGATCATCGGGAGTTTTGTTTTCCTTAGCTTGCGCATTGTTAATTTTAGTTTGGAATTGATCAATCCACTTTTGTAAGCTATCCATTAACGATATAAATTGTGACCAAGTCAAGATGCAATCTGACAATATTTTTTCAGCTTCATGGCATTGAGCTTGTAAATCTTGCCAATCCGCTTGTAGCTGTTCAACATCATGGTTAATTAAATCTTGTCCTTCTGGTCCAGTATTCGTAAGGATTATTTCACTTGTTTCAATAACTTTAGAAATCAAAGATTGACCTTTTTGTAAAGATGATAGCAACTGCTTGACTTTTCCTTCTCTCTCTGTTACTTTTTCTTTTTCTCCATGAGTAATACTATATTGCTGTAAATCAATTTTAGCTCGTCGTACCCAGTCAGATGCTTCATTGAATGCATTTTGATATGTTTCGTGTTCTTTGACTTGTTCATCTAAGTTCTGTAAATATAATTATCATTAGATACTTGTTGAATGAAAATTAACAATATATTTGAGTCTACAATTATTCGAACTTACGTGAATCTTTTGAGCGACCAGTTTTTTGAGTTCATTAAATTTAGCAAATGTAGCGTTATACGATTCTTTATCAACGTTTAAATCATCTGATAATCGTTGTTTTAGTTTCTCAACTACCTCGTTATGTCCCTGAATATCTCTGTATACTGTCTTATATTTTTCTAACAAAGCCCTCTTTTCACTTAAATCATTACGGTAAACTTCATCAAAATGTACATTACTTTCTATTTCTTCGAGCCAGTCGGCAATAAATCTATGAATTTTGTTAAGTTCTTCCAAAACGGCAGCTCTACTAGCAAGCTTCTGTCTTGCTTCGTCCACATCGGTCAGCAGTTTATCAAAATCTGCTTTTAAGTTTTCTGTATCCTCTTTTATCTTAACGGCGCCATTCTGTTCAGTATTCATGATAACTTTTTCCTTCAATTCAAGAACGTAACGCAGTTTATTTTGTCCTTGTTCCAAAGTCTGACGAATGAGTTTGCAAGTTTGCAGTTTATTATTGACCTCGGCTAAAGAACTTGGCACTTCCTTACATTCGTTCAGTTTTTCGCGAGTTCGATCAACCCAATCTTGACATTCTTGATACAAAGTATTATGTTGTTGGTGTTCCTATAAGTTAGCGATTATTTCGACGAATTAATTTTTAGCGTTTGACGTATCTTTATACAGTATAATGGAAAATGAAATCTTACCTGGTAGTGTAATTCTAACCGTCGCATAACTTCTTTAGCCAGAGAAAGCAATGCATTATACTTTGTTGTCAATTGCGTAACAGCATTTGAAATGCGAGTATCAGCACAAGTTTCTAAAAGCACTTGGGCTTTCATATTCAGTCTATCAAGTTCTTTTTGCCAATCGAATAGAGTTTGAAGATGACCTTGGAATTGTTCTAATACATTCTTCTTTTCCTCCAAGCTGTCTTGCAATTTATTATATCCCTTTACTAATTGTTCTGTTTGATTCAGCCATTCAGAAGCTTCAGAAAACTGATCTTCGTATTCAGTCCACTTTACTATTCCTATTTCAAGAATACTCTTCGTATTATTCAATAAATCCCTGTAAATAAAATATTTTTTATATAAAAGTTAATTATTTGAGTAATAAAAGAAACAATTAATAAACTTACACATAATTATCGTATTCTTCTTGGAGGAGAGCAACCTCTTCTTCAATTATTTCTTTGTCTTCATCATCCGCTATTTGGCAAGCAAGATTTCCTTGTTCAAGTGCTTTTTCTAATTTCTTTTGTCCTTCTGGAAGTTCATTTTGTAGAACCTTCAATTGTGCTATTTTGGTTGCTAATGACTCTTTGTCTCCAGTTGGTTCAGAGCATTTTCCTAATCTTTCTTTAGCTACTCTTAGCCACTGAATGAATTCGTTTCCAATGTCTATAAATGCTTGATGTTGTTCGACTGTTTCCTTCTGTTTTTCATAAAGTTCTTTGGCTTGTTTACTCAAAGTCTCATATTTGATGGAAATTTCAGTGGCAGGAGTAGCTTGTTGAAGATCTTCGGCTTTAGTAGTTACTGACTGAATCATGGGCTCAAACGCTACAATATCTTGAACGATACTGCTGGTTTGTCGCAAATTTGCTTTACGTTCGCCGATTGCCAATGAACTGATACCCGCTACTCCTTTACGTGCTTTCGTAACTTTTTGTTCGCAAACTTGTTGAAGTTTTGCCTCTCTTTCATTAATCCATTGTTGTAACTGAGAGTAAGATGAACTATAGTCTGCCCATTGCAGTAAGCTTGTTTCCAAATGTACTTTCGTTGTAGACAATTTCTTCACTAATCTTTCCCAATCATTCTGAATTTCTTTCAACTGCGTAGCAATCTCTTCACGTCCATCAGATCTAAAAATCAAAGTTACAATTAATTATACTAAATAATGTTTGTACTTCAATAATTTCAGAAACCAAACTTACCTTGTATTACGTATAACTTTCTCTCCACAATTGACGGTCAAGTGTACCAAATTTTGACCTTCTTCGCGTTTTCGAAGAAGTTCTTGTATTTTGTCTAATCTCTGCTGGAGTACGTCGCGACTTGTAGTTGAACCTGCTTCTGAACCTTGACGAATAATTTGTTTTGCATTTTCAATCCAATCACGTGCTTTAGCCAAATTTGCCTCGTATGCTTGATGTTGAGCATAATTTGTTTCTACTTTTTGAAGCACATCCTTTGCTAAATTTACTTGTACTTGATAGCGAGAATTCAAATGTCTTAACTGGTTATGCACGTAAGTATCTAATGGAGTTGCCAGAAGTGGAGCAGCTGATTTGTTAATTTCATCAATCTGGTCGTGTTTCTTATTCAAGTTGTTCAAAATCTCTTTAACTTCATTAATTTGCTTTTCTTTTTCTTTCAAATTCGGCAAAAGGGAATTCTTTTGCGCTTTAATAAGTATATCAAACTGCTGTAACCAATCGCTAATTTTTTCATACTCATCTTTGAAATCACGCCACTGGTTGACCGTAGCCTCCAGTTGATTCTTTTGCTGTTGTATATCCCGGAAAAGATTCTCAAAACTTTCTGTTAAAGCTCGAATTTCATTACGAACAACTTCTTGACCTTTCGGACTTGTGCTAGCACATACTACTTCACCAGTGTGTTGTAAATTTTCGACCATCAATTCACCTTGAGCTTTTTTGTTCATCAAAGTTTCTAGTGGGGCTACGGCATTTTCAATAGCAAGTTTATCACTTAAAGATCTCTGCTTAATTACTGGTATTTTTTCACGTGCACGATTAAGCCAATTAATTAAATCATCGTGAGCTTCTTTATATAGTCGATGATACTTGAATTGTTCTTCTCGTTCTGATAACAACGATTTAATCCTTTCGAAGAGAGCATCAAATCTGGAAAAGATATTTTAATTCAAAATGTTTTCTATGAAATAGAATATTTGAATGTTTACAATACAACTTACTTGTGCAAAATTTCTTGTGCTTGTGAAGCAGCAATACTTTGCTGGCCACTACCGATCATTTCGTTGACTTTAGCTTTTAAACCTTCAACTTCAATATTCTCGCATCGTATTTTTTCTTCAAAAACTTTAATACGTTCCAATTGTGATCTTTTTTCATTCATCGTCGTTTGGAAAGGCGCAACTTCATCAATGGAATTCTGCATGTAAGCAATAGTTTTCTCTAGCATTTGTACTTGTTCAAGTAGTCCAGACCACTTATTGATTGAATCATCCAGATTGGTTTTAGTTTCGAGCATCTTAGAAGCAAGTGAGCTCCATTGTTCTAGCAACTTAGCTACTGCATCATTAATCGCCTTATGACCTACTGGTGCTGTATTAGCTAGAATTCCTTGTGCTAACTCCACTATACCTTGAATCTATAAGCAAAAATAATGGAATGTCATTTTGTGATAAAGACAGTACTTAATTAGAAAAGTAATAAAAAGCACCTTTGCGAACCCTGTTTCTTTGTGAAGTAGTAAGTCCTGTATAGTATCCATTTTCTTTTCAAGCTCTTTCTGAGATGAAGCGCTCAAATCCGTACAATAAGCAAGCTTATTTCGAATGTCATCAAGCCAACGCGTACATTCCGACAATTGATTATCAAAGTCTTGGTGACTCGTAACGTATTGTTGCCAACGATTGTTGAGTTCTTTAACTTTTGTTGAAATTTGCTGATACTTGATACCTAGCTCTGATAATTGTGAGCTTCGAGAGGTATGCTTATGCAATTGATGAGCACGTTCCGTGACTGCATCAATTTCTAACTCTTTGGCTCTGATTTCACCTTGAAGATTGCGAAGTTTATCCAACTGAGCTCTTTTTTCGTCTATTGTAGATTTTAAGTCAATGGCGTGAAGTTTTGTATCTGTATCTCGAATCCATGCTAGGCAACGCTCTCTGCAAATTTCATATTCGTTCCACTGCTGCAACTTGTTGTCCAAGGCATCAATCGTTGATTTGATCGCTGAGACTAGGCCTTCCCATTCTTGCTGCGATGTGTCAATTTGGGAACGAATGTTAACTTGTCCGGACTCCAAAGTTCCAGGAATCACCCTTTCCCCAAGACTGCGAATTTGATTAATTCTGGATTCTTCTTCAGATAAGCTGAGCAGAAGGTTACGAAGACGATCGAGGTTGGTGTGTAATGACACTCTTTCAAGCTCGACGTCACCCCACATATGCACAGCATTTAACGTTGCATCAAGCCATTCATGAGTATCGAGGACGGCTTTGCTATACTGTTGGTGATCACTAACAATAGCTTCATACCTGCAAAAGAAGTAGTAATGTTAGAATTTAAAAATATGATTCATATTTTATTAAACTACGCACCTTTCGACAAATCCAGTAGCGCGTTTGAGAATAGCTGCATGTCTATTACTTAAATTATTTAACACCTTTTCAATCTTTTCCGTGCGATCTGGAAGACTATCAGCTTTGTCTCGTAAATCAAATAGATCTTGTTGATGAGCTTGTGCATCATGTAAGAATGTTCTATATATCTGTAATTGAGCTCGTTTCTCATCCAAGGTAGTCTTCAATTCAATATCTTGCTTGAGATGAGCTTCAGCTATTTTCAGCCAAGCATCAAAAGCTTCGCTGCATTCATCGAAACCAGACCAGTGTGATATTTTTGCCTGAATTTCACGCTCGGTCAGTGTGATTCCATCGTAAAGATTTTCAAGAGCTTGTTGTAAATCTAATATTTGATGACGAATGATCTCGCGACCCTCATTGCTAGTACTTGGATAAAGTTTTTCTCCAGCTTCCACTGTACTGTTAACTAAAAGCATCATAGAAGGTTGTTTGGACATAAGATCGCGAATAGTTTCGATATGCGATGAAAGCTCTTGACGAGTGCCAGAAATATTTTCACGCGATGCTTGATATAATTGACGAACAGCAGCTAAACGCTCCGAGCACTGCTTATATTTGTCAAGATACATTAGGTGATCTGCCCATGCTTGGTCACATTTTTTCACTAACTCCTGAAATATAATGATATATGTACGATATACGTAGATTATTGAGCAAAATCAAAAAGATGTTTATCTCAATTTCCTTACCTTGGCTGTCGCTTGTATAGATTGGAATCGAGAAGTCACTTGTTGTACGCTGACAGAGAATCTTGATTCTCCACTGATTTGTATTAAATCGGAAGAATCATCATTCATCTTATCAAATTCAGCTTCATTTTGTCGAAGATTCACGAGCAGTGCCTAAAATACAAATGATTGTAAATAATCAATGATTCTCATGAATGAAGTTATGTTTCCTTGTGTTGCTTAAGAGAAGAAGATGAAGAAGATGCGCACAAGAGAAAGTAAATGATATAAAATGAATTTTGTCTAGCGTAGAAAAGGCAACTGCTGTAGTTTCGGTTTAAGTTACACGTCAAAGCTTAAGAAACGTTTAGAATCAAATAACATTTCGAAAATGATCAAAAAAGAACAGGAATGCTGGAAAGTTGATGAAGCATTTTGCATATTGACTGCACAGACTAGCGTCATCCCCATTTTCAAAGCCTGATAGATTGCTAGAAAAAAACAGATGCGCAAAAAGCTGCGAGAGTTTGACGAAGATAAATGACAAACGAAAGATATAGCTCAAAACGAAACAGTGGACAAACCCCCGATTAATTCTTACTTGCTCAAGGTAGTTACCGAGAGCTACCAATTCCAAGACATCTGCATTGCGTGATTCAGTAATTTTTTGTAGATCCTATAGGAATTGTTTTTGGGAAAATAAAAAGGTTTTTATAAGAATTATGTTCGATTTGAAGATAACACTACTTGATGTGAATACATCTTCTCATAATTCATTGTAGAAAATAAAATTATGATCCGCATCTTTTTGAATTATGAAGACCAAACTCACCTGATATTTTTCCAGTTGCTCTTGCTTTTCCTCTGCCGTATTTTTAAGCGTATAGTTTTTCAAAGATGTTTCTGCATCCGATAACCATGCAAGTAACCTCTCTAATGAATTTTCATAATCACTCCATTGCTGTATTCTTTCTTCAAGATTTCGAACAGCTTCACCAACTGCATTAGCGAATTTTTTACTTTCAAATCTAAAAATTAACATTTTCTCAAATAAGATATTAGCTAAAATGAATTTATCGATAGTGCTATTTTAAAATGAAAAATATACCTTAAATTATTTAAATCTCTATCCATAGTTTCTCTTGAACGAGGCGAAACAATCTTAGCATTTTTCGTAACATGTTCTTCTAGGACACCCAGTTTAACATCTGCTTCGCTCACGCTATCTTGAATTTCCACTAGTTTTGCTAAACGACCTTGCAGAGCCGTTTTATTACCAGAACAGTCGTTATAGTGGTTCAATTTGTCCCATTGGATTTTTTGATATTCTTTGTATGCTTTTTGTAACTCATTAAATTGTTGGAATGCATCATGTAACGTTTCCAAGTTTGCCAATCCTTTTTGAGATCTACATACTAGTTGTTCATACCTTTGACTAACCGACTCCACCTTATCTTGAATATCTGAAGGAGCTTGTGAAACTTGTACCAAAGCATTAGCTTTCTCAGAAACTGCTTCAATGATTCGTTTATGTGCCACAATCTCTTGATGCACAGTCTGAATAAGCAGATAAATAATAAAGTGAAGTTAAATTTGTTCTATTTCCATAAAAATACTGCTACGTGTAACTAAGCTTACCTTGCACTTCAGTAATTTTGATCGAGTTTCTTGAAGTGAAGCTGGGATAGTTGAAGCCTCTTGTTTAATTGTACGTTCCATATTATCCAACCATGTCAAAATTTGTTGCAATGTTTCTTGGTAACTCGACCATTGTAATGATTGCAAGCCTTGTTTCTTCTGTTGTTCGACAATGCTTTCAGCAAGATTATCCCATCTTTCTCGAGCCTTTCGAATCTGTTGTCTAATAATCTCACGACCATGAGCCGAAGTTTCTGGCAAAATTCGATCAGCAGCAGCAGTGAGCGCTCCAAGACGATGCTCTGCTTGTTGACGTTCTCCTAAAAGTAGTTGTAGTCTCGAATTCTTTGCTTCTGTACTACTTGCATCATTGCTTTTGAGAACAACTAAATGTTGTTCTAAAGGAGTTAACCAGCTATCGATACTCGTTAACTTATCTTCGTAAGCTTTGTGGTCTTCAACAATTTCTTCACAGCGATTGATTACATCTTTGCTCAAAGTGAGAAGAACGGTATATCTGTTATTTCAAAAATGTTAATTAAATTTGTTCATGAAATCTAGCTAATTTTCTTATGTTTAGAAAAAAGATATTACCTGTTACTGATTTGAGATACTAATGGTTTTAATCGATCGACACTACTAGAATTAAGAAGGGCATGCGATTTATCTATGAAATGATCTATTTCACTTTCTTTTGTCAAGATTGCTTCTCGCTTTTCTTTAAAACTTGCTAATCGAGCTTGTTTCTCTTTCAAATTTGGTTGCAATTGTTGATCTCGGAATGCAGCCTCCATTGAACGGAACCATTTCATAAACATCTCCAATGGTTCTTCAAACTCGTCCCATTTCTTCAACGCTCCTTGTTGTCTTTGTTCGATAGATTCTGCAGTAAAATATTATTAAGTATACATAAAAAATAATAAAAGTAATAAAAAATATATAATGAAATGATAAATAATAAAAAATTAATAAAGTTATAATTATTTAAACAATTTACCAAGGTCATTCAGATGTTGTATCAATTTAGCCTCAAGAGTTGCAATGTCATTGTGTATTATTTCTTGACCTTTTGGTGCTGTGCTTTTTGTAACAACAGCAGCGCAATCCTTCAATTTCTTAATAAGATCCATTCCTTGATTTCGACCGTCTTGAAGTATTGTAAAAGTGGCTAATCTACGAGTTATATCAGTTCGTTCTCCACTGACGTCAGTACATTCAAGTAATTTTTCTTTTTCTCCTTGAAGCCAATCCGAGAAAGTTCTGCATTGATTGTTAAATTTATTATGCTTATCTGCGCAATCCTCCAAGTTATCTAATAAATCGCGCGATTTTGAAACTATATTATGGAATAATTGTTTAATCGACTGAAGATAAATATTCAAAGAAGTATCTTGAGTTTGATCAACCAATTGTTGTGCTTTCTCGCACACACCTTCAACGAGATTTTGATGAGACATAATTTCTTGATGCATAATTTTGTGATTTTGTAATTGCGCTCGCTTTTCTTCAAGAGTAGATTTTAATTCAGTATGCTGATGCATAGCTTTCTCTACATCTCTCAACCACGTTGTTAATTGCTCTTGAGATAAGGAAAATTCGCCAAACTGCATTAAGCATTGATCTAACTTTTGTGTAGTAGCTTGCAAATCGTCTGAGAATGTATCCCAAAGAGTTTTCAAATTTTTCAACTGTTGACGTACGATTTCCCGGCCCTCCGGTGATGTATGAGAGTAAAGTCTTTCGCCAAGATCGATAAGCAATTCGAATTTGGAATTTTCTTTAGTGCGTGTGTCTCCTAGATCTCGTATTATCTTTTGTCGCTGTTGCAAGACACTGAAATCACCAACAATTTCACTATGTATTTTGAGTTGACTTTGTAAATCACCAATCCAGTTAACAAAATCATTGAAGCGTTGATTGAAACTACTGTGTTCCTTAACATACTGTTCATATCGAGATACCAAATCTCGAGCTTGACTTCGAAGAGCTTGATATTTCGTGGCTTGTTTTGATACTCTTGATACTAGTTCAGGCTCTACTTCAATTTTTTGACTCTTCTCGACTACCGCTTGTATATCTGGAGCTTTAGCTACAATTTCTTCTTCAAGTGCTTTAATTTTTTGAAAATGCATAATTTTAGCTTCTTCAGTACTTTTTAAACTCTGATCTTTCAATTGGCTTTCTACTTGTTTCATCCAGGTTTCAATTTCTTCGACGACCTTCTGAAATTCAGACCACTCATCAAATAATCGATTGAGTTTTTCTCTTACGACTGCACATCGTGCTAAGAAGTCCTGCCATATTTTCTTCTGTTCTTCAAAAGCTTTCATCAGAGCTTGATGACCTAGTATTAAAAATATTACAATTAATAAAAAATTATGAAAGTGCAAACAATCAGAAGAAAAGTACTTGCCAGGAATGGAAGTTTGTTCCAAAACAACATTTAATTGTTGATTACAGTCATCTATTATTCTATCACCTTCTTCTTTTTGTTGCAAAACATTTTCAACTAGATTTATACTCGACTTGGCAGTCTCGCGTTCAATAGCAAGATCATCTATTAAGATAGAAGTTTCATTGACGATTGTATTAATCCAATCTCTTGTCTTTTCGAAAGTTTGTTGATAAGTTTCATGATTCGCAACATATTTTCCAGTAACGTTTATTCTATCATTCACTTCTTCTGAAAGCTTGTCGTAAGATTCGATTACGGAAACTAGCATACCGCTTGATTCATCATCAGAATCTGATCCCAACTTTTCATCCAGTTGTTCTAAAATACTTTTATGAGCTTTTACATCCTGGATAATGGTTTTGTATAAGTGAAGAGCCAATTTTTTCTCTTGCAAAGTTGGTAGCAAGTCTTGCTTATTACCCAATTTTGCTTGAGCATGGATTACCCATTGTTGAACCTGGAAGATAAATAATAAAGATTAGTGCTTAAAAAAATTAATATTATTCTTTGGAAGTGATTCATATCTTATTATTTACCTGAGTATATTTATCTTCAAAAGATGATCTATGCATCATGTCGTTCTCTACTTTTTTATAAATAGCGTTGGCTCGGTCCGTTAAATTATCCAATCGAGTTCGAAGATTTCGAAGCTCTGATCTAATTTTTTCTCGTTCATCTGGATTGATTTTTGAATAAAGTGCTTCTCCAACTTCGACAGTCAGGTTAAAAAGAGATTGACCTTTCTCACGTTCTTCGGTGAAGACTTTCAATTCTTTGAGTCTAGCTTGATAGAAAGTTAAAGGTTTTGGTCCGCTTATTTCTTCGTAAATTTTTAATTTTTCTTCTGCTCCATTAATCCGAGAGTCTAATTGTTGTACATTTTCTTGATATTGATTTCTATTCTTTTTTAATTCTCCTAGTTTGTCTAAATATTGATGAATGAATTTTTCAACTGTTTCGAACCTGACATTCAAGTGATTTACGTATTGCTCAACTCGTGAATCTGGACTCACCTGAAGAATAAGAATTTCATAATTTCTTTTTCTAATAAATAGTAATAAAATATTACAAACATTATAATTTTAACTTACATTGGTAATTTCCCGACTGAATGATATAAGCTGCCGCATTTCTGTATTACAACCGTTGAATATTCCTTGAAATTCCTTAACTTCTTCAATCTTCTTCTCAATTTCATTCAAACTTAAAAGTATTGAACTTTCAGTTCTCACCCTATTTTCGAGTTTTTTCAAAGCACCTACAACATTTTCTGACATCATTTCATATCGTTCCCATGTTACGATATTTTTCTCGAGTAACAGTTTTATATTCTGGAAGCATATTTTGAGAGATTCCAATTCAACATGGACTTTTTCACGGTCATCTTGCAAAGGCTTTAAAACTTCTAGGCTTTCAATTTTTTCTAAGAGCTGTAGTGCTTTATCAGTTTCATATTTTTTGGCATCGGATTCACTTAAATCTGCTTCTACATCGAGCAATGAAGCTAATTTTACTTCTAAATTATATTTATCACTGCTTGGTTCCGGTTCACACCAAGTTATTTTTTCTCTGTTTGTAGCAACTAATCGCTGGAGCGCAGTAAATTTTTCATTATATAATTTCAATAGAAAACCACGAAGAGTTGTACTGACCTATAAAAATGAAATGAATATTGCGTGGTGAATATATGAAAACTATAATTAAATATTATTGCAACAAATTATTTTATAAACGTGTGATATTAACTGACTCATAATCTGATATTCCATACTTACTTTATTTGCATGACTTGCAACAGTTTCACGACGAGCTTGCAAAGAATGTAATTCCTTTGGTATACTCGATTTTGTAATCGATGGATATTCTGAAGATAATTCAACAACCATTCCATTGACATTTTGAAGAACCAAATCACAGTTTTTGAGTTCAACTTTTAAATCATTACAACGTTTGATTCGTTGGACTATGTTGGAATTTTCACCCGTAAGATCATCGCATTTAATAATTTCTTCTCGTACTTTTGATATAAGGTCACTTGATTCTTTCAACTGATGTCGTATTTTTTGCTCTTTTTCAGCAAAAGTAGATGATATACTTTCTAATTTATCTGCCGACTCCTGAACTAGTTTAAACTGTTCGTCTAAAACTTGATTCAATGCTGTTAAAGTAGGTATAGCAACGCCTTGATTAAATTTCAAAAGTTGCTCTGTTTTTGTTGATATTCCTTGTTTGAGTAATTGATGTACCGGTAATTCTTCCTGGAACTTGTTCAATATTGCTTGTCCATTTTCAATGTCAGCAAGATGTTCACATGCTGATGTTAGAGATTCATTGGTATCATTAAGCCATCTATTTAATTCTTGTTTTGCGTCGTCGATCTGTTTCCAAATTATAACCTGTGTTTCATAAAATTGAATTTTTTCAATGATATTGGAATAGCAATCTTGGTACTTTTTATGGATAGCAGCCACATTTGATTCTATTAAATTATTATTAAAATTTGGCATTAAAGAAGCCTCTTTAACAATCTGTTGAGCTTTAGAGTCCATTTTTTCTAAATAAGATTTTCCTTTTTTCAAAGTTTCGAAGGCTTTTTTGTGTTTCTCAACAGCAACTGTAGCTTCAGTTATATCGTTCGGAGCTTCTTTCACGGAATCGCATAAGTTTATACTCTCATTAATAAAAGCAGTAAGTTTTCCTCCCGATTCGATATATTGCTTCCATGCTGAAACAGTCAGAAAACATTTATTTTAGGATAAAAAATATTCGTAAATAAACCGAAAAATACAACTAACCTGTTTCCATATCGTTATACTTCTTTTTCTGATCATACAATAATTCACTGACTTTTTCGTAGTTAGAGTCAACGGAAGATAATACAACTTGTACATTTGTCATAGATCTTTGATCATCCTTTAGTAACTCTGCTCCTTCTTCGTGCAACATTTCTTTTACCGAAGCTCGTAATTCATGCTCTACGATAAGATTGGCAATTTTCTCGATAGCTGGCGTGAGTTTCTGACATGTATCTACATTATACGTAATTTCTTGTAAAGCTGTCTGAGTTCCAACAATATCTTCTGTTAATTTTTGTTGCGATTTCCGGAAATTGGCCCATTTTGTACTTAGGTTTTCAAGTTTGTTCCGTTTAGCTGTCAAATTATTTTCCAAACTCACAACTTCAGATTCTAGTTTATTGATCAAACTAGAAGCTGTAATTGGTTTTTCATGAACGTCGCGTACTTCAATACCTAAGGTACTATCAATAACTGGAATCTGTTCCTTCCAATTGTTAATTTTCACTTGTATAGTCTTTAATTCATCGGATAATCTTTCACACTCGTCAATAGTTGGCTTGCGAGCTTCTGCTTCATACTTATAATGATCTAATTCAGCAGTTGTTTCATGGTTCCAGTTAATGAGTTCCGTCCATTTCTCTAAAGCTTTTTTCTTTTGAAGTAAATCATCTTCCAATGATTTATATTTAGCAGCAAGTGAAGAATACATTTCATCAAGCTTAGCAGATTCTTCTGGCGTACCATCGGTACCGAGTTGTTTTATTTCTGCATATATACTAGTGAACTGAGGTTGTTTTTCTGAATGTTCTTGTAGGTAAACATGAGTAGCTTGAAGATTTGAGTCGATATCCTCAACATGTACATCACTCATTTGGAATATATTCTGACGTAAGCTGCTCATCCAGTTTTCAAAATCGGAAACCTTCATCTGGAATTCATTTCGTGACAGTATTGCATCAGAAGTACTATTGATCTGATGTCTAACTGTGTCGGCTAATCTATGAACACGACCTTTCAATTCAGTAATTCTGCTCTTTAGCATTGTACTACCTTCAATCGATAATCCGTGAGTTATTTGATCTGAAACTTGAGTAAGAGTAATTAATTGAGCCTGTCTGGTAGATATTTCTTTATTGAATTCTTTCAAGTGAGTTAATTCGCGCTCTAGTTTGACTATGTCAGAGGTTTGAAGGTTTTGCTCTGCTAAGGCTGCATTCTCAGAATTCACTAGCCATGTATTGAATTCTTTCGCATCAGATTCAAATTTATTCCACATAGATACAAGTTTTTCTAATTTTGTTTTTGTTTGGACTGCTATATCGTGTACGGAATTCCAACGACTATGAACCGTATCTACTTCGTCAGGTGCACTGGATCTACCACCAAGTTGTTGGCTAATTTGATTCAAACTTTGAAGTCGAGGAAGGTGTTCGGCACACTGTTGTTCGAATATTTGGGCAGAATGTAACATAGCACTAGCTTGCTGCAAAGTGCTTGGCTTTGTACCGATCGAAGCGGCTTGCATTTCAGCTTGTTCCATCCACGGCTTGAATTTTTGAATTCCAACTTCATACTCTTTCCATGTAGACAGATTTCGAAATGCAGTTTCACGTTGATTAACAATGTTTTCATTAAGTAAATCTATTGCGTCATGTAGAGATTTAATATTAGTTCTTAAATGTTGAACCTCCGGTCGTGCATCGTTTTCTGTAGATATAATAAAAAAGATTATTAGATACATATACATAAGTATATTAACTATTTTTATACAAAATCCATTACCTTTGATCAAACTCTTTGATTCCTCTTCTATTATCTTCAATATTGTAATTTTCTCGTGAATTTGCTTATGCAGAATTTCTGTTTTAGATACTCTTTCTTCTACAGAAGTTATAGTAGCTTTAATTTCAGCCATTGATTGAGGTGCACTTTGAGTTGTCCAGTGTTGTAATTCGCCAATTTTAGATTGGAAATTATTCCATCTTGCTTGCAAAGTTTGTAATTTTCCGACTCTTTCATCAACTTTTTTTAATGTATTCTCTACTTTATCTTCAATAACTTCTACTTCTCTCATGAGCTCTGGTTGTTTCTGAGGTGACGCAACAACTACGAGATTCGAATATGTTTCATGTAGTTTCTTAACCATATTTGTAGCCATTTTTCTTAAAGAAGAGCTCATATCCTGTTGAAGTTGTAAGTCAGCGGCAACTTGGGCACCATTGTAGTATGAAGCTGCATCTAATCGTCTAAGATCGTCTTCAGCTTGTGCTATCAACCTTAATATTTCATCTTTTTGTTCGTCATAATTATACCACAGTTTTTGTGAATCTTTCAAAGTCTTCAAAATTTCAATATTTTGACCGTAAGTTTCGTTCCAACTACTTTCTAACTGCTGAACTTCAGAAGATACAAAATTTGGTGCATGTTGATCTTTCAGCAAATCTTTACCGCGCTGTAACATACTGACTATGTTTGCTCGCTGTTGTTCAAGTTGATTTAAGCAGATTTCTTGATGCTCAAGCGCTTTTTTTAAGCTTTCTATACTTTCTAATTTAGGCACTTCAGTGGTTTGTTCACGTACTTTATGAAGAAGCGTACAGACATCTCTTACTTCTTTTCTATAAGTATAGCTTCTTGAATAAATGTCTGTTTTAGTCATGGTTATTTCGATAGTTGGTATTAAATTTTTGTAGCGCGTAATGAGCTGCTCTAATTTACGCTGCTCTGCTGCTGCTTCTTGGTCAGTTCGATTAGATGTTAAATTGTCTAATATTTGTACTAACCACTTCATATCTTCACGTTTATTGTCTGCTTCTTGACACGTTTGCTACAACAATTATTTCATCTATTTAATACATTTGAAATTTATGTAGATAAGAAAATATAAAACAACGTATAAATCTATATATTATATAACTCTGTCGGTTTAAACAAATTAAACTACATCATTAAAACCTAATTCATCATAAAAATATTACCGTTAAATTTGGAAGCTATCCGAGAAAGCATTTACATATAAGTTTTTCATAATTAGCTTTCGTTACATAAATTAGATTATTCAATCAAACCATAGCGCTTACCTGGAAGACTGATTTCTCTTGTTCAAACTCTTCAAGAGAACTAACTTCGTGTAACATCGTTCTTAATGTATTGTTTACGTGATCCATCCACCTTACCATTTCGTCGAACCTAAAAGTACAAATACAAAAGCGATTATATATATAATATCTGTAATACTTCAAACACTTTTGTAGTTGTAAGTTGATGTGATATTATCAATATTAAAATCGTAAATTTATCCAACGATGCTATCTTACTTTTGCCTGTAAGCTGCCCATTGTTGCGGTATTTGACGTAACTGTTCTCGGAGTTCTTCTATTCTGTGAGTCGTTTGTTCCCAAAGGCATTCAGCATTTTGAGTAGCTTCATTCAAACTCATATCATCTGGTTTAATATTTAAATATGCAGAACTAATCTTTTTCAACGTTTGCAAACAGCGTTCAACTTGTGAAACCATTCCACGATTTACGAAGAAATCTTTGTGCCTCTTTGAAATACTTGCAACATCTTCGTTTTTCACCATAGCCTGTTGTTCGGCATTGATTTCCATTTCGATTTCTTTCAAGTATTGAGAAAAAGTGACCTCGTCTAATCTGAATTCAAGCCTCATTAAATGTAACGGAGCAAATGATAAAACCTCTTTCCATCTCCTTTGCAATGATGTAACAGTCTCTAATAATGGTCCATGTTGATTTACAGGCAAAATATTTGTTAGATCTTGGGCTACGTTGATGAGATCTTGAATCCACTTTTCATTAACTGCTCCGAAAAAGTTTTTATGATATTCTACTGATTGTCGGTTGTCTATATTACGATCATTAATGAGAGCTTCGCCTGCTGAAAGCCACTCAGAAAGTAATCGTTCACACTCTTTGAATTTGGTCCAACATCGTACAGCTTCTTGCAATCGTTGTTCCCATGTTTGAGCTGTTTGCAAAACACAAGCAAATCGATGGTTTAGATCTCGAAGTACAACATTACCTTCAGTTTCAGTTGATTTCTTCTGTATGTCAACGGATTTAACAATATTTTGAAAGACTTTATTTTTAGATTCCAGCATGGATTTATAGTACAATGTTCTTGAGAAAAAAGTTTTATGTTTTTCCAATTGCATAAGAGCAGAGTCTCTTCCGCCGGATAAATTATAACTGCCGAGAAGACGCTCAGCATCGTCTAGCCACACTGATATTTCACGTTGTCCAGCTTCCAAAGATTCTTGTTGGACCAAAATTTGATGATATAGGTGCAATTGCATGGGTATCAACGCACGAACTCTTACGAGAGCTTCTTTCTGTTTTTTCAGAGTCATCATCATCTTGTCGACTTCATCCCGAGATAAATCTTGAATGAGTGTTTGGAATTTTCGGCTAACGTCTTTGAAAATTTCTTCGATACCTTCAATCTCTTCATGTAAAACTTTGAGACGATCTCCGTAAGCTTTGATCTTATCTGTAGATGTTAAATCTGAAGTTGAAAGCGTAGCTTCAGCGTTATTTAGCCATGTTTGAAGATTTGCAACTCCGGTGCGGTAGTCATGCCAATTTCGAAGAAGATCACCAGCGTGCATATATTGTTTCGCTTCTTGGAAGATACGTTCCCATTTTCTCTTTAAATTAGTATAACGATCTTTCAATTGCAGAGCCACCTAATTATAAATATTTTATCAGACTTATATTTAACAAAAATAACGAATAATAAATGCAATGTCATTGATAGATAAATAAAATTCCAGTAAATAAGTTAAGCCTTACATTATCTTCCGATGTTGCAATTAACAAGCTAACGGTATCTGATATTTGTTGATATTTATCCTTCCATACGGAAATATCTTGAAAAAATTCCATTTTTTGTTCTTCCGGTAAATTCAAACAAGGTTCTGCCTTGTTCAACCAGGCTTCAAATTCCTCAGATAATGACGACCATCTTCTCCAATAAGCAATAACTTCTTCGAGCATACTTTGCACGCAGCGTAAGTCCATGGAAATGCTTTTCCACTTCTCTCCAGTACCTCTTATAAATCGATCCAGTTCTATGCTTCCTTCTCGGTCTATTAATCAATTTTTATATTTTGATCTCTTATCTAGAAAGGAATTATTTAATATTGTGAAATAAAAAATTGACTACTCACCAACATCACCCTCTCTTTTGTATTCCTCAACAACCTGTTGCATGTCGATATAAGCTTTTTGAAACTCTTGAAAGATTCGATTTCTAGATATGAAATTTCTATATTGATCAAGCATTTGTTGAACGTCTTCTTCACTGCCATACTTAATACTCCAGCTTTTGAGTCTTGTCTCAATCAAGTAAAGAAAGGCAATTAGACAACACTTATGTTCTAGGAATTTCAATTTTATTCGCCGCTTAGCTGCGCGCGTTGGAAGACTATCCAATCTGGACGATATATTTGCTAATTGTTCGTTAAGCACTTGTCGCGATAACGGTGAAGCTCTAGCACAATTGAACTTTTCTACAATATCCGGAAGATCAAGGAAGAACTTTTTGTGCTCTTCCAGTTTTCGAGAAATTATACCAGCAGTCTCTTCTGACATTTCTTCGGGAATATCGTCATCGGAGTGTAGCATTACTTCTGCATGTGCTAGCCATCTACCGATTTCGCCGAATTCACCAGGTAAAGATGAATCTAATAACGACAGCCACCTCGTTATCTATAAGATTAAAATATTTAACAATTCATAAGTTTATCAAAATCTAAAAACATTTCAAATATTGAGGCTTACCAGCATTTCCATAACTTTCCATAAATTTTGTATATGTCTCCATGATTCTCTTGTTATACTAACTATACCAGGCGTCTCAATTAAACTTTCAAGTTTGTAATAAATCAACGATTTCTCATCTATTTCCCGTTGGAAAACCAAGTAATCCTGAAATAACAGTGGAATATTGAGATTGATTACTCAAAAAACTAACAAATCGAGATGTAAAAAATCTCAGTAATTCTCACGGCATAATTCCTGGAGAAAATGTTACGTTTATCCATCTGGTCAAGTTGCCTCGTCTTATTGTTAAGCCAGTGTAGTAGCGTATTGTAATCTTCTTGTACTGATGGAAATGAATCGGTATTAGCATTTTTAGGATCGGGATACTTGTGTAGGAACTGAGCGACGTAAGTCATAATGCACTTTTCATCGGGTTGTGGTACATCCACATCCTCAGGATCTAAAAGTTTCGCGATACCGAGTTCGGTTTCGGCAACATCGAAAGCTGTCTCCAACCGAACTTTGTTCGTTGCTTGTTTCATCGCTGGTATATTCACTAAATCCTGCTTGATTGCGTCGATGACCCCTAAAAATGCGTTGCCGTCTCGCCAACTTTCGCCAAAATCGCGCACCTCTATTCCCAAGTCCCTGCAAATTCAAAAGTAAAAAATATTTATAAAATCGAAAAAAACTAAGAGAGTGATTGAAGAAATCGATACAAACTTTGGTAAGGCATTAGTAACCCACTGAAGTAAAGTTTTTCGAGCCCCTTGCTTCCACTTCTCATTGCTTTGGCGCCTTCGCTCACTCGCCCCTGATCCCTGAGTTCCAATACTTTCAAGACTACTTTGGCTTCCCCAAGAGTGCCCAAGGTACTCGAGAGCCCGAGCATTCTCTTCGATCTAGAAAGGTTGGGTTCATTAGCCTCGACTCTCGCATGAAGCTAACAAGTTTTGCGGGGTAAACAGCAAGACAAAGATACACTTATTTACAATGGACAAGTATACAAGTATACACAGGGAATACATGTAGCGTGCACATTATATATATGAAGCGTGCGCCGAATGTAACAGGCTATAGTGCGCCAACAAGTGTACATTTATCACAATTGCTACGACGTCTATTAACGACTCTATTTTTTGGATTATCTGTACATGTATGTGTTAAAGCTTTACTCACCCTATTGCGATCCTTTGATCGTAGCTTGTTTAACGGAATATACAGGGTTAATAGAATTAATTTTGATTAATACTTGAATCAAGTGTTACTAGAGGATTTCATCTGTTCAAATTTTTTAGTGATTCTGAGTGTTTCGGCTAGTTTCGTTACGTGTTTGGTTATATTGTGTAATTTCAGTTATTTCAGAAAATTACAGATTAGAAATAGCTAAGAAATAGTAAAGACGAGAATTAATAAATTAATATTCTTTCATTCGTTTTGTCCCAACACCATTGGTGATTTCTATATAATTCGAATCTTTCGTGATCAAAGGCTTTTTGTGCTTAATTGTACAAATTATTTGAACATATTTAGTGAAATTAAGCTTCGGTAGTTTCAAGAGCATATTTTATTCTTTATTTTAAATGCTTATATTAGCTGGGTACATAACAAATTATGCTCTTTGAAATAATATGGTGAAATGAAAGCCTATTCAGTCACATATTCATAAATAAATATTTAAATGGTTATAATACATGATTGTGTCCGTTTAACGAATGGCAGCTCTTACAAGCATTTAATTATCATCACTTATTTATGAATCAATGGCTGTATTTATGTGCACATATTTGTGAATAAGTGAATAATCAGATGATGAATATGAATTTTTGCAGTAATGAATCAATACTTTTGTTGCTTTTCTCAAATATCGATTAATATCATTGTCAAAACCCGTATAAGAAAATAAATATTTCATGATTTTGAAATGATCAACAGTGCTGACGTTACTTTACTTTTACAAGACTAGCGCTAAACGATAAAGCAGCCAACGCTTTTCTAACATTACTTTTCGTAAGTGCTGTAAAATTTTTAATTTTTCTTTTGGAAAAGCAAAATGTACATTTTAGCTTTATTTACCTGGAAGTATAAAATGATAGTCCAAATTAAACCTAGGACCACTGGCGGCCGCCCATCAACTAAGTCGGACGAGTTTATATTCACTAATTTTATCTGCAAAGATATTTCATTAAAACCTATTGATTGAAATCAAATTTGATAAAATAGGAAGGGCTTACTTTTTTACTCTGTAAAAATTGAAGTGCTGTATTCACATTACTTAAAAAGTGCGGTCTCTTCAAATTTCGGCCTTTTTCTACCGGCTGAAAAAGAGAATAATTAATGATGATTTTCTTGCGTTTCTGGATCGGTGCGATGAGAAATTTACCAATTTTTCGCCAGACAATATTTCTAATAAGGCAAGTAGAAGTGTTCCATCCTTCAAATCCTCGATCAGGTCATCCACTCGAAGCGGCGGAATGCGCTAGAGAAAATCAATACGTTATTGCTTGCCTATACATAATTTAAATTGCTTACAAGCATTTTTAGAACTAGAAGTGTGTATGCTTAAATAGAAAGCAATCTAATTTCGAGTTTCATTTAAAAATGATAACAACAGTTATATGCTTATTTACTGAGTATAGCAAGAGATGAGGTTAATGAGTACGATGAATGCGCAATCTTCATTTACGATCGATCAGTGAAAAGTAGAGCCCATTCGATTTTCCATAAAAAAAGTGATTTACTCTAAGTGCCGTTAAAGCTACTCAGACATCAAAAGGGCAGGGAACTGTCATGCTGTCGTCGATGAAAAATCGTTGCAGTCTTAAAATGAGCGTTCGTTCCATAAGATTGGCGCTCCGCGAGCTTTGCACGAACAGGTCGCATGCCGATAGTAAATTTTTTCTATGATAATAGTCTCGGCTCCTCCTTGTACCTGGCATGAGACGTTCATCGGGCGTTAAGTTTCGACGGATCCGGAAGCAAGGAAGTCGAGAGTGCAAGAGAACGAGTCAGCAATTATAAGCTGGGCGCACTACACGCTCGCACAGTTATATCAAGTTCGAGAAAGAGCTTTTAGAGGTAGTTTCACCGTGACGTGCCTTCCACATTATAACGTGACGATTATGTGCCATGGGAAATTGCTGGAGGTTCTCGCCAGTCCAAAGCCCAATCGAAGCATTAAAAAGTTTTATCGGTAATTAGGCCTCGACCTAGCTCTATACCCGCCCACCCGCGATCATTTGCCTCTGAAGCGCAAACTTCAACTTCATATAGTACGATGAATCCATTCATATAAACGCTGCACCGCCTTTCTCGTAAATTAATCTAACTCGAGCAATATGATTAAGCTTTCTTTTCTATTTCCTATTTTCATCGTGTTCTTTCTATATTTTTAGTTTGCTCTTTATTAGAGATTTACTTGCTTCATTTACCAGCTTTACGTCTTTTTTTAATCGCCGCTTAAGCATAAAAGTTCACAATGTTAATAGAAATATTTGATGTCAACTTCGCGAAGTTGCTATACGTTTTTTCTTGAAAATTGTTTTATGCTGATTCACCTAGATTATGTTTAATCTTTGAAATTGCTGCGCATTTAGAAGACACTAAAACATTTTTATTTTCATTGTTTTTATGAATTATAGTTGTCTTCGTTTTATCGAGTCGATATGAATTGTCTTACAAATGTAATAACGATATATTAAAGACTTCATGTAAAATTTCATAGACGCTCGAATCATAATTTGTAACTGATTTAACTTCTTAATATATAGAAAGTACTTTTACTGCATAGTCAAGGAAAATGAAGTATACTAGACGGTACTGACTACTTCTTCGATAATATAAGTTACTATTTTGGTGATTACATTTTTTTTATGAATCACCTGTATTATTAACGAAAAATGTTGCTCAACAATAAATTATTTTACGACTAAAGTCCGATTTACTATGAAAAAAAGTTAATCGCTGTTCGTTTAAGAAGATTGTTGCTAATGATTATTATGCAAATGCTTAAATAAGAAGCTTACCTTCGATAAGCACGAGTTGATCCAGTTAACAAAAGTTTTTTTCTGTACGCGTTCTTGTTCATCTGAAAAAAAATATGATTGTTAATAAAATAATTGTTATCAAATACATATCTTACATAATAAAGTAATTCCAAATTTAGTAAAAATAAAATAAAATTGTTTTAGTCTATTATTTTTGCGAGTCTAACTTTTCAATTATTTTTAAGCTTTCAAATTTCTTTAATTTTAGTTGATTAATATTTATAATACCCTAATTTTCTTATTAGTTTTTTTTTAAGGTTTCACTTGATTAAGAGCCATTAGATGAGAAATCTATCATTACACATTATAATCATTCAACCCAAGACGAAACTAATGGTGTTCAAAACGTATTTATAATTTTTTCGAAATGAACGTATCCGATCAACTTTATGCATCTAACAATAATTATTTCACTAAATTATAACGTATCGATATAGATTTTATTAACTTCATGAACGAAATCATTTCAATGAACAGAAAAAAAATAGGAAATTTAATAGAGATATTGAAATAAATGTATAATCGACCAAGATTACAACGTCCATATGAAAATACAAATAATAATATTGATAAAACTAAGTGCAGAATAGGTTATCAAGTTTTCATTTTCAGAAGCAGAATCAGACTTGTAGAGCTCTTAAAAATATTTTATCATGGATCAGCGATGAGAATAAATAACGAGCTTGAAAGAGGTGTTGAAGAATTGAACATTCGAAAATTGAATGGATTTCAGCACTCGCCGTCTAGCATTGTTGCTGGCGAAGTACACCCTTACAAATCACGCAATAATGATGTGCACGCCTATCTACCTATAGATCTTTCTCGCGCGGATAATTCACGCGAAGCAAGACGCGCCAGTAAGCGAAGCAAACGCGAAAGGGAGAGGAGAGAGAGAGAGAGAGAGAGAGAGAGAGAGGACGGTATATATAGACTTTTCTTCGGCACAGTAAACCGCACGATTATCCTGCATGCCCACATATACAGCTATGTATCGTGCTTTTGCGTGCCCTTTTGCTCTTCAACAAACTCCTACGTTGTCGATAGGCAGGTGTCTGATGCATTGCCAGTTTCTTCTTTCACTCTTTCAATACTTGAAATTAGAACGGGAATGTATATAAATTCTAAGACTAATTATTATTACTATTCTTGGATTACGGCATATGAAACCTAATGAAAGTGTTGATTCATTGTGATTACAATGCTAAAGGTTGAATGGCGTGATGAGTGTCTTATTTGATGGACACGTTTACTCATCGAACAGCATTAAAATATATTCCAATAGCGCTTGAATGATTTCACGATTAATAAGTATTTAAGTTACACTCGAATACTCTACTAGAGTTATAATTACCTTAAAAAAAACTTTAACAGTTTTTTGGGATTTCTTGTACACATTAATCGTCATGATTAATGTTCTGTGTCATGAATAATTTAAAAATAGTCAATGAAATGTTAAGCTTTTTTTTACGTACATTCTGTCGGATACATAAATTTATTAAAGTTAGAAAAAAACTTTGTTGAACAAACTGCTTCATTGTGATTGCTCAACCCATATATTCTGGAAGTATACGCAACTTTTTTGCACATGATTTATGGAAACCTACTTCAAGAAGTTAAAGATTCCTTTTTCAAGTCACATATAATTTCATAGACAAATTAAACGGGATGTAATTTAATAGCTTGCAGAACGTTAAAACAAACTTTTAATATTATCTGATGATATTGACAAAATTCAAACTTATATGAAATATCAGCTACAAGTGTGTTAAATAAAATCCAGAATATGCTAGAATAATTCAGTCAGCAGTATATCAACGGAAAAGGTTTATTATCCGAACACATTACCTACAATGTATTACCCGAACGATGGTCGACGCTTCCAACGTGTACCTACAAGGCTTCGCAAGCTGAATCCAATTATATGAAACTCGAGGGTGAACGGTACAAGCCTTCGAAATTTTATCAAGTTTCGTACTGGCCGTTGGGGTACATTATTTTATAATCAGATTCGCAAAATATTTGCCGGGATTCACGTACGTTTGAGATCCTTGAACGAAGATGTAAACGTTATCATTTTTTTCGTTTTCATTGTTAGATTTCAATCGATATTTTTTTTTTAAATTTATATGCACGATTGCCTATTTATGATTCAGAAATATTGGGCAAAACAACACGAGTATAATAGCTTCATGATTCGCAATGTATCGTCAAGATGATAGAACATTTGAAAAGTTGCTAAATTAGAAAAATTTATATTTTCTCTTTTACAGTGACTACAAATGATTAAAAAAACTGAGATAAACAATAGTAGAATCGAGAGCGTCTGTATATGTTATTAACTTAAAGAATAAAAATTGGTATCAACAAGCGCTCGAGATCGCTAAGGCTGATCAGTTCGAGAACGAGAAATGATAATAGTTCGACAACTCCCGCATATTAACCATTCGCTCGTCTTTTAATCGATACCGGTTCAGGATAATCTTACGTGGGTTTCTATAATGGACGGCCTCCTTTCAGTACGAAGACGTACGGATACGCGACATATGATTTTCTCAATGCGATTTACAAGCGCAAAGCAACCATAGTGAGTCGGTCGCTGATTTTAATACATTGTGTCTCTGTACATTGTGCTTAACGTAGGCGTACTTTAATGCCATAGCAATCATTTGACTTTTTACTTCCGTCGTTGTATGATACGCTAGTATCACGTTCATACATTTGAATATATTTTCTCTTACGTATATATACATATATTTTCCATTAAGTTCGCTAATAGATGAGATAAATGTGCAACTCAGAATTCTAGTATTCATCACGAATTATTGCAATAGATAATATTTATTAAATAATAATTAACATATCTATTATTAACATAACTATTTATTAAATTATATTGTATTAGTTACTTCAGACTATTAGGTATATATTGTACATATGTAACTTGCTAACCACAAAACATATTAAATCTGAATCACACGCAAAAAATTATTGAGCAATATTTTCCAGATGCGCTCGTAAGGATTTTTTATAACTGTTCGATTAACCCGCTATAACGAGATGAAAGGTGAAGGGCTTGTCAAAAACTTACTACATAGGAACTCCATGTCGATTTCAGCTAAAATCGCGCAATCAAATCCTTAAAAGACATAAAAACTAAAGGAACATCATCACATCTCACACGCAAGCATTCACCACTAGTCGGTTATACGAGTCACTCTTTCGCGCTCGCGCGTATCGGAATCACACCCATTACACCATGAAGAGTCACTCGGCAAAGGAACTAAACTACATGTTTCACGAGTCACGAAACAAGGGTTCGAAAGTGTACACGTGGGTGGAATGTACAACCCGCACGTATCGCGGTGAGCAAACACACTGTCCGCTGGTGTATGTTGCCCAGTTAGACGTGGAAAATGTAAGGCCTCTGCGCTCGCCAATAATCCGTCGCCGCCATCGGCGTAGTCACCGCTGTTACGGCGGCGCAGCAGCCGTTTCACGTAAGAAGTGATCGAGTTACTCGCTAGAGAGTCAACGCGATTCTAATATCATTCACACTTACATGCATTTGAGTAACGGGGCTCTTTACCTATATTGTCATATCATTTGTATAGACTGTAATACGTCGAGTGACTATGACGAGGTGCACTGGCATTCTCGTTTCTATTCCGTGGTTAAGTAATTACTCCAATGGGACATATCGTGAGCTTTCGTTGGTGGTATTACGGCTTCCCAAATTATATCTCTAAGATTAAATGCAATCTATGCGGTTAACAATTTATTTATTTCTAACGTATTTTACAATTTGTTGTGAAAAATTAATTTACATAATTGATGAAAAGAAATTGTAGTTTCGCAAGATATGGGTGTCTCGGATTATACCAGTGTCGTGAAAATTAATTTTGACATATCCAGAGCATGCCTTGGAACTGTGAGTAAGTAACGTAAACAAAAACTAATGGCGATAAAATGAAAGTGAATACAGGAGCAATTGTCAAACAAGAGAATGAGTGTAAAGATGAAAAGAGTCTACTACGTGACTAATCGCACGTTTGTTTAGAAATACAAGAATAGAAATCTTAGCAAACAGCTAGCAGAAAATAGAGCAAGTAAACGCTGATTATATCTTCGTTGTTTTTTCCTTTTTTTATGCCTGCGAGCATTTTGTAACAAATTAAGCTTAACAATCAATCACGATGATAAACTGTGCCTAATTACTCTGTTCATAGGTGAAACTCAGTACTAGAATGATTCATACTGAAAAAATTATATGTAATTTAATCACACTAAACATTTTTTGTTTACTAAATGATAAATGCAGATTTATTTTATTTATTCAATAATAGTATACCTATCAGCTAAGGCAGTGATGTATGATTTATCGTAACACTAACATATATTTCAGGTTGTATGTCAGTCACGTGAAAAGCCGGAACCACTGAAATGATTATCACTAATGTAAGATGGAGCAAGCCGCCCCAATTGGAAAATACATAAACACGAATCGAGGGACAGCGGTGCACTGAAGCGAAAAGGACGTGTAACTGTACGAAGCAGTAACAGCAGCAGCGTCGCAAGATTGACGATCGCGTGTACATAGGAGCTCAATTTTCTTGGTGCAGCTAGGCTGCGCGCATCTCTCGATGCTTTCTTTTTCAAGTTGGGTATCTGGCGGTGCCACGACACAATGTTCGCTGCGCGGGGTCGAACGCGCCCCCTTCCTCGTCGTACCGTAAGTCACGATATTGCATAAAGTTGCTGACTGATAGATGAGAGTCAGGATGTGTCGCCGCCACACTGTCGCTATGTAAACGTATAAACGAAATGCGATACGGAAAAAGTTTCATTTCTTTTCTTCAAGGTAATTACTTTTGTGTCTCCGATGTCTCTTTGCTTTGGAAAATTAGGTCATGATTTATTTTTTCTCCACGGTTTTGTCGTGCTCACTGTTTCAACAGATCTCTTTTTGATAGGCGCATTATTATATGAACTCATGGCATAGTTTTTTCAAAGATTTAATTGAGTTCCTTTCGCGTTGTTGCAT